CTCTCTCCTGGATTCCCAAGATTAACTTTATTTCCGCTCCTCTGTTCTTTCGGGCTCAGAGAACTTATCAATGATGATTTGGAGGTGAGCATGGATCTCTCCGTTCTCCAGGGTATCCTGCTCCCCTTTCTGAGGGAAGGTCCTAACTGCAATTCGACGATGAACGACTGCATTCTCGACTACTTGTCTAGAGGTATTGATGACATGCTGCCTCTCCTCATCGTCATTGCAGGCAAAAGAAAATCTTTCTCTTTTTTCAATTATTTTTTAATTTCCGCCATTCAAATTACAATAATGAATAAAAATCCGGTTTGAATCCATAGTTATTTTAAATTTGAGAAACAGATCTCTCCATTTGAACTCATTTTGAAATCCAAAATCTCTTGTCCATTCTGTTACATATACAGGTTTGTTAAAATCCTTACTTTTAGTTGCCACCGAACACTTTCTGAACAGTTTCCATGACTCTGGATTAATTTTTTCAACAAACTGGATGATTTAGATTTTGCGGATGATGTCGCCTTATCATCAAAAAAACAACACATGCAAAAGAAAACAAGAAATATGCTGGAAGACGCACAGAGTATGGGACTCAACTTTAGGAAAACAAAGTGTTGATAATTATGTCAGAAATGGAGAAATTATACATAAAATGGAAAGAAATGGAAGAAGTAAAGTCATTTACATATTTAGAAACTGCAATAACACCAGAAGGAGGGTCACGGCCGCGACTGACCTAAGTCGATAAAAAAATAGGTAGCAGCTATTCCTTCGCCAAGCGCTCAGCACTTTGAAGTGAAAGTTTGAGGGTCCTTCGGATGAGACCTTAAAAACCGAGGCCCCGTATCAGGGTAGGCGTTGGCACGATAAAGAACCCTCACTGCTCAATGGCCCTGAGTGCCTAGTGAAGATCTATACCGGTATATGGTGACGTCTCTATATGAGTGAAAAATTCTCGAACGGGACGTAAAACAACAATCAATCAATCACCAGAAGGAGGGGGAATGGGAGATATTAAAAACAGACTCTCAAGAGCAATGTACAACTTTACCAGACTTAAGCAATAACATCAAAAGGACTACCCAGTTAAAACTATACAAAACGCTTATATTATCAATACTTTTATATAGAAACGAAAATGGAAAATGAACAAAGGAGAAAAACAAGATGATAGACGCATTCCAGAACAAATTCTTTGAAAGAAGAATAATGAAGATAAAATAGTAAGATAGAGTGAGAAGTGAAGACATGTTACAGAGAACAAAGATTAGACAGATCAGTGAGGAAGTAAGCAGGAGAAGATGGAAGTTTATTGAACATGCACTGAAACAAGATCATAGCAGTGACTGCAACATCGCGCTAACATGGGCACCAAAAGGAAAAAAAAACAACACAGCACAGTAGAAAGGGAAGGTGTAAATGCTAGCTAGAGATCATGGAATGATGAAGCGAGAACAACAGGAATGAATTGAGATTCTCTGTGGATGCCCTATCTGCCACAAGGCAGGAGGAGGAAAGGAAAGGGAGGGGTATACTTTAGGTGGGAAGGTTTGCAATGCAGAAAAGATACATCGTTTAGAATATCGAAATATTATTCAGTATTGATATAGGTTTGATTTATCTATATATAATTGTCTCCCTTTATTTTATGGTTTTATTAAAAAATCTACCAGGGACGACCTTGTAAAAATGGTGTTTCGGTGTCAAATAGTAAACTATCATGATGTAAATTTTGCATTTACCTCCCCCTTGTAAATTCAAAATTTACAACATGATAAATTTCCCAAGTAATAGATGCAAGTATGCTGTACATGTATTTGTATAAGACAATTTATTTAAGTTTTGCAAGAACAATACCAACGTCTTCTAAAACATTGTATTCAATTCTTACAAGTAATTCCATTCAGAAGGATACACTGTGGTTTACAGTGATCTTACAGTATGGATAAAGTGTTTCACTATTTGTTACCTTTTGTATACACTATTATGGTCTGCTCTCAGAATTTCAGTACGGTTCCGTTTTCTGGTCCACGTTTCAGCCATATCTGTGTATGCGACTGTCAGGCAAATAAGACACAGCAACGAACTTTTTTCCAGTCTTTTTTGACAAAATATTTTTTTTAAATATTAAGGAAGAATGAAATAATATCATACATTAAACTATCAATAGGCATCCACTATCAAAAAGTCAACATCTTTTACTATAAAGATAGCATGATATACAAATTAAGCAACTGTTGTTTTTATTGGCGCAACAACACATGTGATTCACTACATTCCCAAACACGTGGGAATTAATACTGATTTGGTATCAACAACTCTTAAACAATCGACAGTCAGAATTAGCAACGAATCGGAATATAATGTGTGTATTTCTAAAATATTCGTCGTGTGTACTAATAAGGGGACGCAAAAGTGTCGGAGGGGATTAAATTATTAAGACTCCTGATTAATTCATGAGTTTTTTAATTTTAATCGGACAATCCTTAACGCAGGTAGATTAGTTTTGTTTCTTAAATTTACTATGTAAATAGATTATAAGTAGTTTCTAGAAATTAATAAATTGTTTGTATAGGTCTCTATGTGTCAGACATACATAAGTAAATGTCAAATAATATTTTTATCTGGAACTCAGTTGGATTGATCAAGTGTTAAAGGAAGTTATAATTTATAAAGAAACACTACATATATATTTTTTAAATGCTTTATCAAATTATTGGAATGGATAAAATTGTGTGGATTATTCTTGAACAAAGAGGTATTTTTTAATTCCTAATTATTGCACTTAATATACGCTACCATGCATTGACAATAAAATTTATAAAATCTATAAACCGACCAGGGGAAAGCTTATATAAGTTACCAATTTTACATTTGAATGGCAATTTATGATCCTTGACGATTTTCATATATAACATTAAACTTATTAGAAGAAATGTCATCGTATTCCGTAATGTTGTGAAATTAAGCCAACTTACAGACACTCCAAAACTCCTTATTTATTAAATCATGATTGTATTGCAATGTTTTAGTGTCTGAGTATATAAAATTATTAGGTAAGCGATTTATTTTTCGATATTGTTATATAAATCACATGAATTACATATAATCATTATATTTCTTTAAGAAACATAATCAGAGCCGTGAAGTTTTAAGTCTGTACAGTATGTATAAGGACATATATATATATATACATACATAAAAACATAACTGCTTAATTATATAAAACTCTGACCTGAAGCTCTGTAATTCTAGAATTTTCCGATAAATGTGAAACCCATAGACAATTGAAAGACCCTCACCCCCTATTTCATTCAACAGAAAGTTTTGAATTTACTCTGAAAAAAAAAAACTGTCTGGCCATGCAAGAGTATGATTTGACCACCATTTATACCTCGTTCTTTCACTTTGAATAATGCTGTCATGAAACTTATTTTTTGATATGATAAACTGAAACAAATCACTCTTTGCCAGTAATAGGAACCTATAAAAGGAAAAATATACTTAGTCTCTCTTTTCCTCTTTGTTCAGGACGAAAAAGTGTATTAAACATTGAATTAGAGATAAAGTACATAGGAACGTACACCATTATCAATTATCCTCTCGTTTGCATCATTGTTCTTCAAATATACAAGTTACTTTTTAAATAGGTGTCTATTATGACTATAGTTGTATTTCAAATTTGTAATTTTGGTCTACATGATTATTACTATCTTAACTTTCTCTCTCTCTCTCTCCTTTTTTATTTGGTATGATAAGGTCATTAATCAAGTACCCATACCAATAAAATCTTCTTGATTTAAAATGTTGAACTTGTTTTTAATTTCGGTAATCGAAGCCCACATTTTTGTTTAAACTAGCCTTAACGCTATATTTATATTATACGAAAGAACAATCTCCTATAAGCTGTTCATTCCGTTACCAACACAATCCTTAACAAGCCCAATACAGCGATACTTGTCAAACCCAGAGGCTTCAGTCCACGATAAGGAAATGTTCTAGTAGGCTTTGACGACTCATCAAAAGTAGATTACTATTGAACCGGGCTGCAGCAGGCCTTCTTTTGTGAGCTCTAGGTTGATCGAAGAGACATGCAAGTAAATGTTTAAGTTGTACTAAAAAATGACAATAAGTGTAGGTATGGTTTGTACAGCTTACAGTGAAGAGGATATTGGTCGATACTGCATGTCAGAAAAATATCATTCAACTCGGGTTCGTGTCGCCTGAGCCCTCTTTGAAATTAGGAATCGAACTTTTTTTTTCTTTGGTTTTGGTATACTTTGATCAAAGAAATGGGCCAAGTTTCTTGAAATTACAAATGTCTTTTTTTTTACAAGGCTTAAAATCTACTTATTATTTATTCGGTGTTCTGAAAAATCAAGTAATTTCAAAAATTTAAATGAAAAAAAAAACAAAGGAAAAAAATTACGAAGAATGAATTGGCTGAAAAAATAAATATTTAGGAACAGTAATTTTAAGATTGAGATTTTTGCGGACAATCTCAGGAAAAGTCCGTTATACGATATTTACAAGTCTACCTGGCCATGTTGAAACCTATTTATGAGAGTGAGACACACTGTTCTAGCTACTTGGATACGAGTTTCCATGAATGAAGTCCAATCGAAACTTCTTAAGCAATTATTGAGTGAAAAGACGTCAAGTTCATTTTATGATGATGATTATGCGTCCGTTATGATCAATTTTCGTTTCTTTCCCTCAAATTATAAGAAAACTCCCAGAATGAATCAGATAAAAAATAAAAAGTTGATACGACGGTTGCTTCTGAAAATAAAACAAAAACCCGTCTCGATAATAGCACTTTTACACAGTGATAACAATACCAATTGATATGAGGCATTACATAATCAACGTGGCATAATTTGAACTTTACACAAATTTATTTTTTGCATAATTACAGCTGAGTGTTGTCTCTCCTAGTTTGTAAAAAAACTTCAAAGGTTACAGAAGGTTAGACGTCTTCCAAACTTTGAGCGATGAAGAGCTTGACAGTGCCAAAGAGAGCCATGAGGTTGACCTCGGTCGTGCAGGACCTCACTCCCTTGGAAATGGCGGCCTCCAAGCGCCGTCGGAAATCCACATTCAAAGGTATGTTTTAAATGAGGCACAGTTCTTTTAACGGGGCTAAATTTACATATTGGAAAGTCAAATGACTATGAAATTTAACAAAAATCGGTAACAAATCCGGTAAAATAATCATGTTAGCGACCTTGTGGGTTTTGGAAATTGGGTATTTTTGAAGGTACTAAAGTTTAATCTAATTTTGTCAAAGCATGGGTTGCTCTTGATTTCGATATCTGATGGTAAAAAAAATTGTAAAGACATTGGTTTTTCAATGTGGTTTGATTGAAATTAGGGACAGAGAACTAGTCTAGGATCGGGTGAGTTGTGGGTGATCTCGTGTCACGGGAAATGGGATTGGGAATTCTTACAAATGTTTTTCCGGATCGTGTGCAGTGAATTAATCGCTTTCAAACAAAATCTAAGCCCACTCTGCACAATTCTACAGAATGCCTTATTTAGAACACAGATAAGAATTTTAACGAAAAACCAGCATGTGGACACATACGAAGAAAACAAACGGACCCCCAGGAAACTTTAACTTTCCGTAATTTTCCTTATAAATTTTTCCTGACTGTATGAGGAGAAATTTGTAGACAATACATTACATTGTTAAATAACCAAACTAAGAAATACTTTACTGATAATATCGACGAAAAAACACTTGTCTAGGGTTGTTCACGGCATACTGGACTAATCTACATAGAGTACACACCAATTCACGGTAAATTGATGTAATGTTGTTCAAATATAAGACTGTCATCTAAAGGCACGTTATAGAATCAATATGTACAATACACCAAGAGTTTAAGGATCGAGAACAGTGACTACTGCTTGTTTAAACACTTTCACACACTTAAGGGTTGTCTAGTCCCGGACATGCCCACACCTACTGGGAAAAAGTGGCTTCTATTCAAATTCAAAACTCTTGTATATTCTTTAATTCTCCAGGCATCTTGATCACCATACTGCAAGTCTTTGTTGTTTAGTGCATGGATTTTCTAATTTTACTTTAAAAATCCACTCAGTAGAGTATTAACCATATCAGGATCATAATACAGCAATAAAACTATATCTGTAATTAGTCGTAAAATTTACAAATCAAACACGTACGAGTAGACTGAATAACTTTAATTGTTGGCATTGACAATGCATTTAGTATTACAAAGCTCTAAAATTCAAATTATTACGAGAACTAATAAATAGGCGAGATCACTAGCATCTTTGTTCATTTTCGTGAGAGAAAATTAAAGATCCTAAACTTCCAAGGATGCGCCACTGAATAAATTATACTCTAGGCTACATATATAAACTTCTCAGATCTGCTCATAAGTATTTTAAATCCATGCAATTTATATCACTAACTTTGTCACTTTAGAACGAAGATCATATTGTCACCTGTATATTTACAGAATACGAATTCCTGTCGGGTGTCTATTAAACATCCCACTCCCAGTACAAGCTATTTACCAAGCTATCACGCCATGCTTACTTTCGCTTCCCTTTCCGAATTATCCCATCACGAAATATTTATTTTGTTTTTTTATGTAAAGATTTGAGTGTACATCACTGGAATTCTTAATTCTTAGAGTGGTACTTATACATCGTATTTTAAATAGTGTTATTAAATGGGACTCACTCAATTTTCTTTTTTTTTATTGTTGAATATCAATTTAAGTTCTTAGTTTACGGAGGAGTCAATATTGGTACAAAAAGACTAGCGCAGAGCCTCCTCGATTATCAGGCCAATCTTGATTTCATTTTTCCTATTCTTGTTAAAGTGTATACTTTTGAAGAATATCTTATTTAAGCAAACGATTCAGAAATCACCTCCGTCTGAAATTAAAAATTTCAATTTCACAATTTTGAAACATTTTCAAATTAGATTTTTGTACATTGGAGAAAGGTATTTACACTTGGCGACGTATGTCATTAGAGTCGAAATTAAAAACCAATAAAATCGAGTAAACAAAATGTTTTATTTCCAACATTAAAGGGCTAAATTGTCTGTGCGACAACAATTTAATTTTTTTTTTTTTTCAGAAATGATTTTCACGTTGTCCAGGTTGACTGAGTGAGATCGATACGCGGGGTAACATTGGGTAGACATGGATGTTTTATTACTAAAGTCTGACGGAATGTTTTATTAAATATCCAAAATAAAATCAATCCCTATGTTGACAGTGCTTACAAACAAAGATCACTTCTGTAACTTTTAAAAGACCACGTGGGTCTCCCTCGAATGTTAAAGATGTGTTTGTAAATCACATTTAAAGAGATTCTGATCAAGTTTCATACTTTACACGATTTTAATCGAGTGATGAAGAATTTTACCTTTTCTCGTCTTATGTAAGTGTACTCTTTTTAAACTTTTTTCCTTGTTCAACATTGTAATGCGTAGAGCTAAACTATATACGTATTTAAAATTAAGTACATTTGTATATTGTGATAAAAATTCTTATCAAAAGAACTTTTATAATGAATGAAGATTTTGATTGAACGCTTCATAAAAAAAAATATACTGAATGATACCGAATTTGAAGTGGTGATTGTATCAAAGGACATTTTTTACTTATTTATTTATTTAATCTCTTTCTTAATTAATTTATTCTCTTTCTATTTAAAATATTTTATTTCGTTGTTGCTCATTACTGCTATTAAGAAGGGGTGAATTACAATACGACTTTTAAATAGATATCATACGTTGACTTTTAAATGTTTTTAATCCCATATTTTTAACAAAAAGTAGTCCTTCCGTAATGTGAGAAAAATATGCATATCAAATATATATATTCCTGTTGTGTTACCAACCGCTTTAAACGACCCCTTACTGTGAAAATATCTTTGTTACCGTAATCCATTGGTAGTGATGCAATGTTGCGTCTCTTTGAAAACCCCTTCATATAAGGTGAGCATATAGAGAGTAGACCAGTGAAATATTGACCACTCTATCAGAACCCCGCGTTGTACACATGACAATCAAATGTAAATGATATATAATAAGACAACTTCGACAGGTAGAGATAAAAACACAAACGAAGTATCGAAGACCACTGAGGTAAGATACAAGAAAGGTTATTCCTTTAAGAGGGATTCTATACATTATTTGTTGCGAAGCATTAAAATCCTGCTTGCAGTTCTTGATATGCTGTGGATTTTAAGAAGACCGAATCACATGCTTGTTGCACTTTTTTCTCTTGAGTAATCACTGCCGCATTCATTCTGTGTCAATACTTCGGAGTTTATATAGAGGACGAGCAGTGGCATATTTAATTTAGTCCCAACAAACACCTTTCTGTATTCATCCAAAAACTTACACTCCACTGGGAGGGAACTTAAGATTTTTCATTTTTAAACAAACCTCCCAGTTTTTGTGTTGACATAGTCTGTTTCTTTGTCTTTCAGCGCTCGTCCATATAAGATGGCAGCTAGTTCGAGATTACGTTAGATCCGGGCGTTTCCGTGAATTATATAGAGACCCAGGATACGAAGAGATGGATCGAGGAGGAGACGCGGACTACATTGTGTTCAGAATGGGAGAGCGCGAGAAAACGTTCTTTGAGAAACTTGGTATGGACACAGGACAAAAGAAAATGTCATTTCGTGAAGTGGCTGAAAAATTAATGGAACAAAAGTTAAGCTCAAGCGGATATGAGGATCCCAATGAAATGATGTTTCTAGAACAGTACAAGAAGAGGAAAGAGGAAAGGCGAATAGCTGAAGAAAAGGCAAAGGCTGAGAAAAAGACAAAAACGGCAAATGAACAGCAGCAACTAAATGCCGCCAGTGGAACCCAGTTGGAAACCGTAGTGGAGGAAGGTGTGCCATCGCTTGACCTCAATTCTAATGAGTTAAATTTTCCTAATGATAGTTCTACAACAGATATTAGAAAAAGTAGTGTAATGTTCAACGATACACTGAGTACTACCAGAAATGGGAGTATATTTAATGGGAGTTACATATCTACTGAACGTAGACATAGTGCCATGACGGACACAGACAGAAGCGTCATCACGGATGTTCTTAATGATGACGTCACTAGAGATTTATTTAACTCTTGTCCATCTCGGAAATCTACAGCCTCTCTACGCATGCGCCCTAAAATGTTGGATGCTATGAATGGATTTGATTTTGATGAAGGAGAAGGTAATTTTAATTTAATAAAGCGTCATACGAAAGAGGTCAATATGATTAATTCAAAATTTGATATAAACTTTTTTTCCCTTTCAGATATAGCACTCTCAGATTTGAAATCGTATAAAAAACCAATACGGATAATCACAAAGACACGTGATATGTACAATATAGCTTGTGCCATGTGCGGTGTGGTTCCATTGCGCCAATTTGTTAAACAATGTCATGGAAGATATGTGAACCTAAATAGCGTCATGATGAGTGCCAAAACTATAAAACCCATTGCTATATCACTTGTGGTAAGTCTTTTGTGAACTTATGATACTGTTGAAAATTTCTTGTAATCAAAAAATTCATACTAATGATGACACTTTAGAATTTAGTAAATAATATTGTATCTTCGATTATTTTGAAGAATGAATTAAATGAATTTAAAAACAAACAGCTAAATAATTAAATAGAGGTCTGATAACGTTGTCTTGCAATTTTTCATATTTTAATATTGAAGAGCGCTAACAAACACTACATAAAATCGGATCTAAGCATATGAGTACTGTTTGTTCAGATGTTTCACGAGGAAAGGCTTGTTCAAATTTTTTTGGTTACTTAAATTTTACAAAGTTTTATTTAGTTTTTGCATCATTCAAAGACAACATTGATAAATTTTTCTAACAAATGTCTGCAAGTTTAAACATTTCTATTCCATGCTTTTTAAAGAGATTTCAGAACTTCAGAATAAAGTACAGAGATTATTTTTTGTTATATAAATCTTCAACAGCATCTAAAATTGATCATTTAACCATTAGCTTGAATCAGTCAGCAACCAGTCGGTATAATCTAATAATAAGCATAAATAGCTTACGATCAGCTCAGATCAGCATACCTAACACCATCAAAACTATTTCTGGAGATATCATATATTTCAGTACAGATTCGTGATGTTCTCTCTATTTCTTGAGAAACTTTTTTCAAATACTGTAGATTCCTTATTTTACTTAATATACTTATACTTAATATAGCGAAATGGCTCTTTGACGACAAATCGCGAGAACAATAGTTCGCAAGTGGAAGGTTGATCAAGAAATTTTATATGAATTTCAGTACCATAAAAATGAAAGCGAGTAAATTTATTTCGTGAGTGGTTCTTTTCGCGAAATTACGCGATAATTAATTTCCAGCGTATATATAGGTATCTACAGTACATATTTAGTGTAAACGAAACTGATTAAAATATCAAGAATTCAGATATTAAATTTACAATCCTGAAATCAATTTTTCTTCCCATAGCAATTCCAAACAACAACAACTAATTAAATTTATATATGTAAATCAACATAAGATTAGAAAACATGTAGCTAGCAAGCATGAGCAAGACTATATGGCCAAACAGTTGAGAGAATTATAATTAATGCTGTTAATTTCAGAAAAAAATTCATTCATTGTAAGCATGTTGGCCTCTTAGCAATGCTTTTAAAAAAGATTGTCTGACAATTTCAAAATGCTGAATTGTTTCTGAGATGTGCACATTTTAGATTTTCTCACTGATATAATGTTTCTAAATAATTTTAAAACCATTTTTTAAATACCAATTAAGTATTTCTAGTCTTTTATGTCTTGCTAAATTTAAAAGTAGGCCAAGATATAAAACTCTCTCCAAGTCTGTTCCAACATGTAACTGTTTCTTCAATTACATGTATATCATTGTATAACCCTGTGCTTACACTGCTTAAAGCAAAAAAAAAAAATGTTATTTTTTCTTGCATCTTTGCTTGCGAAGATGGTTGTTCTTTATGAATAATAAATTATATATAATATATAAATATATTAGTAAATTTATTTACGAATCAATCAATCAAATGTAAACTAAGCTTATTTGAGACGGCCCAACTACAGAAAATTGAAGATTTTATTTGATGATGCACTTTATTAAAATTCAGTTGAAGTGATTTGTTGATAGATTTAAGGTTTGGTTTGAATTCAGTTTGCCAGTTTCTCGGCTCTGTTAAACAGCAATTTTCCTATCTTATCATTGTTGTGTGAACAGCTACAAAGTCGCGCTGTGATGGAACATAGCACTCGAGAACTGCCCATGAAAAGAGATAGGAACAGATAATTCACGGATAAGTCCAGAACCCCACTGACTTGACTACTGTTGATTACGAAATATTTTCTTCTTTTATTGGTAAAAAAACCCAAATACAACTTTTGTGACATTGCTGAATTGCAATCACTAGCTCTCCTAGAGCGTTAATTTATCGGATATATGCGAATTCAATTCAATATTTATCACGAGTTTGCTGATTACTTCCTGTTTATGTGAATTTTCCATGTTTAGAAATAATGCCTTCGTTCTTTTATTTTTTTTTTATTTTCAAATGTCACGACAACTTATAGTTTAATTGTGAATCCTCGGCGCTAAGTTCCAAATATATTGACCTCTCTTATTAATTGACTATTTCTAAGAATTTAGTGAAAAGATTAATTAAAACTAGACTTTTTATAACAAGTTATGGAAATATGATAAATAGTGTATGGTACTTGATAGACAGCTTAGACCTTTAGAGCATATCCCACTTTATCAAGGTTCTCCATAAAAAATCTGAAGTAGGTGGTGAAAGTACGCTTAAAAGTGGACCTTTTGTGCGAGCGCCGAAGGCGCGGGCCTGCTATGGTCCGGGGGGGGGGCATGCTTTTGTGCGATCCTGCTACTGTCCGGGGGGACATCCCCCCTCCCGTAAAATTTTTGAAAATTTGAGCCAGGAGGGGACATTTCCTGGTTTTAGGAGACACAATTTCAGTCTCAAACAATGTCCTTAAAATAATCCCTTTTTAGAGGATAATAACCAGAACTATAGTATATTAAGTCAAATTATTGGTATTATTAATCTTTGCAGAGGGACAGAAGAGTGGTGGATCTTGACGTTTCAGAAAACAACATTGGTCCACTGGGAACGATGTATATATCAGAGATGATGACACGCAATGATAATATTGTAGAACTGGTATGATGACGTTCATGAAAATGTATGATTTAACCCTTCCATGAAAGAAAATCAATGAAATTTGTGACTCTCTCTATCTCTATATCTGCTTAAGATTACATGCAAGATCAAAGATAGATTATAAGTCGGTCACTAATATGTATAATTGTCATTTAATCAGACATTTTATGACATTTCTCATTATCCAAATAAATAAAGAAATGTTATTTAGAACATAAGACAATTTATCCGATTATAAGTATTGCTGCTATTTCAAAGACTCTTTAATTTCACAATATTTTTATGGCATTTTTATGCCATGAATACAAATCCTAAATCCACAAATTATTGATAATTTATATACAGTAAATCAATGTAATTTAACGATACGTGATTATATGGAATATTTTTGATTTGTGTCAGTTTAATTCCATTAGGTGTACTAAATAAGGGAAGGGTAGTTACGTAACCGGCATGATGATATAACGTCTATAGATTATGCCATATATGGTGTTATAAATTGTGAAAGGTCAAACAGTGTTAATCCACCATTTACCAGATTATCCCCTCCTATATAATTGATACGTTCTGTCGTACCTGACGAACTAGGCGGGATCTAATCCTCTCTTTCTGGGTGCATGATTTATTAGTATCGCTCTCTGCAGGTAGAGGATTTTTATCAATCACAAACAATAATCAAACTCAATCAGGTAAACCTTGTCTTTATCGCAGAGGTATTGGTGACCATTAGCCATGGAAATCTTTATATGATATTGCTTTATTAAACTACGAACATTAGCATTGCTTTGGTTATGTTGGTTGTACATATACAATGTATTCTTTTTGTCATAGACGATGAATTTTATGTTTCTTTTATGCTTAAATAATTGGACACATGGGTTGTCAAGAGGTATAGACGTAATGACATCGTGAGAATTTAAATGCAATGACGAAACTTTTTATGACATTCATTTCAGAATCTCAGTTGCACATATCCCGGAAAGGAGGGACTGCGCGTGCTCAGTGAATCTCTGACACAGAACAAGTCACTTGAAATCTTAAGATTGGAATGTAAGAAGGAAATATGTAACATCTAAATTTTCCCCATTTAAAATGAAAAATGCACTAAGAATTTATAACGATTAATAGATTTGTAAATTCTAGATTTTTAAGAGATCCTAAAAATGTAAGCACTATACTCGTATATAAATGCGTTACGCCCCATTAAAAGAGTAACAAGAAATGATTGTGGTTAATGGTTGAATTTTCATAATACACTTGTATTTTTATCAATTTCAGCAAATAAAATTCAGCACACTGAAACGCATTTAATCAACTCTTTAATTGAAGTAAGTGATTTTAATGTATTATGGCGGCAGTTGGAAGTCTGTGTATTTGTTCAGAGTTGTTCAAGGTCAAATGTAATTAATTTCATGATTTTTTAATGGTTCAAATATTGATATGTTTTCCTTTGTACTTCAGAATGTTCGCAATCTTAAAGAATTATATCTGGGACATAATGCAATCGGGTACGAGGGAGGCTGTGCGCTTGCAAAATGCCTTGGTAAGAATTACAACCTTTCGAATTGAAATACTAGTAAATTGTGATCATTTTGTAATAGTGTGACTATATTTATACTGCAATATTTTCTCCTTTCACAACGTTAGAAATTCGCTTGAAATCAGAATATTTCAAAAACATTTTTTTTCTAAAACTCAGAGGATAACACTACTTTAAGGATTTTGGATTTACAGTGGAATCATATTCGGAGAGAAAGTGCGTCAGCCCTGTGTAAATGTCTGTCCGTAAGTAATTACTTTCAAAAATCCTTATCAAGACACATAAGTCTTATTCAAAACATTTAAAACAAGTTCAAAACATCAACTTTATAATAACAGAGAACGGCACATCAGATTACTCTGTATATGTATCTTCTTTTTTACAATTTTAGACTTAATACCAAAATCATGAAAACACAATGGTTTTAATGTATTTACTCGTTATTGTAAATTTAGGAATAAGATATATGAACTCTCAATATGTTAGAAAACTTAATGTATATATTACTGACAGGAAAATGTGGGTCTTCGGACATTAGACATTTCATGGAATGGACTGGGTAAAGAAGGGTGTATCGCACTGGCCACATCCTTGCCTAAGAATGTCTACCTCAAATCCTTAATCATCACTTCAAACAGAATCGACATGTTGTCATTAAGGTTTTTGCTTCACGGTTTGGTCCGAAACAAAGCGCTTATTTCACTAGAGGTATTTATATTAGTAATCTTTAAAAAGCTTATATCGTCTTTTCCTCATAAATGTAGAAAAAAATGCATTGGTTTAATATGAATTATTAAAGCATATTAACCGAAAAATGTTACGTTTTTGAATTTAATCTTAAATTATATCATCAATCACAGATGGGACGTAATCCAATAACGACAGAGGGCGCTAAAGCAGTCATTAGGGCCGTGCTGTCTTCCAAAGTCAGCTCACTGGAAAGGATTTGTCTGGATGTAAGGGATCTCTTTTTTTCATTTCATTTACAAATCTCAATATATTCAACTTTTTCAAAATGACCTACACTAATTTGCATGCATTCAAAGTGGTTTTTACATTTTGTTAAAGGACATTTCTGTAGACGAACAGTTTATGGTGTTCATGAAAGAACTGTATGACAAAAAAGGAGTTAGGGTAACTCACGGGGAGCTACTCAGTAACGGAAATGTAGTTGAAGAAAAACATCACGATCCCCATGATCTTAATCGGTTTGATCCGGTTATGGTGCTGGTCGAATACATGCGGATCGATAATCTTCGACTCATCGACTTCTTCCAGTATCTCGACACAAACTCGAGAGAGAAGCTGAGCAAAAGTGATTTCCGAGAAGGGGCAGCGGTAAATCAAAAGATTCTTATTTTATACATGTATATTTAAACGCCAATAGCCAAAAATAAATAGTTGGACATAACGTGTAATTTTCTATTCTATTGCAGAACTTGTGTTTGCCCTTAACGGAACACCATCTTGACTTAGTCATGGAAAAGGTCGATTTAAAGAAGGATGGTTATGTGGACTTAGAGTAAGCATGTGTGCTTGGAATTTCAAAGAAAAAAAATCTGAACTGTATTTTTTCTAACAGATTAAAGTTTAATAAGTGTGATAGCAATGTCGACTTGAAATGACTTATTTTCATTTCAGAGAATTTATGACCGTGCATCGAGAAGTTTCTCGTCAGATCACACAAAGAACAACGAAAGCCAAATCAAAGAAGAAGGAAGACGAGGGTTTGGTCAGCTTACGGAAAATACTCAAAGAAATTGTAGAAAAACGCAACAAATCTCACAAAGAGAAGGCGAGTAATCGGGGCACAGGTCAAGGCCGTGATCACGTGACGACTAAAAATAGAACCCTCACAGTGACTAAACCTGCACTCTCTGCACAGCATGGACAAAGATGATAGAGTTTCCCTTGAAATACAAATATATTAACCAGATTCTTTCATGTTACTTTTTCTTTGAGGCATTTGACCGATCAAATAAAAAAAAATCTCTGCATTTGGTAAAATGCCTCTACTGTTATATATATTCTCAGCACAATCTTCGCCACATTGCACTAAGCATGTATTTTATAGAGTTAGATCCATACCTAAACCCCATCCTTTTATTACACTTAACAAAATTATCTCTTAACCAGCAATCTATCTACTCAACCCTGACAGTTTAATTTGCACAATTATAAAAAAAAGAATGAAGCATAAAATCTAAAGATTATCAAAATGGTGATAATGAACATCAAACTATTTTTTTCAGGCAGAAAATAAGTTCAACAAGTCATGACCTAAATTACCGACCAATGATAAGTAAGATATGAGTGTGACGTCATTTACATGTGAATAACAGTCACTATTTTCACATATTTGTGACGTATTTCATCACATTTGTACAAGTGATGGTGTGAACACAGTTAAATGTCTTTGTGTGATAATGTTCATAATCAATAATTATTTAACCAAGAATTTCCAAGTGAAAGTCAGATGAGCTCATACAAAGTAACTTATCAACGTCACATTAATCGGAAGTCATCACACAGGTTCGATAATTCATCAATAGGATTTGGGGGGTTATTGTCTGGATTAACAGTACACCTATTTTCGGTTTATACTCAGTAACTGGTTTGCTTTTGGCGGAAACAGTAAGTTACCAGGTTATCGTTTTTAGCAAAACATATACCCTGCGATACCCAGACGACAACATGACATTTCAGGTTCATGCATGATGCCTGGATTAGAAAGCCCATTGACCCCAAGGTATATAGTTCAAGGTCAAGACAGTTGTGAAAACAGTTCAATCAATACCACTTCTCGCTTTCTTACTTGCTGTAGAAATGCAACCTGACTGAAGAGGAAAAAAATATTCCAGGGTCAAAAGGCAAAGTTATCATTTTTCAAAGAGGGAGTTTGATTCTAGACTTAATTTTTATGCAATTTTTAGACAAAAAATTTCTTTACTTCATTATAGATATGTGACTTGCATTCTTGCATTGAAGAAGGTTTGATTCCTAAGCATAAGTTCACTATACGTAAGGGAATTTAAAACGATAGGATAGGTGCAGACCGGGTAGGAATGGGACTTTAATGTAACTGATCCATAACTTTTTGCTGAGTGAATAGAAAACAGCTGATATGTCTGTTTTAAGCGTAGATATTTTTGTGTTGTATGATTTTTTATATCCAAACTTCAAAACGATGTTTGGCTAGCATTGAAATAAAAATGAATTAATACCTAGAGAGATAAAAATAGAGGTCATTTATAATCCCTAATATATGTATACTAGAATAGTAGGATACACGCATCAAAAACGATTTTGCCATTTATCGGACTTTAAGGTTCATTGATACTCTGATAAGAGACATAACTCTTAATGACATAAATGTCCATTATTCCTTTATAGATTTGTCGAGTTGAAATGTCTTTTTTGTTAAATTTTGCCCCGCAAGCTATGATAAAATTGTATTTTACTTATAAAATAATTTTCTTTTGGAAAAATCATAAGAGTTAAAGCAACATTTTATATGAGTGAGCAGAGGGTTTATGAACCTTACGTACTAAACTAGAATCGGTACACTAATATCAGAAAACATTTATATGAACATAGCGTATAATATGCTTTCTTAAAAGGGCTAGGTATTGGTAAGATCTGGAATGAAATAGGAATTGATTAATTAATTATAATATCTAAAAGACACTTTTTTTGCAGAATCTGAATAAAAACAGCTTAATTCATTTTATCAACAAGCTTTATTTAATTGTGAAAATAACGTGGACAAATAAAATTCAGCGCCATAAAGATTAAATTTATAACAGTATACCATTGATGATGCCTCAGATTCTCAGTTGAATCATCTTTACACAAAGAGGGACAACTTTTGAATAAATGACATGAGTACCGTGCTCTGGGTATTGATTGTCGTGATCTACATATATCATCTTAACAACCTCCATTGAATTACGCTAATAATAGAAATTGATTTTCTTTTCAGCTTTTTGCTTGAATTTTATGTCACTTTATAGACATGTTGATCACCATAGGACATCTTGTTAAAACGTTTGTTTGTACAGGCCCGTGGCAGCGGTTTCAAAAGTGGGGGGAGTTCTAAAAAAATTTGATAGGCAAAAAAAAAAAAAAAGAACCTAATTAACCATCCATTTAAAGGTAAATTTACTATAGCTAAATACTAGTACTATACTCAGAAAAAGTGGGGGCTTCCCCCCTCCCCACTCCCCACTACGGGCCTGTTGTAAATGTATATACATGTACATGTCCTCGCGGTTTGTGTGCCCATTTATCAAATGCATTTCCGCCAAGAATGAGTTCTGCACATCACCAGTAAATTGACTTCCACAATTCCTAATTGTTGGTTTATAAGATAGGATAGAAAGAGAAAGCCAACTATATGGCTACTTTAAAAAACACTTTGATTCAAATATAGCTAAACCATCGTAAATGCTAGGTGCTCCATTCAAATAATTTACTTGTTGCAAATCATACTATGCTCAAAACTGAAGACAATGTTGAAAGGCATTCCATAAACACGCCTTTGATATAAAAAACGATATTTTAGAAATGATTAATGATTGCTCAGCTCTAAAAGTTAAGCCTTCAAAATCCATATCTTTAGAAAATAGGCCACAATGGCTATATATTTGACATAAGTCTATCTTTATGGATTAACCGAAATATTGGCTGCAGTTTTAGAACTCTAATTTTTTTTTAACACGATTAAAATATACTTCTCACTAAAATTAGCAATTCGTCTCTCTATTTAATTCCTGGTTTTATCTGATATAGTAATATTTTGACAGATTTCTGTAAAATAACGTGTTGCATTTTGATGTCAAGTCTTCAACATGTAAAGATGTTCATATACATGAAGTAATAATTTCATGTATTAATAATTTTTGTATTCTTTTGTAGGCAAGAGACAAAATTCAGATGAAAAATTCTGGAGGACAACTCACACAACTCGGTGCAGCAAGAAGACTTTCCGAAACAACCAATTCTCTTAAACCGACCAATCAGAGACGGAGAAACTCCATTCAAATATCGACATCCCCCCGCTCAGTCATATCAAATCATGATAATGGAGAGACAAATAGTCATATTTTAGAACAATGATTTTTTTCAGAGCGTACATGTAAATTATTTTGTTATGTTTATCCATTGAAACGAAAAATAAAATAAGTTTGATTTGTATGTTTTCAGTAACGTGATATGACAATAAACACAAGCAAGGAACACACACACACAACTCTCTCTCTCTCTCTCTCTCTCTCTCTCTCTCTCTCTCTGAAATAGTTGGTTTTGACAAACAAATCAAAATGAAAATAGCTATCTATCGCGGGATTCTTTCTATTATAAAAAATTATTCAAATAACTTTGGTTTACAGTTAGATTAAGCACTTTTCGTATACATTGACAAGAATGACCTAGGACCTGCAAAAACCCTATTCATTTGTGTAAACTTACTATTTCACATTACTAGTAATTAAATTGAAAACAATACATGAATGAATAACAACAAGGCCGCTGTAATATTATCAACCCAAGATTTAGCTCATCTCTTCGCAATGTTTTACAGTTGAGTTAGAAAAGTCATTTGCAAACCAGGAATCAACCAGCATTATTCATACTTTCAACATAAAGTCTGTTGCTTATATATAACTGATTTTTATTAGGTGGTCAAACAATACTGATTTAACGTTAAACTTGAGGTCAAATTATTTCTTTGCACTACTCTGCAGTTGTCGCTTTTGTCGAAAACTCATTTGCAGAATCACAGTCAATCCTTTGATGAAAAATCAAGACAACATACTTCGTTGACTTTATCATTGTATAGTGATCGCAAGAAATGTGAATTCTTCTACTAATCGAAGAGAATTTACATCCAAAATCATTGCAAAACATTGCAGTGCAACACAAGACGGAAGTTGCATTTTATACAAATTTTGTCTGTGCTCGGGCATAATCTTTAAAAATTTGCATAAATTTAAGTCACTCCTGCTCAAGTTAGACAACTCAACTTATGTCCCTTTGAAGTACTCACATACAGCATTTGTGGCAATCTGGATTATATGTATGTTCATATTTGGTCAAGTTGTATACTATAGAAGTCTTTAGCGTCCTTAAACAGATAACCAGCTATCAATTAACAACGAATAGGTGCATGACCATGGTACAGGTGTGAAATGAAAGAGTAAGTTTCTATCATAATGTAGTCACCGGTAGACTTATATTATGCATAGGTGTCAAATTAAACGATATAGGCCTATGCTTAAATAAAATCAACCCTTTTCTTATTCCCATTTCAATTATGAAGAAAATTTCCTATGCAGTTTTTGTAACAACGGCTAGAATTCTTAGATGAATTGTTGTAGGACATAAGATTCTTTAGCGTCCTTGAACCGGTAACCAGCTATCAGTTAACAATAAATAGCGGACTGGTTAATTGAGTGAGTTTCTCTCATCGTAGTATTACATCTAGACATTTAATCGTTAAAGGCTAATTTAATTATTTTTTTAAGTTGCAATGTCTACTGAAAATTTTATGACAATGGACTATTTTGTCCTATCCATGTAAATTACGCCCAAACTTCCAAATGAAATGTTGTAATAAAGTTCTGAAATAAACAGTTACAGGGTATAAGATTCCTCAAAGTTAAATTACAAATCTAAAACAATGGGCACTGATTATTTTCCTTGTTACATAAAGTTTAATTTATCTTGACATTTTTAAGTATATGATTGCGGGATAAAATAACTTCAGCATTTCATATTCATAAATACACAAAATATTAAAAGGAGAATTTTGCTCTGCTCTTATTTTGTAATGTTTAATGGACTTTTTTGCTCTAATGCTGTTCGTTATCTCCACATATTTCAATTCAATTAAAATCCAACTCCCTACCCCCCCCCCCCTCTCTCTCTCTCTCTCACACACACACACACACGCACAGACACACATTGTTGATTTGCGATGCGTAAAGAAATCAACATATAAAATAACAAATATCAGTGAGATCGTTTAAATATACATCTATACAAGTATATATACTGAAAAAGAAACACAGGGTCAACTTTTGATGTGATTTAATGCTAATTTTTTCGAAGGTATTTTCCAGTATTGTTATCTAGCATTTAAACACATCTTTAATCAATAAGTAAGAAATCTAATTTGATCGATTTTGACTGATAGTTCATAAATTATTGAAATTCATAAGACAGCACCCACGCAAGTGAAAATAAAATTTCTCATCAACTCCCTTGCGCATCTGTAACACCCTTGATTCTCCTCTGCATGAAATTCATCGGTGGATTTATCTTTCTCAAAAGGATATTATTCAACACTTCCGACGGTGCCAACCCTTCCGGTCGAGGGTAGCTGGGGCTTTCCGACGCCTTCAAACCCTACCGTCCAGTTGTTTGATTGGAGAATAAGGTAGACTCCACGGAGGCCAGTCGATTTGGTTAATGTTATTGTTTGCGTGAAAGTCTAGACAAACTCTGGCTACATTTTACCGAGAATGAACGTGCTAAAAAATAGGCATACGACGCGCACGTGCGTGAGTGAGAGTGATACCGACGTAAAGTTGACGAGTTCACAAACCAAAATAGACCAATGATTTCTTCCAGTTTTGGAATATTGTAACGATTATGATTGCCTGCTGTATTAATATCAGTTTCAGTGGAAATGACGTGGCGATTACAAAGGTGGCAGGATGAATAGCTCCATCTTGATGTGACGTTGTTACGCGCCAACGTCACTGTCAAGTTGGTTGGAAACCATTCCAGTTCTTCTCTGACAAGGGATTAAATGTCTTATGGTGGAAAAAGAATATTAAAAATGAATAACAAACTGTACAGCAACTCGTTACTGGCTTTTTCTTCTCTTGGGCAATTCAATTACTAAACCCAATGGAACTTCCGTCAGTCGTACCATGATTTTAAGAACATTCATATTGACTGTAAAATGCAGACCTCTCGTACATCAAGAGGTACATGTACTAAAAATGTAACAAACCTGTCATCATCAATGTGCACGTGTTTTTGGGTTTTCACCACTTTCCCTAGGTGACGTCATACACTTCACGGTTGAGAACTTTTGAGCACCGATTTTAGTGCACAGTTACCAATAAACACCTCTAACCTTTTTTTCCATAATTATCGGCCACGCAATCAAAAAATATTTCTCAAATTATGTTACCCTGCGTTTCTTTTTCCTTTCAGTATATTTTGTATATCTTTAAACAGGTGTTATTTCCAGGTCTTGATAAAAAAAGTGATTAGATGTAAATCAACATCAAAACAATAAGTAAGGGCTTATAGGGATAAATACTTATAAGATGGTGATTTATAACATATAGATTTAACTTCTTGTTTGTGCATATACATATAGTAATTCACGGTGGAATTTTAACAATAAGTAACTCCACTTTCAGATGACCATAAAGATCTCAAGGTGGCTTAAAGTATATTGACAGACAAGACAATTTACATAGTAGCGGTGTTTGTAAAACAATTACCTGGTCAAAAATTTTAGATATCTGTCCGATCACAGTCCTGCCCTTGTCAAAATTTGTGTATAATTTACAGTGAAGAATTCAAACCATGTTCTACACTCTGAATATATAGAAAAGGTAAAATATCTATAGGCCTGTTGGGGAAAATTAACAGTCATTTTTGAGGTATGTTTCGGTATAAAATCTGAGCTCTTTGGTGGAAAAAGTTAATTAGATAATGCATTATTAAAGCTTAAAGCATTTCCCATGTTGAAATTAAAAACCCTTAACGTTTTATGAGCCACTGAGCAAGACTTTTTATGGTTCTCGAGTCTCGATCTTGTAGATGTAATAACAAGAAAAGAACGACGAACGCATGAATATTTGTTTAATGAAAAAAATATTAATACACTGTAGTTGATAGTTATGCTTTAACATTTTGAATACAAATCATTAAGATTTTGTGTGTGTGTATTTTGATTTTGTATAAAACTTTCGATGACATCCAAACTATAGATCTCATACCCCGTCTTAACTAAGAGACCTGTGACTCTCACCTTGATCCATTGAGGAAAAATGCTGCAATTTCTTTAAAACCATTGTCTTTGAAGTTTTGTTTCACTTAGATTCGAACACAAGTTATCTATTCAATAGACATGGGAAGGTTTAGCAATCTAGAACGAATCAAATGAGAACATCGTTCAAGCTTATTTCATTAACACTTAGGAATTTATAAAATATTTTGTAAACCTGTCAATGGTTTATTAAATTTCATTTAGTAGATTTTCTGTCTCTTTGTATGCTTGAGATAATAACCTATGGATTTTCGTATGTTTGAACAATGGCGATATTACAGAGATTCAAGATTGATTGTTCTGAAATGGATGCTTGATAATTCTTCTGTGTGTGTCGTTATTTGATGAACTCTTTGCTGGTTGGACTATATTATCACCTATAACAGAAAAGGTCGAGATGAAATAGTCTTAATTTACTACGAAATGGACAGTTTAATGATTTCTATGCTGCACTTAATGAGAACTAGTGTTATTTGATGTCCTCCTTCGCTAGAAGTTTTGAGTTACAGCGAGTGGTCAATTTAGAAATATTCGTTTAAGTGGGTAATTATACTTTTTTTACATTGAAAAAAAAAGTGAATGGACAGCATGCATATGCAAGTTTGTCTATAGCTGTCTGTCTGTCCGTCTGTAATCAAATTTCAAAACGCTACTCCTCCTACAGTTTTGGTCTGATTTCAAAATAACTTGGCACATAAGTAGATTACACTGAGATACATAACGCTCTGTATCGGTTTTTGATTTCGATGAAAGGCATTGCCTTGGTTACTAAAAATAGGAAATTTTGTGAAATATATTCAAAACGCTACTCCTACAGTTTTGGTCTGAATTAATTATAACTTGGCACACAAGTAGACTACACTGAGATAAATAATTCTTTATATTGGTTTTTAATCTCGATGAACGGTGTTGCCATGGTTACTAAAAATAGAAATTTTTGTGAAATATATTCAAAACGCTACTCCTCCTATTTAGTCTGATTTAAATATTACTTGGCAAACAAGCAGACTACACTGAAATACATTATTCTGTATAACGGTTTTTGATGTCGAGGAACGGTGTTTCCCGTACTAACAACCAAAGAAAGATATTTTATTGTTTATATTTATATCTGTATAAATAATCATTTAAAGTAGATTGCAATGCTTACTGAAAATAGAAATTTCTCTGAAATATTTCCAAAACACTACTCCTCCTACCGTTATGATCTGATTTCAATATAACTTGGCACACAAGTAAACTATACTGAGATACATAATTTTCTTTATTTTTTTATTTTGATGAATGGTGCTGCCATGGTTACTAAAAATAGAATTTTTTTTTGAATTCGTTCAACAGTCTACTCCTCCTGAAGTTTTAGTCTGATTGCAATAAATCTTGCCAAAAAAGAGACTAATTTCCATTTATTGCTGTTGTAAAGTTTTAATAATGTTTATGTGCTACTTTTCTTGTTATAAGTACAAACCAGTAGAACTTCAGTCTCGTCAGAGACTTCTGGTTTTTGTAAATTGATTAATACACTATATGCACAACCAATGTAATATAACTTCTAAATATAATTTAAAGCAAACAAATACGTAACTTCTAGGCTGATGTGTAAATATTGGGACAAGAAAGATTAAGACTCTTCCTCTGGAGATCTTTACAATGTAAGCAAAAGCTCCTGATAATGTTCCCAATGCCTTCGACCTTAATAGCTAAAACACCACAGGGAATTTGTGAAATAAAAGAAATCGTTCAAATCATAATTCTGTACACTTATTATTATTAAAATTCACTGACTTTAATTAATTTAATTGCAATATCGATCAGAAGTGGTGCTGTGCCGTAAGAATAGACGAGTGCCTTTTCATAACAATGAACAAAAGATTTTGCCCAACGGATCGACCTATCGATTTCAAACACGTTATGCTGCTGCGGAAAAAAAAAATTAAAAATAGCTCCGTAAAACTTTAAACCTCTCGGTTTAAAGCAGCACTGAATTAAAAATTAAGGACCATCGTTGTCAGATATAAGGTAAGATTTTTAAAAATACATGTAGTTTTTCCCCATCTTTTCAATTTTTGGCATTAAGAGGAAAAAAATTCTACATCTATAGACTGACGGAGAGTAAGACTGATTTCAGTCGCAATGAACATGGAATTAATTTTTAAATATCTTTTTTATACTTTGTGATCAACTGAATATTTAAAGCAACGAACTACTTTATAAATTCATATGCTTAATAATATTTTGCTGACGATCTTTAAAAAAGTCGGTTAAAATCTCTCTTAAAACGAGAAGAGAGACCTTGATTTCTTCAAGAAAGACCATATAATTTTTCAAGCATCAATAAATCTATTAATCAATAAAATCTTCCCAAATTTTAATTTTTTATAAATATAAATACTTTAAAAGGAGAAAAAGTAAATCTATTTTATTTAAATTATAGTGCTCAATGAACGATTTTTTACGGGGTTCTGAAAATTTTGTATTTCTAAATCACCACATATTTATATTTGGTAATATATATTCATACAGAATAGTTTATAAGGCTGAAATAATAATTGTGTGCATTGTTTATAATTTACTTCTCAACAATATCTTTATTGTGTCTCCTTCACTTCTATTTTGATCCATGTTTAAACTGGAGCAAAGTTTGTGGTAAAGATTTTTTTTTTTTACGTAAAATGATACCTGTATAAAAAAAAATACCCGGGTATATCGTAAGGAAATATTCATGCTTGATTGTTTCAATAACGAACCTTTTATATTTCCTCTGTAACTTGTACAACAAGTGTGAATTTTCTTTGTGCGAGAGAAAAATACGAACACTGATATATAATGAACATGCCTTGTATACCAGAATATCAATATTGAACTTTAGAAGTAATCTGATGCCTGCATTGTTTGAAGGCGATGGTCGATACTCTAAATTCCTTTATATTTAATGTATGATGTATTAATCTTAGTAATTCGTATGCTAAGATAAAATTGATTTACGATCTCTTATTGTCATTACCCTGGACAACAGAATTTTTAACAATCCGTTCCAAGCAATAGCAAATAAATCTCCATTATTTCTGTTGATTTGAACTAGACCATTCTGATGCATGCAAAGGACCATGTTTGCATATAACCATATAAGCTCTTGCTAATTGACTAATATATTTACAGAATATCACAGATGTATTGCATTAAGTGATTTGTTTTACCCCGTATGCATCCTATACTCAGCATGGATGTTGATATTTCTCATATTTCTCTCAGATTCAATGACGTTTTAACCGTCTGCTCCCAATCCTTAAATGCAGTGTCGTCATCTGCAGGGCAATGTCGTCTGCTCAAGTTAGTCTGAACTTATAAACCGACACGTTAAGGATTTTAATGCATTCTGAATGAAGGAAAAGTTTTTTAAAGGATGAAGATAATCAAAAAGCTAATAAATTTTCTGTTTGGTGACCACAAAAATCAACTAAGTCGCTCTATAATGGACTAATGTGGAATACTTTAAAGGGTAGCGGTCATTCAACACATTAATGAAATTAAAAGCTTAAAAGTGTGGCTAGTTGATGAGAATATACTTTTAATTTCATTAATTTAAAACCCAAACATTCCCGGTGATTTCTTGTGCTTGATAATTATTTTAGTCCAGATCATGACAAAGTTCACGGTTTCTTTGATCAATGTTAATGATTAAAGACTTTTGCTGTTGTACCTAGGTTGTCAATTGAAAATGGGACAGACTAAACAATGACTGTACCCCGAGAAGAGTCCCAAGTCTTTATCACTAACAAAGACCGACAACTCACTGTTCTTACCGACCAAAAGAAGGAACATCATCTTCCACAGAGTCCTGACTGCTTGAAAACACCAACAGATACAGGTAATGTAGTTTTAAAAATCTAAATTAAAGCTGAGTGATGATCAAAACAAATAAATGCGACATTGTTCTACCGATAAAGTACGTTTAAACAATTAAATTTTTATTTCAAAAACATATTCTGTACTAAAATCAGATGGAGACTCCTATTTCTTTGACACTCCAACGCCGGAAGTACCGGAGACTGTCATCTCCTCTACCAGTCAGAGCACCTACCTTAAAGCCTGCAGGATGTTAAGTATAACGCCCTCTACCTTCTGCCTACGATGCTTGAACGAAGCCACACTTGTTATTCCCCATCATGGTATCGGACCCTCTGGTGCCAAAGCTGTTGCCATTGCACTTGTGGTATTGTCTTAAACTGCGTTTCCTTACTTGTCAAATTCATTTAATTAATGCAATAAAGTAATGTCAAAGTATATTAACACATGTATTGTGTAAGGTAAGATTCTTATTGTAGTTAGATTAATATTGAGACTATAACTGGAAATTGTTCAGATGATACTATACCTCTAGGGCCGATACATTTTGACCTTGTACTTTCTCGAATGTTGCATTCAAATATGACGATATATATGTTTGTGAGTTTTAAAGGATGTAAAAAAAAATTTAAAAGGATGATCCTTCATTTTTGCTTAAAACAGAGTTCTTACCATTAAGTTCCGACAACCCCTTGCAGCCGATACCTCCCAAAGAAGACTTTCTCGTTCATGACTAAGACTTGATTATTTTTTGAAAACTCTTCCATTTAATTTCAGAACAATTCAACTATATCGCGTCTGGATCTTTCCAGTAACGGCTTAGAGAGTACCGGATTGTTCTACATTCTAGAAATGTTACAGTCTAACAAGATGATATCAGATATTGTGAGTAAAAAAACTCTAAATTATTTCAAATTAGTAAAATATGAATCAGAGGAAACTGAATTAAACAACTTATTTATTCAAAACAAATATAATAAGTTAGAATATAAACAAGGTGTTCATCATTCATAGAATCTAGCCAGAAATGATCTTGGTTCCAGAGGAGCTCAGCTGATTTCAGAGTCTCTTAGGAAAAATAAAACGCTCACAAAACTCAACATTTCTGGTAAATGTATTCCCAGTATAGAAACAATGAAATATTTTTGTTCTTTTGTAATTTTTATTTTTGCGACGCTCTTTGATGGTAAAAGAGTTAAAACAACTTTCTTAGAGAAGCAACTTTTTCTTTTCTAGGAAACAATTTCTCAGAAAAAGACGCAAATTATTTAGGAAAGCTAATAAAGGTAAGGAAATAGTTTTTCGTTCCAAATTCAGATACTGAATAATCCTTTTGAAAATTATTGTAATCAAAAGATTTTTGCTCGACATGTATAAAACTCACAGGTGACTCTCGATGGCTCAAATCTTGATCGATCAAAGTTTTTTTTTAATCTTTCGAAGTGAGTCTCCCGTCCCCCTATATAACTTTCGCGAACCCTTAATCTCTCCGAACCCTTGATCTCTGGAAGTCAAGATCTCTGCATTCCCATAATGCATATTCTATTGTAATTTACCCTCGATACTTGTACATCGAAGTGGGTATGTGTACGCAAGCTTGACCTATTAATGCTGTACATAAAGACATTATACACGTTAGCAGTGCATGTACTTTTATTTTAATTGAGGATGCAGGATTTTTTCCGGGGGTTGGGCCCACCAGCACAGAGTACTTTTGAACTCAGCAGAATTTTTTTTTGACAAACCAAAACAACAAAAACAAACAAACAAACAAAAACTTTCTTAAACCTGAAAAAACCTATTTCATGGTGATTGGGGTGGGGGTGGGGTGTATGACAAGTCATTTTCTTGAGTCAATTAACTTCAGATACATGACTCTCCTAATCATTTAGGGGAAGGGTTCTAAAGTCATTTTTTTTTTCGTATTATACATTGAAATTTAATAACTCTGAAAATCCCGGGGACGGGGTTTCTGACCCCCTTTCTAGGTCCGCTCTTGAAGGACACATTTATTGTTTCTTGTCATCTAGAGTTATCCGTGCTTAAATTCTTAAACTTAGAAATATCTTGACGGTTAAATCATTTTCAAAATCCACATTTATCTTGAAATGTTTATTTGTTATCTTTTTAATCTATTTTCCAAATCAGCACAATCTAACAGCTTATGCTCACATTATAAAGAAAAATACTCATATATATAAATTCTTTTAGCTTTCTGGTCTTAAATATGACTTGCACGGTGTCTCGTGTACATTGCACAAAAACCAATAACTAATATACTTGATATTCGTTATACACGTATGTAAAAAAAAAAACAACAACAACAACAACAAAAAAAACAACAACAACAACAGCAAAAAAAAAGACAAGACAAAACAAAACAAAAACAACACTTGATTCATTTTTTTTCTATGCGTAAAAAATGGTACATGATAGGTTCAATGATATGTTTTTGTACTTTGTAGAAAAACAAAACAATAAAAGAGTTAGTTCTTAGCCACAACAGTTTCCGGGAACAAGGGGGCGTTGTATTGGGCGGAGCTCTGGGTATGTCAACAATGTGGTCATTTTTAGGGCCTGTGTAGCAGTATGTACATAATATATATTTATTTTTCTCTTTAGAAAAAAACTTACAGTGTATATGAGCAATTCTCTGAATTTATGAGTGAACTTGTAAAATCTCACCTAGCATTCCGATGCGATTAAAAGGGTTTGTTGGACTTTCCTTTAAACACGCATGACATGAATAAAGTATGTTAAATTGATCAGTATTTGATATACATATTATTCTAGAATTCCTTGTATAAAACCTTTTTTGTTTGAATGTATGTACTTATTTATCTATTTAGGCTATGACACTCTATTCCATGCACCCGCTTTTGTGTGCCAAAATGAAAACAGGGTCCTGTTTTTTCTCTGAAAGTATGCCTTGTTTCTAAAACTGTCTATTACGTCGGACCGTTCAAAAAAGAGTAGATATGTCTTTAACCGTAAATTTTCTAAAAGTAAGAACTCTAGAATACAGTATATTGTTAGCCTGTTCTTTTTTTTTTTTAATATGTGCTTTGTAAAAAAAAAAAAGCCTTAATTTCAGCGAAATTGTAATCCAACATAAATACATGTATAATTTCCAGGCCCATACCAACGGTTTGAAAAGTGGGGAAAGGGGGGGGGGGCAACCTCCCAAAGAATCTGACAAGCAAAAAAAACCGTCCTCAACTGTTCAAATCCTGGAATTTGCCTAACATTACAGCAAAAAGTGGGGAGGGGGGTGGGCAATCAGCATCTAAATGGAAATGTATAATAGCACGGTATTATACTTCGAAAAAAGTGGGGGGGGGGCTCCTCCTCCCCCCCCCCACCCCCCGTGTTCTACTGGCCTGAATTTCGTACTACATGTCGTTAACTTTAAAAAGAGAAAAGGTATACGACTCCATTTTGTTTTCTTCGAAACACTTTGTAAGACAATTGATTTGAAAAAATGTGTTTGTTAAACACAAATTCCTCCATCCCCACCCTCAGTGGTTGATCTTCGTTCTTTGGGGGCATAAAAAAAAAGCAAAAAAATGATTAGGTGAAAGGATCGATGAAGTGGTGTATGATGTAATGGACGTTTGTCTTATATATACATTCTATTTGTTTAATAGTAGGGTCTCTAAAAATGGCTTGAAGACGTAATATGGAACACATTGTTGGAAACTCTTTGCTAGGCTTAATGTATTATACATGTATCTATTTTATTTTTAGTCTTAGATGTTTCAGGAACATAATATAATTATGGATGTTCATTTACATAACAATGCAATACGATTTTCTTTTACTCATTATCCCAACCTTTAGAAAAGTCATATGGTCCTTTTTTGCATTTTATAGATTAAAAGCAAAGGGTATTAATTTCCATTCCAGAACAAGCAAAGAAGCAAATCTATTTTTACTGACATTCGTGAACTTTAACATCAATTCTTTAATAAAAACAACAGCCGATAATTGATTTTCTTATTGATTGAAATAAGAAGTAATGAAGGATATCTTTTATCTTGTTCACTTTTTACACTAGACAACTCCATCATCAGTTTTATGGATTTATCTAATAATAAAGGCGAAATTCTTCAACAAACAATGTCATAAATCTGTCAGGATATGGGTTATTTTTGGTTACTGTTATAAGATATTTATCAAATTTACCATATTTTCATGAAAAGATAAGTTATTTGTTTATTTTTTTTCCAGTTGTGTGGAGTATTTTAAGATAATGTAAAACTCCACAAAAATGCTTTTTATGGTAATATATATATATATACTCTGATGAAATTTTTTTAGAGTGTAACCGTGTGCTGAAGAAACTAGATTTGAGCTGGAATCACCTTAGACAGCTGGGTGCTGTAGCCATTTGTTGGAGCATAGGGGTAAAAATTTGTAAATACTTGTCATAGTGACCAATATCTTATAGCTATCACACTATTGATGTCTTCTATTTATGTAACAAAAGGTATAAAGTTATAAATATAATTTTTTATGCTAAATAATAATTTGGAGGGTTTTTTTGTCCGTCTATCTATTCCCTGTCTGCTACTTTCACTTCTTCATAAGCTATGAAGAAAACAACATCATATATCATATTTAGTCAGATGTCAGCTAATGCTTCAGAGCTTGGAATGACCTTGAGCCAAGGTCATCTGAAGAATGTCAAAATTTGCATCCAAACATTACTTATCCATAAGAAACATTAGAAGCCTAAAAATGACAACTGGGAAAACGGAAACTATGATTAGAAGGTCAAAGGGCAAGGTCACTACAGGGACTGTGTGTGGTTCTAAATTTTAAAAAGGAAAATGGTAAAAGCAAAACAGTTGCTTATGTCTGAAGGATGACTTTAATAAAGGTCATTTGAAAGTCACAGAAATATATAATGTACATGTTTGATTTTTAGCTTATCTGAGTCAAAGGCTCAATGAGTTATGTTTGGCGTTCATCTGTATGTCTGCCGTCTGTAAACATTTCACCTTCTCCTGAACCAATGTGCGGATTTCAACAAAACCGCCACGAAGCATCCTCGGAGAAAAGGAATTCAAGTTTGTTAAAATTAATAGAGAGTCACGTCCTCTTCCAAAGGGAGATTAAGAAAACATCTTTAGAATAAATTAAAAATCTTCTTATGAATATCACGGCCAACACAAACAAAAACTTACGTAAAAACTTTCATATACAAGATTAAGGTTAAAGGAAGAAACATACTTTGCATGATAAAGATTTATATGTTTAACAAACATAAAATGTCAAGCTTATTGGTTTAAATTATGTTTATACTGTTGAAATTATGACTTTTTTCTTTTAATTTTTCCCTAAACCTTTTTCTTAAAATATGGATTTTTTCCCAATTATTCAGATATTCCTATTATTATTATTTACTTATAATTTATATAAACAGGAGAACACAAGTTTGACGTCATTGGATCTCTCATGGAACGGATTTGGAATGGAGGGTTGTCATGAAATGGGCAAATCTCTTCTAAGAAATCGAACTTTGACCTATCTTGATCTTAGTTCCAATCGTGTATCCTTTGACGCCTTTAGACAACTTTTGAGAGGTGTGGTGCATAATAAAGTCCTCAAAGTTCTTAAGGTACACTCACGTATACCGGGTATATTTCAATGCATTTTAAAGGCTTCTAAGTAGAACAACAAATAGTAAAAGTAAGATTTCTTAGGTTGGCAGCAATCCAATAACAACAGACGGGGCATTTGCAATTTTACAGTCCATTGCTGTTTCTGACACATCACTCGAAGAAATTGATTTGAAGGTATATTACATAATAATTACGTGCGGTCGTATATATCAGAATGCAAAACATGTACATGTAGTTCAGACAATTGTAATTGATCAATACGAATAATGCTCAACTTCTGAAGACCCAATATTGCCTCAATGTAATTTTTTTTTCACAGGATGTTTCAGTTGACAGCGATTTCGTTGATCTGCTAGAGCAAATTAAGAAACGACGCCCTCTTACCTGCCATTATGGCAACACCTTACGTCATGATGAGATCAAGAAAGGAGACGTCAAGCGTGTGTTAGACACAGATGATCCGGTCACCGTCTTGTTCGAATACATGAAGCAAAAGAATCTGCGGTTAATTGATCTTCTACATAACCTTGACAGAGATCACAGCGACACTATTACAAGAGACGAGTTCCAACAAGGCCTGTCTGTAAGTATCTGGAATTTCCTATTGACTAATTATACTTCATCTTTTGCTTTCTTTTATTTCAAATGAAAAGACAATTTCATCTTATTTGCACACTGTGGTGTATTCTGCGAAAAAAAGCTTTTTTTCACTCTGTTACAGAACATTGATTTACCACTGAGTGGTCGGTCACTGGATATCTTGATGAAGAAGTTAGACACAAACAGAGACGGATCTGTGGACTACGAGTATGTCATGCCAAACACCTCTGTCACGTGATCTTTTTTTCAATATAGAGTTGAAGAGACAACTTAAAGCTATGATCATCCTTACTTAAGAAAAAAAATTGTTATTTAGCAAAACAAGTTAAATGTTGAAAATTGTCTTCTGATTTTGCAAATTTGTAGGGAGCTATCAGCACGACACAAAGAATACATGAGAAAAGTCACCAGACTACGGCTTCAGGCTGACCTCGGTCCTAGCCACTACAAAGGTTACGACAAACTGGAGCAATTACGAGAGGCTGTGCGTCTGAAGATATCACTCAACATGACACGTCAAAAGACGGACACACAAAAATTACCTGATGTTTGACAGTGTTTTGTTTTCTTTGTTATCAATCGGCTATTTCTCAGTAACAAACTGATTGAAATTTATGTTCTAATGACCTTGGACGATGAATTCATTTACTTTTATTTTAAATGATTTTTTTTCTTCAGATTTTGACTATATTTTTATTTTCAAACGTTTCAATATCAATATACAGGATGGTTCATTAGAATTTAAACACAATTTCTTAAAGTTATGCAGTGCAGTAATGTAAAATGTTTCTTATTAATTAACGGTGTAAAGTTTTGTCCAATACATTGCACCACTATCAGGTACAAATCCCGCAGTTTTGAAATACCGAAAATCAGTACTTCATTACCGAAAATTTTTCTTATCAATACCGGAAATATTTATAAATGTGTATCATTACCAAAAACTTTATCATTAATTTTCCAAAATTATACATTTCCAAAATTTTTCCAACTTTCATACCTCTTCCGTTAGCTAGGCTGATATCCCCCAATTTTGAAACGGGGAGATGAAAGAGGATTTTGAGCAGTATATAATGTTATTATTTACAATCGATTTCAAACTGGGGTAAAACGCTTACAATTTTCATCATGACAATTTGCATCATACTTGTAGCCCAAAGTGGAATAAGTGTTGCCATGACACGGATACTTACCCAGTTAGTCAATATACATTTCGTTTATGGCTGCAGTAGCGAACTTTTCCCGTCACACCTTTAGCCTCAAACGGTATCTCATGAATTCTTGAGAATGATGTCTAATATTCTTTCGGAATTAAAAGAAATAATGCTCAGTAATGATAACAAACCAACTAGTTTTCAAAATTTTCGGTAGTGCAATGCAGCCATAAATCCGGGGAGACTGGCAGCCATTTTTATTCAAATCGTCATGGGATCAGATATACTTGGTTTCCTCCATCTTTGTACATCGAGTTACTCTCTTGCAAATTAAGAGTATTAATTTTGTTTTAAGTATCTCATTACATTGGTCTTAGTACAGTTAAACATTTGCAACTTGGTCTTCTATATTAAAAATACAAAAAAATTATTTCTAAGTTTTCTTCTCAGATGTTCGGTGCTGATGGATCCACAGTATTATACATTGTGTGCTAGATAACTTTCCTCTTTGTAACTTGTTATTGATGGTCAATAAATGTTATGAATTAATCGTGTTCCATTTTCCTTTTGAAATGAATTGGGTACATTCCTGAAGCTTGGAAGGTTAAAAAGTAGTGGTACCACACGGTATTTGGACGCCTTACTTAACCTTTCCAATGTTAGCATGACTGGAGATTTCAGTCGAGAATAGTTTGGATAAACATGGGAAGTGCAATAAATTCCGGATTAAAATCAAGAGTATTAAACAATTCAGTTCAGTCACTTATTTACCAGTTCAGGGCACAGAGAGGACAAAAGGAAATTACGGTGAGTGTGAAAATGTATATATATATATATATATATATATATATATATATATATATATATATATATATATATATATATATATATATATATATATATATATATATATATATATATATATGCCTGTGCTTTCCATTGTGAGCATTTTTTTTAAATTACACCTAGACTGCAGATTTTGAAGGTATGTCAAAAATCAAAAAATATTTCCTTACTGAGAACAATGAACTAAGAACGGTTTAAGGACATACGCAACGTACCTTACCTACTGATAATTTTTCAAGACATTCTTAAGATTATAGTGCTATCAGATGTTTGTAGACAAAAAATCAGCATGCATTACCAGGGGTTTTGAAAAGATATCAATTGATGAAAATTCTTGTATAATTTAAAGAAAAATATACAAAAATTACTAAACATATATTCTAGATGTTTTGTTTATCAAAACTTGTTTTAGAAGAAGTGTACAACAGCATTTATAGACATTAAAATGTAGTACACAGTTCCTTTAGGTATTGGAACTCTTCAACTCCAGGGAAAAAGACAATAAAGTTCGAACTACGTTGCGTATGTCCTTAAGCCTTACCCTCACTCGAGTTTTACTCACGTATCACTGATGCATTTAGAAATAAATAAAGTGAAACCATGAATTTTAAGTTTACCATTTATTTAAGTAGTATATTTATAACGAGTAACGGAGTATAAGAAATATTTAGTGACACCCCCTCCTTTTTTCAAGACGAGAAAAAGAATTTGATTTTGGCAATTCATCATGAAATATTTAAATAATTGTGCAATTAAATCCTCTCTCTCTCACCCTCTCCTTTTTGGGGGGTCGGGAGTTGGGGTGAGGTAATAAATATTGAGAGTACACTACAAATCCTTTGATAAAGTATCTTATGAAAGATAACTCTAAACATTGAGAAATGCCAGTGTTGAGTTACAGTCCTTAGTTTCATCACGTGACGTGTCTCTAGGCTGTGACGTCATAATAGAAACTGCGGTTTCCTCATATCCCATCGCAAAATTTTGTGGTAAGAGAATCTTAAAAGAAGTGATTTTCAACTGATGTATTAAAGTTGTACCTTTTAGTGACTTGTTACATTCATATTTTCTTTCGTAATCTTACAGATTTTTACATTTTTACATTGATTTTTTTTTTTTTTGTAATCTTACAGATTTGGGAGTTTTTGGAAGTCTTCAGTTATTGAAGATTATAAACATATATTCTTGGGGTGGCTACTCTGAATTTTCGGATCCAGGTAAGAGAGAATTTTTATTGGCCGTGTCAACCACTTAAGTATATTTGTATTTATGTATAGAAGGATGAGCGGAAAAGAACTGTAGCTTATTTTCATCAATTTGTTTATTTTATTTTTGCAGGATTAAGAGGCATTTCCTATAGTTTCCTGGTCTTGGACAGTTGTCTTCTGGGGTCTAAGTAAAAATTACCTGTCTGTATCAACTCGTTTATACAGATAGGGCATTTGATTTGATATATTGATTTTTTTTTTTTGTTCAAATTATAGTTACTGTTCTTTTTGCGTGTGGTTTCTCTCTTAAATTTTTTGTAGTTTATATAATGGATCAAACAATGGTTCCGTCTGTGGATGAGTCTCATTCTGGGGATACTAAGGTACGTACCACTGGTCTGGTTTTTCATCTGTCAGGAAACCAAGTAGCATTTTCATTATCATAAATATTTAATCTACTAATTTCCATTTACCAGTTATTATCATTTAGAATTTATCACCGGTCCTTAATTAATTGGCTTGATGTATTGTAAACTGTGTTGTAGTTGTTGAAAACTTGTCTACTTTTCCCATCAGTTTATTTAATTGTTTACAGCAGAATGAAGAAAATGCAACAAATGTCCCTCCTCCGAGGAAGGAATTGGTATGTATACACTAGGTCATCGTTCATTTGCATTATTTTTTTCAATTACAGTGTACTAGCAATTCTTTTTATACAGGGGCAGATCCAGGGGGGGGGGGGGTCACATTAACTGTAACAATTAAATGTCACTCGGAATGACTCGGAAATATTTGACAAGCAAAATTAAAAAAAAAAAAAAAACAACTTTTCCCAAACCTGAAAATTCTATTTTGGGGTGGGTGGGTGATTGGAGGTTGGGGTGGCTGGGGGTAGGAGACGACCCTTTGCTAAGTCAATTTTCTTTTGAAAGATGATTCTCCTTAACATTTTTAAAGGCCGGGGTCCGTGTTTCCGAAAGGGGGGTTCCAGGTTCTTTACTTTTACATAGAAATTTAACATCTCTGAAAATTTCCCGCGGAGAGTGAGGGGTCTGGACCCCCTCTAGATCCACCCATAGAAATGTAATTTATATTAATGTATGTGTCTCTATTTCGAAATAAGGCCATCTTTTAAAGAATTCTGTGCTTGCCTAATTCAAGGAAAATGTCAATTAAGCAAAGAAAAGCCAGTCAAGCAATTAATTTACATGTATAGAGTTAACGTTTTGTGGTCTTAGCGCACCAAAGCTTCCATGATGATAATGATGGTAGAACACGATGATGTTGACGATGAAGATGAAAGTCCAAAAGAATTGGATCAGGCTGTATGATTATATACCTATTATAATATTCTTGTCTCTGTGTTTTTTCTTCTTCTTGTAATCAATTGTACTGTAAGCTAGCTTGTTCAGTAAGAACGTACGTAATTTTTGTTTCAGACCATGTCTAGCATGTGCATGTTGCCTGCAGAGATCGCCTTGAGAGAACAAGTAACTAAACTTGCTTCATTATTTTCCCACTTAAGACTATGTATGGAACGATTACAGAAAAGAATCAGAAGCATTTTGTTAAAAATTGCTATACAGCTGTCTTGTAATATAGACATTGTTCTTATTTCAGGCACGACGACTTTCTGAGATGAGCATGAAGGATGCTCTTGCTGAAGCCTTTATTGAATCTGAGGTAAATCTACCTTCAGAACTGTAGCATTATGGTTTTTTATTTTTCTCCCGAACCCGACCCCCCCCCCCCCCCGGGGCACCAAATTTCTCTTTGACTTAAACGCTACAGATCCCGTAATGCAAATATTGTGAAATTTACGGCGCAAGATTTATTTTGCGCACTTTGGGTATATTTCGCCACTTTCCAGCATTGGTCAATCAACGACCTTTCATCCCCTAATTCTAGAGATATTCTATATATAACCAACCTGTATATTTAATCTACCTCCTAACCCTTTATAGTCGTCTCTAGAGACCAATAAACTTTTATGCCACCCGACAACAAATTCACAACAGGCGAGAAAGTAGCGAAATACATCCTCAAAGTGCGCAGAAAATTTTTCGCCGTAAATTGCACTTTATTTACATTACGAGATCTGTAGCGTTATGGTCACAGACTAAAATATAAAACTATATCGCTACAGTTCTGCAGCTAAGGTAAATCATATGAAAGTTTGTAGACTGATCCCTTCATTAACGTCCGATTTAAAGATATCTGATATAGTTAAATGAATCTTTATAAATCTTTAAAATGTTAGCTTTGTTGAATAAATGTACGTGATTGACAATTCGCTATCACTTTCACACTTCCTCTTATATTCTTATGAGTTTAATCAATGTCAAACTTGCATAAAGAAAGGAAAGTTCTTCATTTAACAGACCAGGAGAATGTCTCTTATCGCCATCCATTCAGCCTTTTCAGCAGCTGCAATGTTGCAGTCAGACGAGAGTCGCCCAGCTAAACGCAAGGTTGGACTCGGTCTAAATCTTGTTAATCCTAATTACTTCATACGTGTATTTTGTTTCAACGAATTTTGATTAAAATATAGAACAAATTATCAGTCTATCAAACATGTTTTCATTTCAGCCCAACTTCTTCAGAAGATTTATTTCTTGTTGTTTCTCCTGCATTGGTAGAAGGAGCCGTTAATTTTTATTGTTGTATTGTTAGCTGGTTATTTAAAATAAAGTACATGTATTCTAACTAAAGAACGTGTTTTTGGGTTTTTTTCCTCAATGTCCAGGTATATCAACTGATGAAAAATGTTTTTTTGAACTTTGAGAAAATTATATAGCGTAAAGGCTTATACAATAAAATTATCTTGTTCATCTTTTTATTATAATATAGGGTACGAGCCTTTTTTTACCCAGGAAAAGTCTTCAAAGACAACAAAGTAATGCACTATAAAGAACAAGATGTGTTTGTGAACACACTGATGCCCCCGTATGGCAACTTATAGCGAAGATTAAACTTTCTCAGATGCAAATCAAATATGTTGGCATCCAAAGTAAGGCCTTGTCTCGAGGAATATACCTGTGAAATATGAAAGCCCTGGCAGCAACCATTCAATAGATAAGGAAAAGGTTAAAGTTTTCAAAAGTTATCCCAAACAACAAGGTCAAATAATGGTCAAAATTAATGGTACCCAAAGAAAGGCCTTCTAACAAGAAATACACATGTGAAATATGAAAGCCCTAGCACCAACTAAGCAAAAGTTATGGCCAAGGTTAAAGTTTTTTCATTAGTAGGTCAAACTCAAAGGTCATAGGGTCAAAGTTGTTGGTATCCATAGTAAAATCTTGTCACAAGGATTACATATGTGACTCAAAGGTCATAGGGTCAAGTTGTTGGTATCTAAAGGAAGGTCCTGTCATAAGGATTACACATCTTTTAAGTATGAAAGTCCTAGCACCAGCTGTTCAAAAGAAATGGCTAAGGTTAAAGGTTTCCAAAAGTAGGTCAAACTCCAAGGTCAATGGGCTATAATTATTGGTATCCAAAATGAAGGAAGGTCTTGTCACATGGAATACACATCTTAAGTATGTAAGCCCTAGCACCAACTGTTCAAAAGTTATGGCCAAAAAGTTTTCCAAAAGTAGGTCAAACGTCAAGGTCAAGATCAAAGTGTCAAAGTTGTTGATATTCAAAGAAAGGTATTGTCACAAGGAATACATTTGTGAAGTATGAAAGCTTTAGAGTCATCCGTTCAAAAGTTATAGCCAAGGTTAAAGTTTTTCCAAAAGTAGATCAAACTCCTATGTCAAGGTCAAAGTGTAAAAAATAATGGTATCGAAAGGAAGCTCTTGTCACAAGGATTACACATGTGAAGTACAAAATCCCTAGCACCAATTTTCAAAAGTTATGATCAATGTTAAAGTTGGGTAAAATTTTGCAAAACTGGATCAAACTGCAAGGTAGAGGTCAAATATGATGGTATCCAAAGAAAGATCTTGTCACAAGGAATACACATGTGAAATATGAAATCATACCTCCAACCAATCAAAAGATATGACCAATGTTAAAGTTGGGTAAAATTTTGCAAAACTGGGTCAAACTCCAAGGTCGAGGTCAAATGGTCAAATATGATGGTACCCAAAGAATGATATGTGAAATATGAAGCCATACCTCCAACAAGTTTAAAATTATGGGCAATATTAAAGTTTTTACGGACAAACAGACAGCTAGACAGACGGACAGACAGGGCAAAAACTATATGCCACCGAATCTTCGATTACGGGGCCATAAAAATTGCGTTTGCTTACTCAAAAGGGGAAAATACTCGCAAAGAAAGTTTTCAATTACTCTATCTTGGTCTATTAATTTAAAAGGTTTAGAACACTTGAATTGATTAATATTATTATAAATATCATATGGTGCATCAGCCCTATTACACAAAAGTACACCTAAAATAAGTGCGCAGTGTAGAAAGGTCCTTAAAAATAGCACTGCTTGTAACACATCGTTATTTTAAAAGAGTAGCAGAAGACTCTCAAGGCATTCTTAAGACAATCCTTGCCTTCGTCTTCTTCTTCTTAAAAAAAAAAAACAAACAAACAAACAAACTTGTTTGTAAAACACTGATGTACGTACCCGTATGGCGGCTCAAGACCAAGGTTGAAATTTTTCAAATGTAGGTCAAACTCCAAGGTCAAGAGTTTAAAAATGTTGAAACACAAAGAAAGGTCTTGTAAAAGGAATACACACACTTGTGAAATAAAATAGCTCTCGTATCAACCATTCAGAAAATATGGTCAAGGAGGACAAAAAATAATGGTACCAAAGGAAAAGTCTTGTCACAAAGAATGCATAAGTGAAAAATGAAAGCCCTAGTAGCAAACACTCCAAAGTCATACGCAAGGACAAAGTTTTCTTCCAAATGTAGGTCAACTCCAAGGTCAAGATCATGAGGTCGAAAATGTTAGTACCCAAAGAATAAAAAATAAGAAAGTCCTAGCTTCCACCCTGCAAAATTTATGGCCAAAGTTAAAGTTTTTCAAAAGTAGGTCAAACTCCAAGGTCAAGGTTGGAAAGTCAAAATGTAGGTAGCTAAAGAAAGGTCTGGACATAAGGAATATATATACACATGAAATGTAAAAGCTCTAGCTCCAACTGTTTGGTATTTTTTTTTTTTTTGCAAAAGTAGGTCAAACTCCCAGGTCAAGAGGTCAAATACAATGGAGGGGGACAGGGGTTCCGATCCCTTTTTGTGTCTCAAAATATACATATTAAGGTTACATAACATTTTTTTTTTGTGTGGCCCAGTCTAGACGAACTCCAAATACAGCGTTTCCGGAAGTAAGAAAATGAGACTGAAAAAGACTCCGAAAATAGAGTCCGCGCATGCGCACACACACAAAAAATGGCGATTTTTGGCCAAAAATGATGGGTCTACAAAAACTGTCCATGCAAAGTTTTGGGAAGTATGGCAATTATTCTAGTACTCAGAAATGCTAAATAAAAGACGTCAGAAGAGATCGTATTTGTCAGATTTTTGATTTTATTTGCATAAAAGGAGATATTTACTTTCAAAGTTAACGTTTCAAGTCAGATCAATTACAGAGAAAATGATACGTTTTGAGAAGTAAATATGCATAATAAAAGGGACATATGTGCAAAATGGGACAATATATATTGTAACTGTTAAAAACTTGACTGAATTTTACACATAAATTAGCATTACGGTTTTTTATTTGTGTACAACATCTGAATTGTACGCGCAAGTTTTTGCCATCGTTATTTACCGATTTTTTTTATCACATACGAACAGATATTATTATTAAAACATTTTTATAACTATTATATATCAATACAAAAACTTTAAATACTCACTCTTCTAGATATTAAGGGCACAACATGTCTTCTAAAAAAAGAACCTGTTAATCTCTACTCCGTGGTGAAAAATGCGCATTTTCTGATTAAAATAAATACAAGTTGGGTGTCTTCAAAAACAAATAAAAGCACCCTTATTGTAGGAACGACATAAAATTAAATCAAGGAGACTATAAATTAATTAAGCAAGTATTTCTTACCGGTAGTATTGAATTCGATGTCGTATATCCAATTCACTATTATGCAAGTGTTTGAAGCGATAAATAGGTCAATATCCACAAAATAATTTAATAAATGCAATTATCCATTCAACAAAAAAATAAAATGAAGTAACAATGCACTAAATACAGCCTTTTGCAGCCGTTTATTTGGAGAAAGCGAACGACAATCCCTTGTTTGTTTACATCGGACGCCATTTTGCCGCAATGCATGATGGAGCCAAAGACTTCGTTTTAGGAGTTCACGCTGTTTTTGGAGTTCGTCTAGACTGCTGAGCATCCACCCCTACCCAAAACTGGTAGCCCCCTTTTTTCAAGATTCCTGGATCCGCCACTGAAATATGTTGATACCTATAGAAAAAAAATGACTTGTGAAGGTCCTAATATCACTCATTCAAAAGTTATTGGCAAGGTCAAAGTTTTGTGGACAAACAGATTAACAGACAGACAGACGAACGGACGAACTACATGCCTCGGAATCTTCGATTACGCCATTTACGAGGGTATAATAATGAAACTCATTTTACAGGTTTAAGAAATGAAAATTTACGTCCCTTTATTGGAACTCTTCAGTAAATTATTAGTGCACATGAGAGTCCGAGGAGACGAAAATGTACCGGCTCGTTCCGTTAAATAGAGTGTTTACACGAACTATTTCTTCAGTGACACGCAAACTACAACATAAAAAATGTGAGTTAGTAGCATATTAATTGATTTGAGTTTTTCCGTAGATTTTATCTTATGCAACTCGGTCACGGTTTGTATTGGTATTTCGAATTTTCTCGATGCTCCTCTAACTCTAAGAAACCTTGTAATTTACGTCTTACATTCATGACATCTGTAACATGGCCAATGAAGAATTTCAGATAATCTAAAATCTTAGATTTATTTTTTTTTTTCAACTGGATTTATGAAGTGAACGTTCAATGTTACCCTTTGAAACTTGATCAACATGTTTAGCCCAGGCAGTCCAAATTATCTGACGTTTTTCAGGCATTTTTCACGATTTTGATACATGTATAATTATTTGACGTGCAACGAAAACGTCTGAATCAGCGCTTTTATGAAAAGTGGAAATTTTGCCGCCCCAAACTGAACTCGATTTTCAATACTTGTGAATCAAATTAAGTGTAAAGCTCAAAACTTATCAATAGCACAATGCTTCTATTTCTAACCAATCACCAATATCGCTTAAAAGAAAATATCACTCCACATTTCAATACAGGTCTCACGAGAATTCCCACTGTTCATAATGGCGCCGGTTCTGATGTTTTCCAGGGACTTCAATTAAATATCAAAATTGTGGAAAACGCCTGGAAAATGTCAGATAGTTCGGACTAGTTTAAGCCTTGGGGGGGGGGGGGGGGGGGGGGGAGTGTTTGTTTTTGTTTATTTGTTTGTTTTATATTCAAATTTACATTTAAACATAACCGTACTTGTTAATAAATGTAGGATACCTTTAGTAAGTACATGTATGAAAAATATAATGAATAGTTGGAAACTGTTAACTCAAAACAGCAAAAATGGATTTTACGCAACAACTTGTACAGTACCTGGCCATAAGAGAGTCATTTTTAATTTTTTTATTACATATTTCAATGCCTTTGAAAAATGCCTCTTTGAAAATAATTATTGCAACATTACTTGTAACTCTCTTTTATGGATGTAACGCAGAATGCTTTGCAGTTTCTTCATATAAATTCCAAATAATTTTGTCTGCAAGCATTGCAGTTCACATGTCAGATGTGAAATCAAAATTTCTGTGGCACATAGAAACATAGTATTTTGTGGGTAGGAATTGGCCTTGATGATCCGTTTCATAAATTATACTCATTGAATAGTTTTGCATTCTGTCTAGCATCCTAGGAAAATAAAATTTGAACAATTCTGCATAATTAACTAAAGGAAAGTATTGAAATTTGGCAAAATATTGATTTCTCAATAAGTTAAAAAAAAGAAAAAGAAAAGTTTTTCAATGAAATATGTAGTGAAAAAAAAATGAAATTGCGATTCACTTTTGGCCATATATTGTAAACTGTAAATTGCAAAGTATATCTTAGCACCAGGAAGAAGAACTTTTAAGTCCTACATGTGTTATTGAAAATGAAATCAGTGAAGTTTCTGCAACCTTATTAAATACATGTAATGTTAAAACAGGCAAGAATCAAAACGATGTGGGAAAAAAGTGCATTTGACATCACATGTACAGATTATAAAACAATCTTTAAAGCTTTTTTTATACACATTATACATATATGTCTTAGGTACCCCGGATCATTTGTGCATAAGATGCTTGTCAAATTGGTCTGATAACAGAGGAAAAGAACATGATTGGTCATCAAGAAATAGAACATATGCAGCGGTGGCAGCTACATCTTTAGCTTCATTGTACATGGTAAGAATGTCTTACTCTTTAATATGTATCTATTAATTATTACATGCATTATCATTATCAGAGCCCCGCAAGAATTTGCGGGTGCCCTAGCTATAGTAATCACTCTGTCTGTTCTTCCGTCTGTCTGTCTGTCATTCTTCCGTCCACAAATTTTCTGTTTTTTTCTAATAACTTTTTTTATGGTTGACCATTTAAGTTCAAATTTATGTTGGTTGAATATGCAGTATGACATATCTTGGTGCTAAGTTTGGTTTTCTATGTCATCTGGTTTGGAGCTGGGGTGGTGGGGTAGATTCCTTTACTTTATATAAGAATGAATGCCAGGGCAAAGAGAGAACTGCTGAGAATGTTTCTATTGTAAACTAGTCTGTGAAAGCTGCAATGAGTCTCTTGGGATAAATTAACTTTCCTCTTGAAGAAAATCCAAGGCAATATTTTTATCTGTCACATTGAGATTAATTAACACCTCTGTTGCAAATGAGGTTTGTTTTAAAGTTGAGATCAATTCTGAATGATGTTTACATTCTCTGAAATGTGGATTTAAATAATGTTCATACTATATTTTAGTTAAAATACACAACGAGTTATGATTTTATTGAATTATAAAAATAAAATATAGATATAAAAGATATCTTTTTTATTATTATTATTTTCCTTCTTTCATTCTTTTCTTTTTTCTTTTTTTTTAATTCAAGAATACTATTAATTTTAACAGGTAGTTAGATAATAACCTCATTCTACTATTGCTGAAAAAGTTCGTAATTAATGTAAACTTAGAAGAAAAGGATGAGAGAGCAGTACAATTAATCCACTGGAATTAATTATCTTGTCTGCTGCAGATAATTTAGAGACTTGTCTTTATCCATCACGTTAAGATTAATTAGCACCTTTGTCTGCAACTGATGTTTGTTTTGAAGTAAAGGCCAAGTCTCGGTAATATTTTCATTCACTGGAGGCTGGCATTTTTTAAAACACATCCTTCATTCTTCTTTAAATATACATTTAATTGATTAATTTAATTAAGATATGATGTTTTTTACTGGCTTATATAAACACAAGGATACTATTTACAGGTTATTGGATGTTTAGGAATTATCTTGAAATTTTATAAATACACTTGCTTATTCTTCATCATATATTTTTTAAATTTTTGTAATCAAGTAAAATTCTCATTCCATAAGCTGCACTCTTTTATTTCTGCCCCTCGGCAGGGCCCTTGCTGACTGATCAATTTTCTAGTTACCGGGTATTATTATTATTTATAATTAGTGAAGCATGCTGATTCCTAGACAGTAAAACTCAGTTATAACAAAGTCACTGGGACCTGTGAAATTACTTTGTTATATCCGTGATTCGTTATATCCGTATAAGGAATTCATATAATGTATATTGCTTAGGATCCAAGAAAACTTCATTATATACATGAATTCACAATATCTGTATTCATACTAAACGAGTTTACCGGTAATTGAAATGCTTGCTTTAGTTGTTAACCTTTTGTTACCAGAAAATAAGTGATGAACACAAATTTAATTGGGAAACAAAACAAAACTTTTAAGTGAGAGTTTACTTTGTGGAAATTAAGAATTATAAATAATCTTTTTATTTATGTCCTGTACATAATATGAGAATATAGATAATCATAGCTTCCATCATGTTTGACAAGAAATAAAAATCAGGAAGCTGGATTTATTAGCTTTAGATTATTGTTAAGATATTCAAATGATTTTTAGTTGACAAAGACAGGAAGAACAGAAGAGGACCAGTGGTTCTGCTACACAGCTCAGTGTGAAACTAAACATGTGGTAGCTGGGGTAGTTCCCGGAGCAAAACAATCAACATCAGCAACAGAAGAAAGTAAACCCACAGAATCTACAGAGAGTTAGTAATTAGTTTTTATAATTACCATATACCAAGGATGAATGCTGAATTTCTTGCAATTTATAAAATGTCATACCAAATGGGAATCTAGGCAAACTAATAAGTTCTATTGTTTAATATTACAGATAAAGGAGAAACCAGTACGCCAGAACCACCGTTTTACAAATACCTCATTGTAGGAGCTGGAACCTCCTCTGTGGCAGCTTATAGGGCAATTAAAGCACGTGATCCAAAAGCAAAGGTTTGTCTTATGTACACCTAGGATACCTGGTATCTGCAGAGGAAATTGGGAGGGGGAGGGGGTGTAAGAAGCCAAGAAGTTTTAGTGGAAAAAATGTATAGTAATTTTATAGGTCACCTGAGTCACTCAGGTGACCTATTGCTATCTGTTTTCGTCCATCGTCGTGCGTCGTCCGTCGTGCGTTAACTTTTGAACATTTTTAACTTCTTCTCTAGAACCGCTCAACCAATTTCAACCAAATTTGGTATATAGCATCTATGGGTGAAGGGGAACAAAAATTGTGAATTTCATGGTCCCTGCCCCCCCCCCCCCCCCCCCCCCCCCCCCCCCCGGGGCCTGAGGGGTGGGGCTAAAACCACGAAAAATAATGCAATCTTTAAAAATCTTCTTCTTTACTCCTGAACATCAAGCAGTCAAACTGTTGGCATCATTGTAATAAGCATTGAGCCCTCTACCAAAATTTTGAAATTCATGGCCCCAGGGTCAGGGGTTCTGGCCCCAGGATGGGGCTATATAGATCATATAGTGAAAGTGCATTATTTCTTTGAAAATCTTCTTCTCTGCTCCTGGGTATTAAATAAAGTTACTAAGTACATAGTTATGATGAGCAAGAGTGCTTCTTCCAAAATTGTGAAATTCATGGCCCCAGGGTCAGGGGTTCTGGTGTTAGGGCAGGGCTCTATTGATTATATAGTGAAAATGCATTAATTCTTTGAAATCTTCTTCTCTGCTCCTGGGTATTAAATAAAGGAACTAAGTACATAGTTATGATGAGCAAGAGTGCCTCTTCCAAAATTGTGAAATTCATGGCCCCAGGCTCAGGGGTTCTGGTGTTAGGGCGGGGCTGTATAGATTATGTAGTGAAAAAGCATTAATTCTTTGAAAATCTTCTTCTCTGCTCCTGGGTATTAAATAAAGTAACTAAGTACATAGTTATGATGAGCAAAAGTGCCTTTTCCAAAATTGTGAATTTCATGGCCCCAGAGGCAGGGGTTCTGGTGTTAAGGCGGGGCTCTATTGATTACATAGTGAAAATGCATTAATTCTTTGAAAATCTTCTTCTCTGCTTCTGGATATTTAATAAAGTAACTAAGTACATAGTTATGATGAGCAAGAGTACCTTTTCCAAAATTGTGAATTTCATGGCCCCAGGGTCAGGGGTTCTGGTGTTAGGGCGGGGCTCTATCAACTATATAGTGAAAATGCTTTAATTCTTTGAAAATCTTCTCCTCTGCTCCTGGGCATTAAGGTGATAAACTAAGTACATAGTTATGATGAGGAGGTAGGCCTCTTCCAGAATTTTGAAAGCCATGGCCCCAGGGTCAGGGGTTCTGGTGTTAGGGCAGGGCTCTATTGATTATATAGTGAAAATGCTTTAATTCTTTGAAAATCTTCTTCTCTGCTACTGGAGATTATTTAAACAAACTAAGTGCATGATTATGATAGACAAGGATGCCTTTTCCAAAATTTTTAAATATATGGCCTCAGTTTTTGGGGTTCTTGAGGACCGGGGGGGGGGGGGGGGGGACTCTATTGATTATATAGTGAAAAAGCATTAATTCTATTAATTAATCATTAACTAATCCTGTCTGCTCCTTAGTGTTGAGCTGATAAATAAATTGCTTAGCTATGATGAAAATGGAAGCTTCGAACAGAATTTTTAAATCTTGTGGTCCTAGGGTCAGGGGTTCTGGCATAACGAGGGGGGGGGGGGCTTTTGATAATATAGTGGAAAAGTGTTAATTCTTTGAAGTCCATAGTTATGATGATGAGGGTAACCCTTCCAAATTTGTAAATTTCTTGACCCTTGGTCTTGGGTTCTGGTGTTAGGGTAAGGCTTTGTTGAATCTGTAGTGAAAATGCATTGTACCTGTGATATTCTTCTCTGCTTCTGGGCATATCGGAAGCAAACTGAGTAAAAGTTTAAATGATATGAGTAAGCATATTTCTACCAGATTTTTAAACATCTGGACCATTCGTCTAAGCATTCTGGTCCTGGGCAGGGCTCTATTAACTTGTATTCTACTGAGAGAAGTTATTCCCCTTTTCCATTCACCTTTGATAATTAATCACTGTAAATAATGTATTTGAAAGGTTAATTAGAATAAGATAATTATGCAAGAATGTTTATCGTATAATTAAAAAAGTACTTTCTTAGTTTTAATAATCAGGTAGACCTGTAAGTAATAGATAAATAAAAATGAGACAAAAATTACTTATCTTATTAAAAGTTCTTCAAAGACCATAAGAGAGGTCAATGCTAGAGGTCTTAATATGGGTTTAAAAATAGTACAGAAGCACTAATAGTTTGTTAATAGTCTGCATGGTGATAGTGTTAAGTGGGGGACAGATTAGAACTTAATTTATGAGTTGATACTGAATACTAGACTAATTATTTTGTTGATCCTGATCTTCCTTCTTCTCTTGCTTTAGGGCAATAATGCTTCATCTATCAGTGTATTTAACTTCTAAATTGTTGTATTATACTCAGGTGACCGTTAAGGCCCTTGGGCCTCTTGTCTTTCAAAAGATCCGTATTTCAATATTAAAGCAAGTGTTCACTCTTTGTGTAAAATATGAAGCAGAAGTACTGCCACACCAGAAACATCTAGAGAATGGATCATTTACTGTAGATCACCAAATTTTCCTGACGCCTTATTTTCGTGAGATAGGTCTTTGGTATCTTATAAATACGAGACAAAATTTCCACGAATATTGGTTATTGCTGTATATATTCTATGCCAATAAAAATATACATGAGAATGAAATTTTTGCAAGCAGGCCATCTCAGATAATTATGCGAAAATAAAGTTCTTGTGAATAAAAAGTGATTTACAGTATAATGGAGGGATAAATCTTTAATCAAGCGAACTTTATTTTGTCTTTCAGGTACTTATAATAGGAGATGAGCCTGATGTCCCCTACGAGCGTCCTCCTCTGTCTAAAGAGCTGTGGTATATTGACAAAAACCTGGCTCAAAACTACAAATTTGGAAAAGGAAAGAGAGACACGTAAGAAAAATAGAGGATAAATTTTCAGTCATTCATATTCTAATCAGTAGTAACCATATCATTGTACAGTACTATGCTTAAGCATATATACTTCTATCTACAGATCAACATTTGCTGTTGCAGAAATAACAATATTGATACTTAATAAATTGCTCTAGGATGAAACCATTACAAACATGGATTTGAAATCAAGAATTATTAATCAAATTATCTTAAAAGCCGATTTTCTCTTTCAGTATTTTCTATGAACCAAGGCCATTTTATCTAGAACCTGAGGCATTATTAGAGGCAGAAAATGGGGGCGTTGGTCTTATTTCTGGTAAAAAGGTAAATCACACATATAGGCAGTACCCATAATTGTTTGCAATTTGCTGCTTGATGGTCATAAAGATTTTAAACTTATTTCATTTTTATTCTCACAAACACAGTCACACTCTTAGATTTCAACTACACTGTATTTTGTTTCATAATCAATCCAGGGAATAAAAAAAGAAAGCATGAAAAAATGTGTATTTTAGAGTGTATACTTGTTTGAAGGAATAAGGTCTTTGATGAATATCCTGCTTGTGATTTTCAGGTTGTAAAACTTGATTCTCACAAAAAGAAGGTGTGGTTAAATGATGGGTCAGAAATACTCTATGACAAATGTCTCCTAGCTACAGGTACTATATCTGTGCATGTGTTCAAAATGATTCTGGTTTTGAATTTTATTCATTTAATATAATAACTCTTGTGATGAGTCAAAAAATTATTTTCAATTTACATAGGAGGCCGTCCAAAGAATCACCCTGTTATGGAATCAGCTGAAAAAGATGTTCAAGATAGAACTATTCTTTTCAGAAATGTAAGAATTCCGCCATATTTTGTACACTTGTGTCCTGGGAGATGAATCAAGGGTCTGAGCATGACAAGTGATTTTACACTGATTTTTATGATCATAATATATACTGGTTCTTGATTTATTTTAATTAGAGAAAGCATAAATATAGAAATGATCGATTTATACACTTAAACATTAAACATTTGGCATCTCTGTCAGCTTTTTAGCTCACCTGAACTGAAAGCTCAAGTGGGCTTTTCTGATCACCCGTTGTCTGTAGTCCGTCTAGCTGTCTGTCCGTCCATCCGTCTGTAAATTTTTCACATTTTCAACTTCTTCTCAAGAACCACTATGCCAATTTTAACCAAACTTGGTACAAAGCATCCTTGGGTGAAGGGGAGTTTAATTTATTAAAATGAAGGGCCAAACCCCCTTCAAAGGGGAGATAATCAAGAAAAGACAAAAATTGGGTGGGGTCATTAAAAAATCTTCTTCTCAAGAACCACTGGGCCAGAAAAGTTGAAACTTATGTTGAAGCATCCTGGTGTAGTGTAGATTCTAAATTGTTCAAATCATAACCTCTGGGGGTAGGGCGGGGCCACAATAGGGAATCCAAGTTTTACATTGAAATATGTAGTAAAAATCTTCTTCTCAAGAACCACTGGCCAGAAAAGCTGAAACTTATGTGGAAGCATCCGGGGTAGTGTAGATTCTAAATTGTTCAAATCATGACCCCTGGGGGTAGCGCAGGGCCACAATAGGGAATCCAAGTTTTACATTGAAATATGTAGTAAAAATCTTTAAAAATCTTCTTCTCAAGAACTACTGGGCAAGAAAAGCTGAAACTTACGTGGAAGCATTCTGGGGTAGTGTAGATTCTAATTGTACAAATCATGACCCCTGGGGGTAGGGCAGGGCCACAATAAGTACTACGGGTGGGGGGGGGGGGGAGGAGGAATCAGGTGAAAATCAGCAATGCCAATGTTACTCAGGTAAGCGTTGTACATTGTTATTATTTGTCTGTTTAGACTTCAGATTTTACTCGACTTTATGAAGCCGTAGAGAATTCTAAATCAGTTGCCATCATAGGTGGTGGATTTCTTGGAAGTGAACTGGCCTGTGCTCTAGGATTCAAAGGTAAATCTGGAAGACTTTCTAAACATGAATTCAGAGTACTAGAAAGATGGGAAATGTTCAGTAAATAATCATTGAATGTTATTTTTTTTTCAGGATTAAAAGTTCATCAGATCATTCAAGAGAAAGGTTTGTAAAGTCACTCTTATGTTGTCAAATTTGGAAATACTATTCCTGAATCAGTAAAATTAAGATTTTTACTGTCCCTAACATGAATCCATTAAATACATGTACATGTTTTTACCTCAGCATTATAACTGAAGCTTTGTTTTTTAAATAGGAAATCTTGGTACAGTTCTCCCAGAGTATCTCAGTAAACACACCACAGATAAAGTTCGTGAGAGTAAGTTTTTCTTGATAAAATGTGCATTTTTTGAGGCAGTATAATTAAGACTTACACAAGAATTCTAAAGGATGAGGTCTGTGAAATGATATTATAATTTACCATAAATCTTGCATGTTTAATAATAAAGTTTCATAAAAACCTTGGTTTTGCTCTGAAGCTGACCTGTATGTGTTTCTCTGTAGATGACCTGTATGTGTTTCTCTGTAGATGACCTGTATGTGTTTCTCTGTAGATGACCTATATGTGTTTTTCTGTAGCTGACCTGTATGTGTTTCTCTCTAGCTGACCTGTATGTATTTTTCTATAGCTGACCTGTATGTGTTTCTCTGTAGCAGACCTGTATGTGTTTTTCTGTAGCTGACCTGTATGTGTTTTTCTGTCGCTGACCTGTATGTGTTTCTCTGTAGCTGACCTGTATGTGTTTTTCTGTAGCAGACCTGTATGTGTTTTTCTGTAGCTGACCTGTATGTGTTTCTCTCTAGCTCACCTGTATGTATTTCTCTCTAGCTGACCTGTATGTGTTTCTCTCTAGCTCACCTTTATGTATTTCTTTATAGCTGACCTGTATGTGTTTTTCTGTTATAAAGGTGGCGTGGATGTGATTACCAATCAGACAGTAACAGGGGCACAATACACTGACAATCAGGTAGAACTAACTCTGGAAGATGGGTCAAAGGTCAGTTTGGAATTGTCTCTTTATTATTGTTATTTTCAAGTTAAAGTAGTGCTGTTCTTAATACTTCAGTGAGCTGACTGGGGTTTTATTGTGTGAAAACTACAATAGAAAAAAAAAATCTTTAATTTTATACCATATGTTACTCACATTGACTTCATGCCAAGTTTAGGGAAAATCTATCGTTTACTTGTTATATATTTTGCTGGGAATCCTGAAAACCTTTGCCATATCCATGAATTTGCTATCCATTTTCATACCAAACAAGTTTTACTGTATTTTGACTCTCAATGTTCAAGTTCTTTCCCATAGTAGAATGGATGTGATACTCTGTATTTTGACTCTCAGTGTTAAGAGTTATTTCCCTAGAGTAGAGTGGATAATGTGGTACTTTGTATTTTGACTCTCAGTGTTAAAGTTCTTTCCCCAGAGTAGAGTGGAAAATGTGGTACTTTGTATTTTGACTAAAATGTAGATCTTGATGAATAATAAGATTTTTAGTTTTCTTACAGTGACTCAATGTTAGAGTTATTTCCCTTTGTAGATCTTAGTTGATAATGTGATATTCTGTATTTTGACTCTCAGTGTTGGACACAGACTACCAATTATTTTGCTATACATTCCTTTATAATGTAAAAATTAATTTAAAAAATCACACCGGCTCAACTTACCTGAAACTTGGCATAGAGTAACAACAATTCAAGTCCAAATATTTTTCAGGCTCTTGGGAAAATTCATAGTCTGCAAGTCCTGCTATGGCATCGCAAATAACCCCTACCCTGCTTATTTCACTTTTCCTTCGAGGAAAGGGTAAACATGGGCCTCTTTACACCCTTCCTACTACGCGCTTAAAAGCAAATTTCCCATTATTATCAATTTTATATTTTTTTTCAGACCCTCTCCTTTCCATCTATGCCCAAAAATAACCCCATTCCACCCCATATACATCCCAAAGAATTTTTAAGAAAAAACCTCTATTTTTAAACTGGCACTACTTGCGTGGTCAATGAAATAGGGGTAAAATTAGTAGTCTGTAACCTGTTAGAGTTTTTTCCCTTTGTAGATCTAGGTGGATAATGTGATGCCCAGTGTTTTTACTCTCATAGACTCAGTGTTAGAGTTATTGCCCTTTGTAGATCTTGGTGGATAATGTTGTGGTATCTGTGGGATTAGAGCCCAATGTGGATCTGGCCAAGTCCTCCAACTTAGAGGTGGACGAGAAGCATGGAGGCTTCCGTGTCAATGCTGAACTAGAGGCTATGTCTGATGTGTGGGTGGTAAGTACTTGTCTAGTGAAACAAATTAGATTATTGAGCCTACATAACAGGTTTTAAGTGAATTAATAATAGTTGACAATAATAACATGAAGAAATTTTTCATACTTGAGCTGCAAAATTTCTAATTTTAGCCTAGACTTCAGGTCTGTAATACACTGTAATTGTTAATATAATATTAATATAAGTAATACTACTTTTTATCTTTATATACAAAGGCAGGTGATGTTTCATGTTTTTATGACATCAAACTTGGCCGTAGGAGAATAGAACATCATAACCATGCGTGGGTCAGTGGAAAATTGGCAGGTGAAAACATGACTGGGGCTGCCAAAATGTATAGATATCAGTCTATATTTTGGTAAGTTTAAATTTCATTGTCTTTGATTTCACAATGAAGGCAAACATTTTTGCATGCAAACATATATGGGATCTTTGCTTACTGTATGAAAGAATTGAAAAATTGTGCAGTTTGGCTAAAACATTTCTTTTTAACGGGTAGTTTGCCCAGATATCATATTTTATAAGCATTCTTTATTATGTATGAATAAAAACAAAACAATGATTATGATGACAGTGATTATAATATTTTACATTTTGTAAATTCAGGTCAGATCTGGAACCATATGTATCATTCCAGGCCATTGGAATCATAGACTCAAATTTAGAGACATATGCAGTTTTTGAAAGACCTCAAGAAAAAAAGAAAAAGAGAAAAAAGGTAAACAGATGTTAGTTGTTCGTCACATTCTTCTTAAACATACATGTACCATATATACTTGCCTATAAAGCGGTTTTTTGGTAGTGAAATTTTGGTCCAGAAGTGTATGTCCGACTTATAGGCGAGTCCTAAAAAGATTAGTATTTTTCATATATATATATATATATATATATATATATATATATATATATATATATATATATATATATATATATATATATATATATATATATATATATATATATATGAAGGTCAAAGATTGCATGGTAACAAAGTTCACTTTCTTAATTTTATAATTCATTTCTTGACGTAATGCAAAAGCAAGTATTACATGTATATGTAAACTATACTATATATATCTGACAATTTAAAAATAGATTTGAATTGTTGCCTTTATATAAATGTAATGATTTAAATTTTTAAAATTGTAAACAACTTTAATTTCTAATTTAGAAATCAAAGGAGAACAGTTCAGCTGTAACAAATCAGTCAGGAGAAGCTAAAAAGTCACAAGAGACAAAACAATCAGAGACTATTAGCAAGGATCCTAAATCTACAGTGGTAAAGCCTGAAGAGTTTAATAAAGGGGTGATCTTCTACATCAGGGGTGGATCCATTGTTGGTGTTTTGTTGTGGAATATTTCAGGGAAAATATATAGAGCAAGACAGGTAAAGTAATTATAATTGTGTTTGAGAAATTCTTCTGTATATTTTTATGACAAGTTGAAGCTGGTTGAAAGGATAAATATTAATTTGGTTGATACATTATTTCACAAATGTAAAATTTATAGCTACAGTAAAACATGCTTATAGCAGAGTGTGAATGACCAGTAATTTTGATTTATTATAAATGTAATTCGTTATATCTGTTCAGTTCATGTTTTAATGCTACAGGGAATGAAAATCACTTCGCTGTATGTGTAAATCCATTATAAGCATGTTTCTATTGTATCCTATTCAACAAATTTGCAAGGGGATATTATAAATTCCTATAATTATGTAAGTCAAATATTTGCAAGATGAAAGTATAGAGGACAAAGGGAGAAATTTTTCAATTCCAAGGTGTGAAGGTGAAAGGTCAAGGACAGGGATTAATGGTGTAAACTAAGTTGGACACAGTTTAAGAAGTACATCTCAACTTTTCAGCATTTACTTGATTTTCTACAGAGGTGCATAGTGGCCAGAGTTAAAAATTCTTATGATATCTAAGATCAAGGTCCCAGGCATTGGTTTATAAGAACTGAATGGGGGGGGGGGGGGGAGGGTATATTGGAATGAGCTTGTTCGTCTGTCTGTGTTGACAGCTATCCCTTTGTCTTTTCAATCTTTTCTGGGATATAACTTTGTAATGGAGAATCAGTTGAAGCTCATATTTTGTACAAAGATTGTTTATGACCTATGAGTGTGTCATGACCTTGATCCAAGGTCATTCCTGCAAGTGCAAGGTCTCTGGCAGAAAAAAGTATAAAATTCTTGTCTGGTCTAAAACTTCTTTATTGGAAGTTCATACTTCATAAAAGAATAGGTATGCCATAACTTTAACCCAAGATCATTTGGTCAAGTTCAAGGACACTTATTAAAAATGTTAATTTCCTGTCCTGACCATAATTTGTAATGTAGAACTTAAGAGTTTCATACAATCTAATTAAAATTAGATGTTCCGAATCCGCTACCACTTCTCATTTTAGAAGCGGTAGCGGATTCGGAACATCTAATTTTAATTAGATTGGAGTTTTATACTTATTACAAATATTGCATATGATCTGAGGGTATGCATTGACCATGAACCAAGGTCATTCCGGGGAGGTTTAAAGTCACTTGCAAAAAAGTGTTTTATTCATATCCTGTCTATAAGTCTCAAATGGAGGCTAATTGGAAGTTGATACTTAACAAAAGATTAATTTAGTTATTACTGTAGGGTTTATCATGATCTAACCCAGGTCATTTTGGCAAGTTCAAGGTTACTAACAGAAAAAGTGTAAAATTCATGACAGGTGTACAACTTTAATAATTGATAAACTTTATAAGTTCATACTCCACACAAATAATACTTATGTCTTGAAGGTTTGTCATAGTGTCATTCCATTAAGTTCAAGGTCAATGGCAGAAAAAGTAAAAAAAAAAAATGGAAGTTGAAACTTCAAAGAAAGATTATTTGTGAGCTAAATGTTTGTCACAACCTTGACCCAAATTCATTGTGTCAAGTTCAAGGTCACTGGCAGAAAAGGTGTAAAATTCATGTCTCTATTGGAAAAAAAAATGTATGTCTATATTTCACTCAAAGATTACTTATAGCCAGGGGATGTGTCAATCTTTTAAACCAAGTGTATTTTTGCAAGTTCAAGGTCACAGTTAATATTGCAAATGGGCATTGTAAAAGAAATTGCAGCAGGGGTATTATTTTGTGAGCTTCCTTACAATGCCTCTAGTTTTCTTTAGAGCAGTACTGAAAATCAGAGGCACTTTTTAATATTTGAATACATGTATGTTTGATCTCTATTAAAGGTGTTGCTTTACAAATCTACAAGTAATATCATATGATGCCAAGTGTGTTTAAGTAGTGGTTTATCATATGAGAAAGGAGCTCTTAGCTATTTTATATGCTCTTAACTGAAATCTAACATTGTAAAATAATCAGTGATTTTCACTGATGTTTTGACAGGTTCTAAGTGATGGATGTAAAGATGAAGATTTGTATGAAGTTGCCAAACTTTTCTTTGCACCAAGGAAGTGTGAAGAATGAAGACTGTGATACATCTTTTATTGTAGTTAATGTTTAATAGAACAAATAAAATAGAAAATATATCATTTTTAAGTACATTTTGTAATCTTGTGATCTTTTACATAGGTCAAATCATGGGGACAAAATTTCTAAATTGAAAAATAAAACTAAATCCCATTCATACAAGTTTTATCAATGTATGGCATATTTGAGCCCCCCCCCTCCCATTTCTACGTACTTCCTATCCTTAGTTTTGTTTAGATGAGAAAAAATCCTCCTATAAAGAAGAATCAATCATTGTTTCATTTATCTGCAAGCATCCCCATATCAATTTCATTCAAGTTTGTTCAAATAACCTTTAGGACCAAACTTTAAAAGTTTGCCAAGGGAGTTTATAAAAGTTTCATCAAAAAAAGAATTTGGCTACATTATGGTGGCATATTTACAAGATAAATTGTGTCAACATGCAAGAAAAGTATATCAACATGTAAGACAATAGGTCTTCATGCAAGATAATTATGTTGACATTCAAGTTGCCGATCTTATCAAGAATCTGATTTTAATATGGGTAAATTTTACTTACCAATGCAAGTATCTGACATCATGCATCAAAGATGCAACAATGTTGTCATGTGACTTGTTAATGTCAACATGTGATATAATTATGTAGACATGTGACTTATTAACGTCAACATGCAGGATAATGATGTAGATATGCGACTTGTCTATGTTGACATGCCTTATAATTATGTAGATGTCATTTAATTATGTCAACATGCAATGGTCATGTCAACATGCAACTTACTCATGCCAACCTGCAAGGTAAAGTAGCCTGTCAACATAATTATCTCACATGATGATATAAATAAGTTGCATGTCAACATAATTATCTCACATGTTAACATAAATAAATTGCATGTCAGCATAGTTATCCATTGATAGAAACAAGTTGCATGTTGAGATAATTGTCTCATATTTTGACTCAAGTTGCATGTCAACATAGTTATCTTGCATACTGACATAAATATTAAGTTAAATATCAACATAAATATCTTGCATCTTAACATAATTAACCAGCAAGTTGACACGAAGTTGCATGTCACCATTATCATGTAGCAAGTTGACATAAGTTGCATGTCAATATAAATAAGTCACATGTCAGTCTAAGTATGTTGCGTGTTGACTTTACTTGCATGTTGACATAATTCAAGATAATTAACTTGCATGTTGAAATAAGTTGCACATCTACATAATTATCTGGCATCTTGACATGTCACCATAATCATGTTGCATCTTGCTTGTAGGGTGTCAGATACTGGCATTAGTAACCCATATTAAAACCTGATTATCTAAAAGATTGGTATCTTATTTGCATGTCAACATAATTATCTTGCAAGTAGACATAATTATCTTGCAAGTAGACATAATTATCTTGCATGTTAACGTAATTTAGCTTGCATGTAGGGGGCAGAAAATGCCAACAATCTGCATGGTTCTCGGTCATCAACTAAGAAATTGTCAACTTATCACTTTGTGACTTTTCTCCTATGCCATCAAAGATTTTCCAGTAGAACAAACTAAAACCTCTTATGAAGAAACTAAAACATGTATCTTGTACATAGAATCAGGGACCTATATACTAGTATATAGGTCCCTGATAGAATCCTTGAAACAGGATGAACAATTTAAAAACCATTTAAAGGAACTGCCTTAACATTTTACAAACTTCATAACAACACTTTTCCTTTGTCAAAGAAAGACAAAGCAGCTAAATATAATTGACAGTCGATGAATAAAGATGCTATCTGGACTGTGGGTTATGTGTGTGTCCACTTTTACTCCTGAACCAAGCTGGAAGCCCTCTCGTGTTTGAAATTCATGTCATTAGATTGGTAATGAATCATATGGATAATTATCATGAAACAGATCTTGATGTGCACAAAGGTAGTAATATCTACTGTTTTAGGCGTAAAGTTTCTGAAAGCTTAAGTAACAAAATAAAATGATGCCAAAAATCAAGGTAACAAAAATTTATTTCTTAATTTACATCATACACAATGACAGTTTGTGAGTTTATTGTTTGTCGTACATTGATTTAGGATAGCGGAACATCTGATGTGTTGTAAAAACTCTGGATTGCCAGGCCTGTAAAGACAAATATTTGATTAACATTAGTCTATATCAAAACATAATACAAATTACAATGAAAGAAAAACTGAACAAGCTAACCTATCCCACACTGCTTGACAATGCTACGCAATGAATGGCAATGCTTTTTATTCTGAACAAGTAAATGAATGCAACTCTGGAGAGGGGGGGCTCTTTGTAATTTGGAGTTAGATACCTTGTGTTACTACAGTGTAAAACATTAAAGAAACAAGTGCCTGTGTCCCACACAAAGAGTTGCAGAGTGTATGTTTTTGACCTATATTCAGTCCCTCAGTCCTGTTCTTGTCTGCACAACTCCTCTAAAAAATGCTCAACAGAATTTTGTGAAACTCTGTAGTTAATAAGTTCATGATGTGTAGATGTGCATATTCACAGGAAATTCTGATTCAATTTTTTTTTCTGGGAGTTATGCCCCTTTTGAAATTAAAAGTTTATCATCCATCAATTATCTTGTTCTTGACTGTGCTACTTCTTGTAAAACATTTAACAGAATTTCATGACACTTTGTACATAATGAGAACATACTGTGAAGATGTACTAATTCACAGAAAATTATGATTAAATATTTTTTTTTCTGTGAATAATGCCTCTTTTTACCTTAGAAGAATGTTCTACTAAAACAATCTGTCATCTCAACTACTCTGAAACTGCTCATTAGAATTTCATGTAACCTTTGTAGCTTTGTAGCTAATATGGACATACTGTGTACAGTGCATATTCACTGAAATTCTGATTTGAATTTTTTTTCTGGGAGTTATTGTTTTTTAACATAGAAGTTGGGCCACAATACTTTATTTTGTGCAATTTATGTGAACCGGTTTAGGACATGCATCATGTAAAAGGGAAAGGGGGTGTAAATTATTTGATTATCAACCAGACAAAAATTACTTATGTAATGAAGCATAGTCTCCTGTCAGTAGCTGTAATTAACTTCATATTTGTGGTATTATAATAATTATTTTCTACATCACAAAAATGTGGTATTTTCATATTCTCATTCTCAGATATACTTTTCCCCTTAATTAATTTGTGATAGATATCTCTTGCATGTTTTCAAACAAAACATAAAAATGTGGTATTTTTCTCTTCTTCTCAAATATACTTTTCCCCTGAATATTATTGAGGTAGATATCCTCGTAGTTTCCAGACAAAAAAAAAAAACCAAATACTTACAAAGAAGATGCATCCCACCAACCCAAGTGTTGAGATGATAGCATAACGATTGTATTTTGCTTGTGCAGCTGCATTCATCTTTTTAAAGTCTCCAGCACGAACTGGGACATTATCCATGGTTATGCCATACTTCTGACAGAGAGCCTTTGCTTCAGCTGGAGTAGGAGCATGTCCAAACCTCTTCTGAACAATGTTTCCTTTGAAGAATGTAGAATTGAATTGTAAAAAGTATGTTCAAAAATGTTTCTTAAGTAAATTAGATAATTTCATAAACATTTGCAGAAATATTGTACTAATTTACCCTTTAATAAATTCCCACCTCTTACGCAAATCTGGTGGAATGGGGTCACTATTAGTTCCATAGACACTTGGAGGGGTATTACGGAAATATATGGGGTCCTTGAAAAAATGTATATTGGGCTTGGCTTCTGCCTCACCCAATATGCATTTTTTCAAGGACCCCATATATTTCCGTATTACCCTCTAAGTGTCTACATAACAAATTTATCCTGTCGAAGATTTTTTTTAATAAAGTTCATTTTCTCTGAGTTTAAACAGCAAACCGTTCTGTAACAATTGTTTATATTGTAAGGTCATTTAATGCTTCTGTGATGTCAGTTATAAAGGTCCTTGCTTATTCAAATGAAAACAACATATTGAATGTGATCTGGACAGTATGGCTATTCTCTATTGAGAAGTTGCTGGCTCGTTTTAATACTCCCCCTCAACTTCTCTACGAAAGGCCTAATAAAAGCAGTTCAGAAATTGACTAAATGAAGAACCAAACCGGACCCCACTTCAATCGATGTTTAAGGTCTGATGCTATATCATAGACGTAGTCTGGATGCACAGATGTTATTTTGTAATAGAAATGCGAATAAAATACCAAGTCCGCTGACTTAAAACACGTTTTTTATGATAGAACACTTACTTGCGATATCTGTGTCGCCGGATTTTTTTATTCATTCAAAACTGCATTTGAACCTCTAAAAAAGTTTAAAACTATTCCTCCGGATAACTATTTAACACTGGAACATTGAAGCCAAATTATTCGGATTTTTTTTTTTAGACTTTTTTAGAGGTCAACCGGGTTCAAACGCAGTTTTGAATGAATAAAACAAATCCGGTGACACAGATGTCGCACGTAAGTGTTCTACTGTGATAAATCTTTTTTAAGTCAGCAGAATCGGTATTTTTAATCGCATTTCCATTGCAAAACAACATCCGTGCATCCAAAATGTCTATAATAATGCATCAATCCTAAAACATCGATCGAAGTGGGAACCGATTTGGTTCTTCATTTTAGTCAATTTCTGAACTGCTTTTATTAGGCCTTTCGTAGAGAAGTTGAGGGGGAGTATTAAACGAGCCAGCAACTTCTCAATAGAGAATACAGTATGGCATGTGGACGGGGCATATTAGATGTTTGGTAGTAGGTCACGTGGAAGGGGTACATTAACAATATAATGTCAGTAGGCAGCATAATATGGTTAACATATTATTTTTCTCGACCAATGAAATTTCAAGATTTTTATCAGAGACCGGATAGAGTGTGATCTCACCTCAATGCCCCCCTTCATATTCTCTATGAAGACGTAAAGCAAATTTTGAAAATGTTAGGGATTTAAATCAATTTCATTTACGTTTTGTGTGTGTGTGTGTATTGCTCAATGAAATATGATGACGGATGTACTTCTCAAAGATGTTTTAAGTATTGAACGTGGAGGAATTTCGAACTAAATTTATCCTCCAAATTATATCTAACCTTCACAATCAATGTTCTTTTAAATTATATATCATGGAAAAAATAGCTTAAGTAAAACTTCACAATATTTCTTTTAATAGTATTCTATTTCAACTTACGTCCAGCAGTAATGAGAAGATTGGACTTGGTCAACATTTTTGCTAGCGGTTGACCTTCCTTCACCGAAACCTCTTTTAGAACTGTGTAAAACTAGTCTTCTCCACGATCATTATGTTGTTTCGTACTCTTTCACTTGCATTATCCTCAATTTCCACGATAACCATGATAATATCATTTTACAAAGCAAAAGTTCTAATTATTAATGCTTTAAAGTACAGAAGTTATAGCCTACTTGAAAATAACCATAGAAAGTGTAACATGGATACTTTCTTTATTTCTTGATTTCTTTATAGTATACTGTATGCTACTGTTCTTGCAGTTGTAGTATATCCCTTACAATATTTTGCTTATTTTTGAATCTCTATATGATTCTGTTGTTGAAATTTTCATTTTAAAAGCATTACTAGTATACACGTAGTATTAAAACAACTGACTACAAGAACTACTTTTACAGTATGTATACCAAAAAGATAAATTGTACATTGACTTATTCTACTTACAAAAAAAATAAAAATCATTAAGATTCAAATGAAAAGTTAGAATAAAGGGAGGAAATTTCATTCATTTAAACTCATAATTTCAAACTCATACAATAATGTTGAAGATTTATAACGAAATCAACAAAATCGAATGAAGAGTTCCGATAAAGAAGGGAAAGTAGTGGATAAGATTAAAAGAGTCAACTCCAAATGGCAAAATAATGGATCGGTTTGAGTGGAGTGACACAGATTTAGTTCCTGGAGAAGAACGGGTGAACTTTCAAACAGGAATAGCCATTTATGACGGACATGACAAGGTATATTTTCTATTGTGTTTATAGTGTCTTGTATCTGAAGGATTGTTCTCCTACGAGCAAACATTTCATTTTTTACCATGCATTGTTCTTGATTTTTAAGACCAGTTTTGAAAATGGAGCATTGACACTAACTACTCACAGAGTTATATGGAAGGATAGTAAGGACAGGGTAAGTTCAATCATCTATATGATTTAGGAAAAATATAAGTGTTTATATCACAGGCACTTGTTTCTGTAATAATTTTTTAACTCATGGTATGATAATAATGCAAGGTATTTAACTCCGAGTAACATGGAGTACCCCCTATTGTACTAACTTACACCATGTGGGGGCTTATGTGAAAATAAAAGTTTCAAAGAATTGCTGTCATTTACACTTTCAGAGAAAATGCACCGGCAATTGTCTTCTGAGATAATTTGTCTACACAACCAGAGGAAGGGACAACTCATTATTTACTGTTGTAACAATATCACCAGTATATCGAATACCTATTGAATTCCAATAGGTGATATCACCTATTTGAATAGGCGATATCACCTATTCACTTCAAATAGCTGATATCACCACTTTGAAAAGGTGATATCACCTATTCGAATAAGTGATACATGTATTACCAATTCAAATAGGTGACATCACCTATTCAATTTGAACATGTTGAATGAGTGATATCAGTATTCCATAGGTGATATCACCGTAGACAGACATCTCGGCCCAATGACACCTCAGCCCATCACGCTTGACATCTCTGCCCTGACAGGTTTGCCCAATATTGTTGACACGTCAGCCCATATAAAAGACACCTCGGCCCAAGCAAAATTTTATGATGGAAAAAATTAACAGTGTTGAATTGGTATTAATCGTGTAATTATTTTTTAATTATTTTTTCTGATGATTAAACGATTGTTTTAAATTTTAAAAAATAGGGGTCTTAATCTTATTTTTTAAAAAAGAAACATTTTATTGTTTATATAGATCGATCTATATGACTTGGTTGTATGTTTCTTTTTTTTTGAAAAGCACATACTTGCTTTGCATGATACAAGGAGCTTGAAAAAAAAAAGAAAAAAAAAACGGACTCGAACTAGGTATAAGTGACGATAATTAATTCTTGAATGGAAGTGTTTTAAGAAATAAATGAGAAAATATTCAATAGATGTAAATGTCTTTAATTACTATCTCCCAATTAACTCTGCTCATAATTAACCCCCTGTTGTCTCCAATACCAAAGGATGCGCCACGGCATATTACTTGTTTATCTTTTAGCACTTTAATTATAATAGCATTGGCTTCTCATTCATTGAATATCGTCAAAGTGCTTGTGGAAGTTCTTTTGAAATAAATTTTGATAGTTTATTCATGTACTTTTTTCAATAAATATTTGATTCAAGTCCCAAATTGGAAATATATATTTCATGGTAAAATTTTGCTTGGGCCTAGGTGTCTTATGAATGGGTCGACCTGTCTTCAAACTTGAGCCGACCCGTCTGAGCCGAGATGTCATTGGCCGAAATGTCAATGGGCCGAGGTATCTGACATTCATATCACCTATTCAAATAGGTGATATCACTAAATGGCAATAAATACCAAAATGGTACCTCATACAGATCCCTGTTATCTTTTGTAGACAAGAGTTTTAGCTTTGCAGCACAGTCTTGTGGTATATATTGAAGAACAACCATCAGGATTTGCCAAGAGGTAAGACTTGATTACCTCTCCCCCAGAGGAGAGGAAGCATTGCTTGTTAATCTGTTTCTTTGTTACAAAATCTTAAGGTCATAATAAAAAAATTCCTAGGTTCTCATCCCTGCCTGACTCAATTTTTTTTTAATTTCTGTTTTTCTTTGTGTTTATTCTGATCGGGATCAATATTCAACTTAATTACCATTCAACTTTTGTTTTAAATCCTGCGAATGTCAGCATTATTTTGACAGCTGACTAAATAGTAATTGCTGTAATTTGTTCTAAACAAGGATCATTGGTTGTGAAAGATTGGTGAGGATGTGTAGTAAAGGATATGTATCAATGGACCTCTACTATGACTTTTATGCAGGCATAATAGATAAATCTGCACCGATTGATCAGGTGAACAGAAAATCTGTACAATGGAAGATATAAAAAAAAAAATATATAATAAAATCAGCCTGCCTGTCTCGATTTTTCAAAAATTTGGGTGAGAATCTAGGATTTTTTTCATTATGGCCAAACTCTTAACTGTTACAGCAAAACTTGAATATAATGAACACAGATTTAGCGAATTTATGGCTATAACAAATCAAATGGATTATGATCATTTCACTGATTCTTTTTGTGCCTACTGGCATATAAGGCCTCAGTACACTGCCTCCTCCTGACTCAGTCTCTGGCTGCTGCCCTTGCTGACACCAAGTTATTCCACCCCAGACGTAACAGTTCCTGTTCTGTAGTTCTCCATGTTTTTGGCTGACCTACTTTGCTCCTTCCTTTTGGGTGCCATGTCAGTGTGGTGGTACAAATTCTGGTGTTCTCCATCTTAGTACATGGCCAATCCAATTCCAGTTCCTGAGTTATTGTTTCATCTGCTCTTGTTGCTTTTATTCTATGATCTAGTTGTTCATTTGATATTTTATCTACCCATCTTACTCTCAGGAATTTTCTCAGGCATTTATTCTGGAAGTTGTTGATCTTGTTTGTCTCATTCCATTGTTTTCCATGTCTCCTTTTTATATATGAGAACCAACAGAACCAAGCTGTTAGATAACTTGAACATTGTTTGATGAGCTCCAAATTTTCCTTAGCCTTCTAAACTTAGATTTAGCTTTTCCCAGTCTGCTGGTATTGTCCTAGTCAGATTCTCCCTTTGTTGTTATCACACCTTCAAGTTAAATAATCTGACCTTATTCCCAGGATGATTGAACAAATAAAAGTTTTTGGAGCAGGTTTATTATCAAGTAACTAAACTTCATTACTTGATCAAAATTGAATGGACAATGTATCCACAGGAATGCACCAAATGTCAGAGAACTGCTTCAGATGCATCTACTGAGTATATATTTTCTGAATATTTGAATACTATGAAATCACTTATTATACCCCCCGCTTGAAAAGTGGGAGGGTATATAATGATCGGGATGTCCGTCCCTCCGACCGTCTGTCTGTTATGCTTTGGGGTACCCATCTCTTATCCGCAACTCCTCTTATACCACTGAATGAAATTTTATGAACCTTTCACAGAATCTTTGTTAGTGCCATTGTGCACCTCCTATTTTACTTTTTGATCGGACACATATTTCGGGTTTCCCATAGCAAAAGATGGACACTGCCATTCTTTCTATAATATTGAAGGGTACCCATCTCTTATCCGCAACTCCTCCTATACCACTGAATAAAATTTAATGATACTTTCACAGATTCTTTATTACATAGTGCCATTGTGACCTCCTATTTTACTTTTTGATCTGACTCTTATTTCGGGTTTCCGAGAGCAAAACATGGACTTTGCCATTATAATCTTATGGGAGGCGGGGGTATCATTTAGTGAGCTCAGTGCTCACAGTGCCTCTAGTTTTCCTGAGGGTTTCATTTTTGTTGTTGTCCACCACAAAATGTAAAATGTCATACACATAACTAATCAACAATTGAAATGAAATCCCCACAAACCCATAGTTTTTCCTCAAACCACGAAAATTTGATCCCACAAAAATATGTGATTTTACAGTAATATAGTTAGTTTATGGAGCAGGTCCATTCTCAAGCATTTGTAAGCCCTACTTAAACCAAACTTGAATGAATGATGCATCTAGGGATGCACAATACCAAATACACTTTTGATGCTGCATCAGACCTGTATACTGTAGATTCCTTATTTTACGCGAGTACTTATTATCGCGAAATGGCCCAAGGACGTCAAATCGCGAGAGCAATAATTCGCGAAGGGGTGATTTATCTAGAGATTTTACATACATTAAAGCACCAGAAAAATAAAAGCGAGTGATTTTATTTCACGAGCGGTGCTTCTCGCGTAATTACGCGATAATTTATTCCTCGTGTATATTTAGGAATCTACAGTATTCTGGATGATTGAACATGTTAAATTTTTTTTTGAGGAGGGCCCTTCCAAAGTAACTATAAGCCACATACACCTACTTGCTTCAGATGCTTATTTTTAAAATGCCTATAATTATATTTTTTCATTTTTTATGCCCCCCCCCCCCCCCTACACACTCAGTGTATAGTTTTTGGTCTTTCAGTCTGTTTGTCTGCAAAAACTTTCACCTTGCCTGTAACTTTGGGATAGTTGGTGCTGGGGCTTTTATATTTCACATATGTATTCCTTGTGACAAGACCTTTGGGTACCAACATATTTTACCTCTTGACCTTGCCCTTGAAGTTTGACATACTTTTTCAAAATTTTACAATAATTTAACCTTGGCCATAACTTTTGAACAATTGGTGTTAGGGTCTTATATTTCACATGTGTATTCCATATGACCAGACCTATCTTTGGGTACCAACATTTCAACCATGGAGTTTGACCTACTTTTGAAAACATTAACCTTGGCCATAACGTTTGAATGTTTGGTGCTAGAGTTTTCATATATTATGCGTGTTCCTTGTGACAAACCCTATCTTCAGGTACAATTTTTTTTAGTCATGACCTTGACCTTTGTGTTTGATCTACATTTGAAAAAAACTTAAATAATCTTGCCTATTACTTTTGAAGGGTTGATGTTAGGCCTTTCATATTTCACTTATATATTCCTCGTGACAAGACCTTTCTTTTGGTACCAACATTTTTTACCTCATATCCTTGACGTTGGAGTATGGCCTTTAGAGTATGAGCTACCCTTGAAAAAGTTTAACCTTGGCCATATTTTCTGAATGGTTCATGCTAGGACTTTCATAATTTCACATGTGTATTCCTTATGTTAAGACCTTTCAATGGATACAAACAATTTTGAACTCTTGACCTTGGGAGTTTTACCTACTTTGGCATAGAGCTGCCATACGAGGGCATTAGTGTTTCACAAACATGTCTTGTTTCAGTGCTAAGATTGTGGTTCATGTATCTGCACCTGGACCAGGGAAGAAGCCTGGCCCTGTTACAAGCAGTCGCTATGACTACATCAGGTTCTCCTTCAGAGAAGCAGGTGAAGGTCAGGTAAGGTCAAAGTTTAACAACAAAAAAATGTAAATTTAAGTTTACATGGCTATGATGCAGTGTTTCCTTTTCTATTTCTTTTTTTAATGTATATTTATGTATGTTATATGTTTTTAGTTTTTTAGAGATTATAATGAACAGCTGCAACAAAGGAAATGGGAAAATTTATTACCAGCAAGAAACCCAGCAGCAAAGGTTTGTAATTTTCTGCATTATTTTAGTGGTTATCTGTTTATTCTTACTTCACTTTCACATTAACTCTCCAATCCATTCTTTAGCACAATTTTCAGAATCTAACTATAATAAATGAGATTAATTTAAATACATGCATATACTGAATTGCTTTTCAGGCTCCTCGTCACAGAGCTGGGATCATGGGTATAGAACAAACAATTCAACAGTCTCAGGCAAACACAAACAAAAACATCTCTCAAGCTTTCCAAGATCTCACAAAGCTTATGGAGAAGGTCTGTTTTTAATTTGAATTATTATCAATATTAATATTTTTTATATTTTGCAAAGTCCAAGGAGTGTTAATGAGAAATACACAACAAACACAATGCACTAGCTGGCATATAAAGATGATCAGATGTTGTTTCATGGATTTTGCACATTAAGAGAGCTGCATTAACCAGTTGAATCTGTTATTTGAATGTGATGTAAAGCATGCTTCTGTACAAGAATATTTTCTTGCATAGGCAAAGGAAATGGTGACCCTTTCAAAAACCATAGCAACAAAGATCAAAGATAAACAAGGGGACATAACCGATGATGAGGTAAGGGTCATGGAATTAATGCACTCAGAAAATGTGTTTTTCCCAAAGGCTAAGCTCAGTTCTAATAAAATGGTGTTCTTTATTTTAATGTTTCATAATATGGCATTTTTTAGGGTACATATATGTTTGTACATTTATTTTCAGACAATAAAATTTAAGTCCTACTTGTTAAGTATGGGTATCCCAGATCCTGTTACCAGGGAAACACATGGATCAGGTGACAAGTATTACACAGAGCTGGCAAGACAGCTGTCCAGTGTACTGGAAAAACCACTCAAGGTACATACATGTATAATGAATAGTGACATTGATTTGCTTGATCTTGTTAAAAGTCTTTGTCTTGCACATTATGATAATTTTATCTTGTACAAGAATGTTAAACTTGATGAAACACCTCTAGGATAAGAATCACTAGGATTTTTATTGAAATTAAAGAACAAAAAGATTTTTTTTTTCCAAATATTTGTCAGAATATACACAGATCAGGTTTGCAACCATCTTTTTTTCTTTGAAGGCTTTTAAAGTAGGAAACCTCATCAAATTTGTGAATAATACATTTATTTGCTATTTAAAATAAATGATTTTTTTTTCAAATTTTGAAAATGGTTCTTTGATATGCATTGTAAATGTATTTTTGTCATGGTCCTTGGTTTTCTTTACAGGAGTTTGGTGGCATCATGACCCTTACAGATGTTTACTGTAGAGTGAACAGGGCACGGGGAATGGAGGTACAATTGTATGATCAGTAATTTACAAGTCCTTACACAAAATTAAATTTTCTAAATAATTGAATTGAAATGGTAACATTCATAAGTTTATCCTTTACTTTCCAGTTACTGTCACCAGAAGATTTATTAAATGCTTGTGAGATGTTAGAGATTCTACGACTTCCTGTCAGGTATACACATTCAACGATTTGATGTACAGTACATGCAAGATATCTGAGTGTATCAAACAAGGTTACCTAAACAGAAAATTACCATGTTAAAACTATTTGGGAAGTTTTCCTTTAAAAGATAAGTTCAGATACTGGTTTTGAACATTCACGTACCTCAATATCGTATCATGGCAATGTGACTAAATTCAATCCAAAAGAAAATTACTATTAAATGGTTGGTTTTAAATATGTATATTAATATGAATATTGAGATGAATTCAGGAAAGAAAAAGATATAAATGTATAAATAAAGATTTCTTTGTGTTTTTCCTTTGGTAGACTGAAGACCTTTGATAGTGGAGTGATGGTGTTACAGTTACAAAGTCATGATGAAGAACAAGTTATCCATCTAACAACTCAACTGGTTAGTCACACTTATAATATTATAATACTATTACACATACTGTGTGATGTTTTACTTTGAAACCTATAAATCTAGATCATCATTTACATGTAAAATATCATGATGTAGGTCCCTTCTACAGTATTTTATTTCATACACACTTAAATGGATTTGGGTTTATTATTCTCCAGGTGGAGGATAAAGGTTCACTCACTGCCGAAGACTTATCCAAAGAAGTCGGTGTGTCAGTTATTTTGGCCAAGGAAAGGTATTTATTAAAACAGCAGAAATGTATTCAAGTACAATTCTGATTGTATTACTTGTAACCTACCGGTACATGTAAATGTTTTACTTTTAGGTTACTTTTGACGGAGAAGGTCGGTGGTATATGCCGTGATGAGTGTGTTGAAGGACTTAGATTTTATCCCAATCTTTTCTTGACTAAAGTCACTTGATGATGGCCAGGAAATAAAAAAAAATATTTCAACATTGTATTGTTAAATTTATTGTTTTCATTTAGCTTGTACTGTATTTGTAAAATGTATTTGCATGTAAAACAGGACATTAAAAATATAAAATAAGCAATTTTTTTGAAATACTTTGTCATAATTCATTTAGCTAACATTTGACTGATTAGCGCCGTCAGCTAACCAACACTTTTCTTCCAATTAAAAGATTGTTTTTAGGTGTACATGACAATGGTATTAAGGAACAAAGAGAAGTCGTGTAGCCATGTTCCCTGGCATAATGACTTCTGTCCATATCCACCAGATTCATGCAGAATTTTCCTGAAAGTAAATATTAAAGATGAAGATCTAGGTCTATTTTCAGCAGATAAATAATGCAGAAAAATTAACAACAAAATCTCCAAAAAAGACTTGAAAATTTTTAGACTAAATATGATTTTTATTTTTTGAAGTTCTGTGATGGTGAAAGTTTTAATGATGCTTCGTGATTTTGAATTTGTTATTAACAGAGATACACTTATTAGTTATATGTAATCAAACCTTGCTCTTCCAAAGCCATATTGAATTCAGTCTGATCAGCAACGTGTCCTAAAGTCAAAAATTCCTAAGAAGAAGAAAAATTCTCTTGTGATACGATTGAATACAAATAGAATTAAATTTCACCAGTTGTTAAAATGTATTTTGTGCTAACCTTGTACTCAATTCCAGCATCTCTAAAGTGTTGACTTCTGGGATATGTAATAAAATGAGTTTCCTGAATACCTCCATAGCAACATGGACATATCACAAACTGAGCGTCATTTTCAATGCATTGCTTTAGCACCATGTCAGTAGCAACACCACATGCATGTAAACACACTCCTAAATCAAATTTCTCATGGAAATAGTCCTGATTGCACTGAAAGAAAAAGAAACGTAGCTGTAGAAATATTATCCAATCTAATTAAAATTGGATGCTCCAAATCCACTACCGCTTGTCAAACATCTAACAACATCCCATTCGGGGTCACGTCAGAGCGACCTTTTGATTAGCCAATGAAATCGCCGTCTCCGAAATCTTGGCTTATAGTTCAGAAGCGTTTTTTTTTTACTGCCAAACCTAAACGCCCAAGGGGTTTCGTAGTAAACAAAATATGCATATATATGAATGTGACGTGTGGGATAAATAGACGTATAGTTTGTGCATTTTCGTTTGTGTTATTCAGGTAAGAATGCCAAATTGGCAGATTATACATGTACTTTCAGTTTATACCAAAATTACTTTAATTCAACGTAAGACAGTCTACTGAGCATCAATAATGTTAAGATGTAGCCGTGGAACTAATTTTAGAATCGTATACAGAAGCTTGAATCTGATTGGCCAAAATTTTTATGTTTATTCATGATTGAAAGGTCTCTCTGACGTAACCCCGAATGGGATATTGTTAGATGTTTGAGAAGCGGTAGCGGATTTGGAACATCTAATTTTAATTAGATTGAAATATTATTGATCTTATTTTGTGTTTAACTTTATCAACCACATTTTATTAACTATATATTTCGACATTATACCAAAAAAAACCTATGGGCAATAATAAATTGAAAATCATCAGTATTCCTCAATATTTGCAAGCTAAAAGCCACAGTTTTGTCATTCATCATAATTATGTAAGTTCCTATTGTCACTAAATTTAACAAAAATACATATTTTTCCAAACGTTAAACACTAACATAAGGACTCTTGTTCTATGTATTTTGAGCAGTAACAGACATGCACTAGTATGTATATGGTATCGCATACCTGAAATATGGTGACATTTTGGAGTTTCAGATCTTCTATACGACTTCTGGCACGAAGCAGAGAATCTTCATTGTTCTCAACTAAATACACCTAGATATGATGGATAATGTTTCTATCAATCCAAGAAATTGCTCTAATTAAAAGATTTATTTTAACATTGCATCTGTTTAAGCTCAAATGTATACTAGTCAGTACATTTCTTATATTCAACATTAAAAATCCTAATGTTACAAAGTATGATAATTAATGAAAGGAGTTGGCAAAGTTTTTCTGCCCTTATCTTCTATGTGTGGTTGTCTTGTTTTTCTGCAATTTTGTTTTAGCCCCCCTGTCTGCCTTTCCATAACTGCTGTGTATTTTGCTTTTCTGGGACTGGTTTTAAGAATAAATTATGTATTATCTCCTTTACTTGATACCTTTTTTCTGCAATTTTTACATGCCCATGGGTAACACTTGACATCAAACAGTTGTTAATTAAAGAGATGAGTTAATTTTTGAGAATTCATGAGGACATGAATTATGACGCTTCACGCCGGCATATTTTATGAAGCATGTTAGCGCTTCATGATAAATATGCAGGCGTGAAGCGTTGTAGTTCGTGTACCTCATGAATTCTCAAAAATTCATATCTTATATTTACATTATTTTTCTGATGACTTGGCACATATTTTTGTCATTCAACAATCATTTTTGAAAAAAAAAAGTTTGCACTATTTTCTGACTTCAGTCACATCACAATGGAAATATTCTTACTCATCCCACGGTAGTTCATGAGAACATGAACTTTTTCTAGTTTGCAAAGAATCTTAAGAAAAAATATTTGGAAATGTCAATTTTTACAGATTTACCCGTATATCAATGTACAAGGAATGCATCTCTCTGTTCTACCAAAAAGTAAAGATGCAGTTACAAAGACACATAAAGATGAGTCATTTCTGATGAATAATGACCAAGAAACAGGCATTGTCATCTTAAGCACCATAAATATTGATTCTTGAATATTTTATGCAATGAAATAAATGAAATATTCAATGATGTTATATTCACACACTTCCACCTCCCAGTGGTAAGCACGGAGCCACAGGTTTTCACATTAAAATCAGTTGTGGAAAAAATACAATTGCAGAATATCAGTACAACTTGTCACGGAAAAGCAGTTTTTCCCCCACGAAAAAGCAGTGTCTAATCAGGGAAAAGTGGAACAGCATTATATCTAAATGAGAAAGAGGCCCTAATCAATTCATATCAGACCCCAAGACCATAAACTGAGAACAAACTTATAATTCAAAATTTCAATTTTTAATGGCTACATGTAGCTTGGACTTTTATTCTACAAAACGTTTCAAAAATTGCAAATATTTGTAATATTTGAATACAATCACACAGTTAAATTGTTTTTTCATAATTTTCTGAACAAAACTTGGGGTAATTTATGGAAATTCTGAATGTCGGTTTTCAGTATATGGTCAAGAGACCTCTGGTCTAGTTCTCTCACCTTACAATCCTGAAGAAGGTAAGCAATGACAATACCCAAATGTCCCTGTAAACATAAGATCAGATTATACATTTACTACATGTAATTCTTTGTCGATAAAAACCATTATAGTATAATCTGAAGTTACCGAGGCCCATGGGCCACAATGCTCACCTGAGTAACTTTGGCCCTACTGTTCCACCTTGTAATACGTATTGTGACCCCATCCTACCCCCAGGGGTCATGATTTGAACAAATTAGAATCTAAACTACCTTAGGAATCTTTCATAAAAATTTCAACTTTTCTGGCCCAGTGGTTCTTGAGAAGAAGATTTTTAAAGATTTTCCTATATATTTCAATGTAAAACTGATTCTCTACTGTGGCCCCACCCTACCCCTGGGGGCCATGATTTGAACAATTTAGAATCTACCCTATCTCAGGAAGCTTCCACAAAATTTCAGCTTTTCTGTTCATGTTCTGTTCAGTGTTTATTGAGAAGATTTTTTAATAAACCCACCCTATTTTTTGTCTTATCTTGATATCTCCCTTTGTATGGGGGCTTGGCCCTTCATTTTCACAATTTACACTCCCCTTCACCCAAGGATGCTTTGTACTAACTTGGGTTAAAATTGGCCCAGTGGTTCTTGAGAAAAAGTTGAAAATGTCAAAAATTTAGATGGAGGGACGACGGACAACCAGTGAACAGAAAAGTTCACTTGAGCTTTAAGCTCAGGTGAGTTAATAACTTCACACTAGTATGTACAGAAGGTTGCATAATGCATATTGATCTTCTACAAATATATACTTTTCCACTGGGTCATAATTTGCAGAATCAAAATTTTTGTTCCATCCACAGACAGAAAATTACAAGGATTTTTTAAGATTGCCTCTATATGTCTTTTAAAACGTACTTTAAGTATGCTGGGACAAATTTCTGCAGAAAATTTGTGACCGCTTACACAGCGTAACTTAATACCACGCAGAAAAGTACCTCCATCTCCATTATCAGTAAGAATGGAGGATTTTGCCTTTTTGCCTTTTTGGTGTGAGAAGATTCATCTGGTGCAGAAGTCCAGAAGAAGTCAACATTTTTATAGTCTTGGAAAAATATGATCCCCCTTCCTAAGGTCCCATATTCTACATCTCCTTACCCCTCCGCTACAGAAGTCCACTATGACATCACCAGGTCTGTGAATCTCCAGGACAGCAGTGACCAGATTCTCCAACTGTTGACATTTCCTCTGACGACGCTTCTTTGGAAGGTCTTCAAAACAAATCACATTTCAATACTTCACCTCAAATTATTTTAGTTTTTCTGACTCGAGTTTCTCAAGAGTTTATTATTTTTCATTGTTAAGTTATGAAAAATAAGACTAGTAAAATTTTATCCTGTTCAATCACAGTGAACAGCTTTAAGTTGAACTTAAAATCAATATTGTGGGATTTTTTTTCTGGCCATAAAGTATCTTTGTTTTATGTATAAAACTAAAATAACAAATGGTAACAATCAAATAGTGTCCATAAACTGTTTAAAGAAATATTCATATTAGGTGCTTTAATAATCAGAGTTATCTGAACATGAATGTTATTTATGAGTATTTTACTAGGAATAGCAACTATAAGCATTATTATAAATAATCCAACAAGGAACTATTATCGTCTTTGATCTTTTTTTACACAGTTTTTACTGATAGTCACCTCTTCCCGGATCTACTCGAACAGGAAATCCCTCCCAGTCCAGCTGTACTTGGTCACCTCTAGGGTGCGAGCCTAATTCCTCCTCTATATTTCCACACTACAGGAAATTATCAATCTTCCTTTGTTAAGTACATATTAGATTTTATAAATTCTGCAGCTATATAAAAACATGCAATTTAAGATACTTTTTTAGTTCTAGAATTGTACATGTATATGATGGTAAACGGAAATGAAATTATATGTTCAAAACATTAACAAGGTTTTTATATGTTTATATTAATTACCAGGTACATTAACTTTTTCCACTACAAACCCCCATAGCAAATGTAAACTGACTATGTCAGATATGACCCATAATTAAGGAACAAAACATGTTTTATGTAATCATAAAATATAAACGCTACCTTGATTTTGTTGAGTGCCTTTGTAATATCTGGTTTGATTGCTCTGTATTTTCCTCTTAGTCTTCGACTGTAGTATATAAACACAAATAAACACAAATAACACCATTTAAAACAGGCAAATAACACAAATTAAAGGCATAAATTTTACTTCATCAGAATGAAAAACAAGAGGCCCATGGGCCACATCGCTCACCTGAGTAACTTTGGCCATGCTGTTCTTTACCAGATTTCCCCCTTTTATAATATACCTATTGTGGCCCCGCCCTACCACCGGGGGTCAAAATTTGAACAATTTAGAATCTACACTACCTCAGGATGCATCCAAATATGTCTCAGCTTTATTGGTCCAGTGGTTCTTGAAAAGAAGATTTTTAAAGATTTTTCTTTAAGTTATATATTTCAATGTAAAACTTGGATTCCCTATTGTGTCCCGCCCTACCTTCCGGAGTCAAGATTTGAACAATTTAGAATCTACACTACCCCAGGATGCTTCCATATAAGTTTAAGCTTTTCTGGCCCAGTGGTTCTTGAGAAGAAGATTTTTTAAAGATTTTTCCTATATATTTCAATGTAAAACTTGGATTCCCTATTGTGGCCCCGCCCTACCCCCAGGGGTCATGATTTGTACAATTTAGAATCTACACTACCCAAGGATGCTTCCATATAAGTTTCAGCTTTTCTGGCCCAGTGGTTCTTGAGAAGAAGATTTGTAAAGATTTTTCCTATATATTTCAATGTAAAACTTGGATTCCCTACTGTGGCCCTGCCCTACCCCCGGGGGTCATGATTTGAGCAGTTTAGAATCTACACTACCCCAGGATGCTTCCATATAAGTTTCAGTTTTTCTGGCCCAGTGGTTCTTGAGAAGAAGATTTTTAAAGATTTTTCCTATATATTTCAATGTAAAACTTGGATTCCCTACTGTGGCCCCGCCCTACCCCCGAGGATCATGATTTGAACAATTTAGATTCTACACTACCCCAGGATGCTTTATATAAGTTTCAGTGTTTCTGGCCCAGTGGATCTTGAGAAGAAGATTTGTAAAGATTTTTCCTATATATTTCAATGTAAAACTTGGATTCCCTATTGTGGCCCTGCCCTACCCCCAGGGGTCATGATTTGAACAGTTTAGAATCTACACTACCCCAGGATGCTTCCATATAAGTTTCAGTTTTTCTGGCCCAGTGGTTCTTGAGAAGAAGATTTTTTAATATTTTTCCTATATATTTCAATGTAAAACTTGGATTCCCTATTGTGCCCCCGCCCTACCCCCAGGGGTCATGATTTGAACAATTTAGAATCTACACTATCCCAGGATGCTTCCATATAAGTTTCAGTATTTCTGGCCCAGTGGTTCTTGAGAAGAAGATTTGTAAAGATTTTTCCTATATATTTCAATGTAAAACTTGGATTCCCTATTGTGGCCCCGCCCTACCCCCGGGGATCATGATTTGAACAATTTAGATTCTACACTACCCCAGGATGCTTTATATAAGTTTTAGTGTTTCTGGCCCAGTGGTTCTTGAGAAGAAGATTTTTAAAAATTTTTCCTATATATTTCAATGTAAAACTTGGATTCCCTATTGTGGCCCTGCCCTACCCCCGGGGGTCATGATTTGAAGAATTTAGAATCTACACTACCCCAGGATGCTTCCATATAAGTTTCAGCTTTTCTGGCCTTGTGGTTCTTGAGAAGAAGATTTTTAAAGATTTTTCTTATGTATTTCAATGTAAAACTTGGATTCCCTATTGTGGCCCCGCCCTACCCCCGGGGGTCATGATTTGAACAATTTAGAATCTACACTACCCCAGGATGCTTTCATATAAGTTTCAGTGTTTCTGGCCCAGTGGTTCTTGAGAAGAAGATTTTTAAAGATTTTTCTTATGTATTTCAATGTAAAACTTGGATTCCCTATTGTGGCCCCGCCCTACCCCCGGGGGTCATGATTTTAACAATTTAGAATCTACACTACCCCAGGATGCTTCCATATAAGTTTCAGTATTTCTGGCCCAGTGGTTCTTGAGAAGAAGATTTTTTAATGATCCCACCCTATTTTTGTCTTTTCTTGATTATCTCCCCTTGTAAGGGGACTTGGCCCTTTATTTTAACAATTTACACTCCCCTTCACCCAAGGATACTTTGTACCAAGTTTGGTTAAAATTGGTCCAGTGGTTCTTGAGAAGAAGATGAAAATGTGAAAAGTTTACAGACGGACGGACAGACGGACAGACGGACGGACGGATGGACGGACGGACAGACGGACAGACGGACGGACGACGGACAATGGGTGATCAGAAAAGCTCACTTGAGCTTTCAGCTCAGGTGAGCTAAAAAAGCATTGACTCTACATGTTTAAACATACATATATAATCAAAGAAATCAGTAAAATACAGCAATAAATACATGTACATTTTGTATATTACTACCAGCATACATCTTAAAATAATAACTGTATCTTGAAAATACGTAATTTGATTACCTCAATTCCATTTCATCATGGTCAGGAGGCTTTACCCAATCGGGTACGTAAAACCTGAGATCATTTTCTTGTCCAGAATTGGAGATTCTGCTCAGATCAAATTGATTTTTTACTGCTGCACGTCTCACTTCAGGTAGAGTGGTCATGTGACTAAACCACTGAGATATACATGGCAGGTGCCCTTTGATCAACCTCATATCAAAGCCAATAGTTTGCTTAAAGTAAAAGCACAGAGCAATAATACACCTCAAAAAGTGATACATAATATTTCTATATATAAGGCTGAATATTTACACATTTAACCCTGTATTAATGTATTATGAAAGCTGGAATGTTTCTTTGGATTCATGAAATAACTGGAAGGCTCACCAACAAAAAGTAAATGTATGTGAACAGAATTAAATCTGCCACTGTGATGTCTGTGCCCTCAGAGTACAGATGAACAAAGTCAATCTCATGGATGGTTAGACCAGATACAAACTTTGTAAGTTCTGTCAATGACATTTCACAAACATCTTCCACCGCATTGTCACTCTGGAGGTCTATCTCCCCAGTAGATAATTTATCTGAACTAAGACTTCCATTGCTAGATAATATCCCTGTGGTGTCAGATACCCCATTCAGTCCATTATCTACTGAAGTTTTACACTGCTGGATTGGTTTTCTTATTCTGAATCTACTCTTACAATGTGAGTGAAAAATTTCTCTTGTGAACCTGAACTCCTTGGGATCTTTAATCTCCTGCAGTTCCTGTTTGATTTGACACAGTAGTGCCCTCTTTATTTTGTCATCATTGTGAACTGATGGTGGCTTCCTGAAATGCCATTCTAACTTCATCAAATCCTCTGGCAATGCCACATCACTTTTCTTGTCTGTATCTTTGTTTGAGATAACAACCCCCATTTTAGTATCACATTCATTCTCTCTTGATGCTATGTCTTCTATTGTTTCTTCATTTGCTTCTTTTTCTTTTGATCTGTTTTTGATGCAATAAAAGCAAGTGTAAGTATTCAATATTAAGATCAATAACCTATGTATGCAATAAATAGCTAATTTAATTCCATCAGCAATAGTTCCTTGCTACGCGTATTATTCTTGAAAGGTACATATAGCAAGGAAACTACAATCAATCTTTGTTAACTTGAACCAATTAAGAAAAAAAAAAGATCTATCCAAGGATTCGAGATATTGAGAGTAAATTACTCATGGAAAAAGTGTTTTGGACTTCTACATATCCATGGCATTCAAGATATCAATGTTTGAGATACTGAAGTTCAGCTGTACATGTAATATAGAGGCACTCAAGTTATTGCCTGACTTAAAAGTGTTGACAGGCAAAAAAGATGGACTGTTGTGTATCTTGATTACTATTAATAAGGATTCTGCACCTTAAATGAATGGCACTAGAAAAGGCTTCTATTCCTTCTAAAACTTAAATACCAGCACTAAAGTTACTATACAAAATAAATTCTCATTAAATAAATCTTCTAGCACATCCAAACTGGGTATTTTTCATAAAAAATAAAAAAAAAATATAATAAAATCTACCTGATGTTGTGTAACAAATTTGTGATTGAAGAGGGAAGTTCAATTTCACACAGTTTGGTCCATCCTGATATCTATATACAGTTAAAAACAAAGAAAAATATATATTCAGATGTAAAATAAAATCATATATCAATCTGTAAATGAATAAAGAGAATAAAGTATTTACAGAATTTACAAATGTGTAATCGAGACAGTCATGTTTGTGCCTCTGAATGGATCTGAACCCAGGACCTCTAGCATGCCAGTCCAGTGCCCCACCAATCTTGCTAAAAGGTTAACCCAATAGACAAAACTAGTACGATGCCATGTATCTTACACTACCACATTGTCCCCCTCTAAAGAATGTGATTTTCTCTTCTTTTATGGAGTGCCAGTGCCCATGGGCTAAAGATCTGAGGCAATCACTTTCACCCGCCAGAGAATATCCAGTGCTCTACTGGTGAGCTAAAGGGTTAACCCACTAGCCCAAGCTAACTGGATGCCACGTATCTTACATTACCACAAATGCAAGAAAAGTGCTTAGAATTTTTTGTTGGATGGCCAAAAATTCAATAGCATACTTGATTGTGATAGAATTCGGCCGAGCCGAACCAAGCCGGGTAAACCCTGGTACGCTCTTAGAATCAAGCGAACAGGCTCATGTAAAGTAATAGAAATATTGTATTTCTATCGTAAAACATTATCTAGCATAGAAAAGGACTACACTTTTTGTAAATATGTTCATTTCACAAGCGTACCTCGATCAAAAGCATCACGTCTTAAAACAAACAACTTTCAACACTACTATCCCCAAGGACGCCATGTTGAAGCCGCCCTAGCCTATCAAATTTTTCCGGCTCAATTGGCTCACCCGGCTTGATGCATGCGCAATACCGGCTCAGAATCAAGTGTGTTGCCGGTCATTGCCGGTTTACCCGGGCGCGCCGGATGGTCAGAATTAAGTATGCTACAAATCAAGCAAGTTTATTGGTCTCTAGAGACAACTAAAAAGGGTTAGGAGGTGGTTAAAATATACGTTAGACATAGAATATGTCTAGAAATTGGGAATGAAAGGTAGTTGATTGAACAATGCTGGAAAGTGGAGAAATACATCCCCAAAGTGCGCAGAAAATCTTGCCCCATAAATTGCACCATATTTTCATTGTGGGATCTGTAGTGCTATGTTCAAAGACTAAAATATAAAACCATAGTGCTACAGTTCTGCAGCTACCTTTGACCTGATCTTTGATCACCCATAAAGTCTGTTTCCCCTCAATCATCAACCTCCTATGTAGTAAATATGTCGCTTGAGAGCTACTTGGGTTATCATGTCACATAAAGTGCTGCTGGGTAGACAGACTAATGGACTGATGCAATTACTATAAAGCAACTACCCTAATTACACTGAACCTCTGAACAAGGAGATTTATTATCATTTTTCTCTTCAGTCATTAGGGTGGTGTAACCTACCTCAGCACAAGCTTTAAGACTTCCACCTCTGAATCCCTGAAATACACAAGAATAAATTTTAATTATGACAGTTGGTATTTTTAAAAAGAATACAGCAAAACACACTTATAGCGAAAATGCTTTTAATGAAGTGATGCTTATAGTGTGATTTTCATTCCCTGTGATTTTAAAATATATTGTTAATTAATTAATGAATATAACAAATTACACTTATAACGAAGCAAAATCGTCTGCCCCCGGCACTTCTTTATATGCGTGTTTTATAGTATTGCACTTTTTTCTCATATGAAATAATTGTAAGCAATAAAAAAATCTGAATTATTTGCAGTGACTAGTAATTGGAAGTGGTTTATCTATAATTTAGTAAACACTGGTATAAGAATAAGTGAGCTTTATTAATGTATATACATGTACTAATATTTTAAATTTTGTATTGTATATGTGGTTAAATGACACAAACTTTTAAGAGTTTCAGACTATTAGTTTCTCTATCTAATTACCATGCCACGCTTCAAAAAGTGTCAGAAAAGAAACTTGATCCTGGCTTGTTAGCAGGCAAACTTACTGATGTGACCACTCATAAATTAACAATTAAAAATAAGGATCGCCACAATTCACTCCAGCTTCAAGAGCCTGACAAGTGGTAACACTTAATTCCTAACTAATCTATGTCAGCACTCCAGTATTATAGGTTACAATTACTTTGAATTAGTAATATTTAACTAAATAAACTCGGATCTTTTTTCTGAATTAATCTCAGTCTTGGAAGTGAAAATTCAGCAAGAGAACTAATATTGCTTTGACTAAATTATTGCTTTGACTAAATTTTAATTTACAAACAAATTCAAACATTTTATAGAAATTCTCTCTCTCTCTTTCTATCTCTCTCTCTCTCTATATATATAATATAAATATATTAACAGTTGGCTACTAGTAATTTTTTCAAATATGTGCATGTTTCTTTTAAGTAATTTTTCAGATTTATGGTATGGATTAGACAACAAATATGTCATAAAATAATAATTATATGCAGGGGGGGGGGGGGGGTTGAAAAGCCCTGGGGTCAAAAATCATATCTTTGTGTGGTGTTTGGGGGGGGGGGGGGGTCCTGTCCTCAGGCACCTATGGTATATATGCAATAAAGAAAGCAAGTATTGTGAATACCCAAAAGTACCATAATTTTTTTCATTTACATATTTGACTTTGATATTAACAACTGCATGAATCAACCTAACCAGGACACCACCGAAAGCTTTTCTCAGGGTCTCTAACATACTTTGATATTAAATGCTATATTATAAGCTTTACCATGAGGTCAAATATTAAATACTATATGTATAAGCCTTACCAGGTCAAATATTATACACTACAAGTATAGACTTTACCAGAAGGTCAAATATTTATAAATACTACATGTATAAGCCTTACCAGTAGGTCACAGAGATCTTTCTCTGGGTTCTTAGCATGGCATTTCTTGATTAGACAACGCAGAGTAGAACATAGCCCTGACCTAATAACAGGGTCATCACACACCACAGGGAGGTCACAGCAATGGGGGTATGAAGACTGGTCAATAAATCTGTGCTTTGTGGCCAAGAGGACGGCAAAGCTTACACTGACACACTTAGATTTCTCAGTTTTCTCATCTACAAACAGCAGTTCAAAGAGATCGCAATCACAGTAGTGGAGCAGGAAGAGAACAGCAGCTGATGGCAGTGGTAGTAGAATATGGGTACCAGATTCACTTCGACGTCCAGATATGTATACCAAAGTTCTTGCTGAACTCATCTCATCTACAATGTTAAATTAGTTGCAACATCAAATTTATCAATACAGAAAATAAAGAGACATTAATGTTTAATCCATTGAAAATTTTCTTCACTTCAAAAGTATCACTAAATATACATGTATCTGAATACTTGTCTGAATATATTAAATATACTTTAAGTGAGTAGGCTTTATAAGGTTTATGATTAATAGGGGATAAAAATAACCCAGTAAAAATATAACCAAAGTATCACATATTACTTAAACATTTGGATGGGGGTTAAAGGATTAATGAGGAATATACATACAATGTATGTATATAATCTATAACCATGACCACCAACCTAGAACTTTGGCTCAAGGACACTGGTTGAATATGACCTAAACTCAGCCAAGGGGAGAGAAAATATGCTCCAAACAAGGATTTTACACTGAGAGATTTTTCAGCCTTGCCTTTTGATTTAAAAAATTAGTTACAGGTCATAGCACACCCACTACCCATTGGCATTTTATGAATGAAATATGAGCCCAACTTAGCTAAAGGGAGAGAAAATATGCTCCAAACACGGATTTTAAACAAAGAGGTTTTTCAACCTTTACCATTGATTGGAAAATTGGTTCAAGATCACTGCACATCCCTTACCCACAGCTACTCTACGGGTGAAGTTTTAAATGTCTGGACCATGGGGAGAGATAACATACTCCATACATGAAGATGCAGTGAAAAGAACCATCAAATAATCAAAAAAACACCTTTTTGAGGTTGTGGATACCTTACGCTCAAAAAATTAATCCATATAGTGGGAGAATTTAATATTTATTTCTGAACGTTTTTTATTCACTTCAAATTTACATGCCATGTTGACATTCGGAACTCCACATTGTTCATAGTACATGCACTGAGTGAGAATTATCACCCATGTTTGTTTTGCTAAATAGCCAATACACGGAATGCATTCTATTGTTAAACCAGTCTGTAGGACATTATTATTTTTAAAAATGATAGAGAATATTCTATCTAATATATTAGTGCCAATATTCATCAATACAAGTTCAATAACCCTATAAAATATAACAGGGCACCATTTTGGTCAAGATGTCTTTTAGAGCACTGTTTTGCTCTGGATCAAGCTTTGTACCTTTGAAAAGGTTCTAAAACAAAGATTATTTCATAAAGCTACCATCCCAATGGAGTCAAAATACCAAAAAAAAAAAAACCCACCCACTTCGCCACTACAGGAAAAACTCTAACACCTTAACAGCTTTTAGTACTGATGTTACCAAGCAGATGACTTTTCTCTGTTCGCTATGGCATATCGGTGATACACCACAGTAATTTTTTTACCCTGTGCCGAGTTCCCATTCTTTTATTTTATTTTAATACTCTATCTTTTGTTGTTTTTTATACAAAGTTTAACCAAAAAAGAAATATCAATAATATATAAAGTCATTAGACAACCCAACTCTCTACATATTGTGCAAAAGTACAAAGCGAAAGTAGGGATCAATGGACTATATATTTCATAGTCTCGAATTTCCTCAGATTAATGTTTATAAAAATACTTTAATCTTGCTATAAACTACTTAATTTTTGTTATGTTCTAACACTTTCTGCTATTAAATGACATCTAGATGAATTCAATTCAAATAGAAATCAGCGCTTACAAATATTTCCAAGATTCTTTTAATTATGCCATGTGTTTTCTCAGTACATTTTCCCGGTTAATAGGTCAGGTTGCGTGTGCCGTCACTCCGTCGCCAGTGCCCTGACGTCACAGCATCAAAGCGCAGGCGCTTTTCATTCATAAATAACCTACCGATTCAACAAAATAATTCCATCCAAGTTACCAAGATATATAAAACAGCACTAAAATAATGCATACTTGCTAAATATTGAAATTTAAAAAATGGCAGTTGATACTTCAAAATACCATCTATTTCATAAATATCTAATATATTACAAATTTATTAAACTGAATAGGAAGTGTCCTTTCTTCCGGAAAGCGTAGGAATTCTATGTTCTAAGTTGGTAATTCGGTTGCTCGTCGTTCTGTCGCCTAATCACAATACCGTTAATTTTCATCGTCTAATCGGATAGTAGATTGATGGAAAGTAACAATTATCCGTTAATTATTTACAAGGATCTTTGAGAAGATTTTGATATCGATCCAAGAGGTAAAGGTCAAGATGTTTTTGTTTTAGGGAAGAATGCCCCTGAGCATCCAAGTTGTGTCCATGTTTTTGTTTTGTTATACATGCACCCATGTATCATGACCATGCACAATTTTCATTGGTCAAGCAAATGAATTAATTAATCAAATTAACTGTTTAAGCTTTTTTTTTTAATTTTGTATGTTGACATATTTTACAAGGATGTGATGGCCTCATTATTTTAGTTTTCTTTGGTTTTAATGCTATATTTTATACAAGTTATGACCTAATTAAAAACCATATTGTTATAATAGTTTAGGAGTGCCAAGTAAGGTTACTCATAACCTAAGGTGTTCATAATACAACTGAATTGAACACTCCCAGTTCCCACAGTAAAAGTCTATATATTTGAGACTTCAGAGTAAAAAAAAAATAGTATAACTGTATAATAAAGGTTAACTTTCATTTTTAAAACATTTATCTTAGAATATATAATTATTAGGCCATTTTTAGGACTTTGGTTCTATGTTAATCATTTCACATTAGCATTTTATGATAATTTTTATTTTTTGTTCTCTTTTGTAGGCTGATACTGGAATGAGTTCCCCCATGTCCAGTCTAAACAGTCTTTTCTCATTCACGAGTCCTGCTGTAAAGAGACTTCTTGGTTGGAAACAAGGAGATGAAGAGGAAAAATGGGCAGAAAAGGCAGTTGACTCGTTGGTAAAGAAATTGAAGAAAAAGAAAGGTGCATTAGAAGAGTTGGAGAAGGCCTTGAGTTGTCCTGGCCAACCAAGCAAATGTGTTACAATCCCTCGCTCACTGGATGGTAGACTGCAAGTGTCCCACAGAAAAGGACTACCACATGTCATTTATTGCAGGGTGTGGCGATGGCCAGATCTGCAGAGTCATCATGAATTAAAACCTTTAGATATATGTGAATACCCATTTAGTGCTAAACAGAAAGAAGTCTGCATTAATCCTTACCACTACAAAAGAGTAGAAAGTCCAGGTACATTTCACTTTGTAGCTCATTGGTTTAAAGTATTCTTTGCTGTTCACAAATTCACACAATTGTAAAATTCAAAGTACATTTAACAAGGCCACAACATTCATGCGTACTTTAAATGAAATGAAGAGATCCATTATGTCAGTTAAATGTGTTAAAAGTACAATATGATTGATTACAAAAGAATTTAAAGGTAAATGTAGTTTATGTTTTGCTGTTTGAATTTTTCTTTTATGATCAATATACTACTTCTGTATTTCAGTGCTACCACCAGTCCTTGTTCCACGCTACAGCGAGTTTCCTGCAGGTCATGGATCACCACCCTCATTGCCCCCATTCCAACAAGCCCCAGAACCAGCAATGCCACACAACATTAGCTTTGACCCTAATGGCTTTCACCCATCCCAGGGACCCAATTCTCCTGCTAGCTCAGGACCAGGCAGCCCATACGGTTTGCCAGGTATGTAAGTGTGATAAAGTGTAATCCAATAATGTGACAGACAATAATGACAGATAAAGTACATAAAGTACATATTTTCTTTGTGTGTGCAAGAAAAATGATATTGTGTGGATTTCTTCAAAAATGTGTGGATTTCTTCAGTAATAAGTTATGGGGAAAAAATTCTGAAGTTTATCTTCACATTTTACAGGCTATATAATGATAATATTTGTTGGTTGTTTGTCATTTCTTTTGTCATATTTGTTTCAGCTGGCACACCACCACCAGCATATCAACCACATGATGATAATGCTAATGTGAATAACCAAAATAGAAACAACCATCCACGACCCCACCATCAGCCAATGGACACAATGCCAGCATCCTCTCATGGAAACAGAGTAGCAGGTTAGTAAGTTACCCATATATTAAAGATTTATTTTAGATGACACTAAAGATGTCATGCAGTGGATTTTCTATATTACTGGTGTTCCCACTGGAGCCAAATTAATTTTCAGGACTTAGATTTGGATTAATTTAAATGAAACTTACTACCTATGTTCAGTATTTTTCATCTGGAGGAAATTCCTCATTTTCTTTGACAAACTTTCTACCTTTGAAGTATATAGTGGAAAACATCCAAAATACTTTTGAATAGGGCTGGGACGATACAACTTTTCCTGTATCGATATGTATCAAGATATTTGAGCCATGATACAATATATATCACAATATGTTGAATTGGTTATAAAATCTTCTTCTTTTTTGTATTGAATTGATTATTGAACAAAACATTTCTTCACAAATAAGAAGAATTTACTCAAAAAAGTTGTATATCTGTTGTAAAACAAAATTATTTTATACAAGTGGGGCCATCTTTAACAAATTGTTTGGTTGCCCTCTCCCGACCAACTGGCTAAAAATGGCCCGATTCAAAATTTTTTTCAACATACAAGAATTAAGGACGACGGACCTAATTCGAAATTTTGCACCACTGCGCAGAAAACCGCGCATATGCCTTGAATCAAATTGACTTAATTATGTACTGCAAAAGATAAAAAAGATAAATTTTTAATTCTGTTAAAGATATTCAAATGTTTCCTCTCAATTCAAAAATATTTTAAATATTTCGATTTATATTCATTTGTTAATTTTATAAATAAATGATTTATTTGGTCAAGGTGTTTTCATTGAAAATTTCCCCGAAAATGTGCCCTTCACCTGAGTTTGACATGCCCCACTGAAAAATCTAAGCGGACGACCCATTTATTTTTTGGCATAATTTGCTGGTAAATTGTCTTGTTAACATTGTCCTTTAATATGAATAAAAATTCTATTGCAGAATGTTTTTCAATAATCATTCTTATACCCTACACTGGCAATTTCCCATTACTTCCTATAGTAATTATCAATTTCCATTGCCAACTTTCGAAACGCTTCACATTAAAAAATCTACATCGATGACCATACAATTTTTTTCTTGATTTTAACTCACCAAAAGTCACTTTACCTCATATTAAAATTTAAATAAAAAATCTATTGCAGAAATGAATTAGGTCCGTCTTAGTTAACTCTTAATCATTAAATTCAAATACATATTATGCGTAATGTCAACAGCAGTTTATTTAATTGGTCTTGAATTTAACCAGAGCTCATTTTTTCGATATGGTTTTAATATGATCTTCACTGCTTTTTTACACGTAGTGTACTCTTTGATAACATTGCAGTATAAACTTTTTTCTCCGGCTAGGACTCTTTTTTCTCCAATTATTCATTGTTCTTTATTACTTATACACTTGTTATAGTTGATATCATCTTACATAGACAACACAAGCTTTTGTGTGCTTAAAAGGAACTATGCCTAGTGCGTAGTCTTTCTATATAAAGAAATCAATTTAAATCTATATCATTGAATTCTTTCTCCCGAACTGGAAATCGTCGTTGCCATAACTTAGAATGGTCCTAGTTATTGAAACGCTTTTATATTATTATTTCGTTTTGAAAAAAAAAATCAAACACTGAGCTAACCTCAATTCATATCATACTTTATATAAACATTTATATAAACAACACACTTTATCTGGAGCTCTGATATTCCCCTGGAAAATGAAATTGCCCAGAAACTTGAGGTGCACTTACTTTGCAATTTCATTATCAAGTGTTATAATCACATCAAGGTTATAAGCAAAATTGCTTATATGTTGCATTAGGGAGGTACATATGACCATACATTTTTCAAATTCTGCATGTGACCTTCCTTGCTCAGAAAAAAAACAGATGGAAGCTTTTTGAGCAAATAATCTTAATCATTTATTATTCAAGCACAATGTAATAGTAAATCTTACATAATCTAAATCAAAATCTGCACTACATACAAAATCAGACATTGGTCAACTGGGTCAAAGGGCAGATTTTTTTTAATGACCCTATTCAAGAATCAAAAGCAGTAACAGTGGTTATTATGATTTAATGCTGATATTATCATTTAGGTGTATTTTTTACTTTCTTTTTTCATGTTTTTAGGTATGTCTGTAAAACTCACAGATCTACAACCAGTGACTTATCAGGAACCCCAGTTCTGGTGTTCCATTGTCTACTATGAGCTGAACAACAGAGTTGGGGAAGCCTTCCATGCATCACAAACAAGCATTGTTGTAGATGGATTTACTGATCCCTCCAACAATGCAGATAGATTCTGCTTGGGATTACTGTCAAATGTTAACCGCAATTCTACCATAGAGAATACCAGAAGACACATTAGTAAAGGTTTGTATCGATTAATTTACTTTAAATCAATATTTAATTTACTTTAAATTAAGTCAGTTTTTATTTGCGAGAACTTTATTTTCACATAATCACGCCAAACCACTGTTTGCCAAATTTGCATTCTCACTTATATTTTTATTATTAAAAATTATATACAGCAATAACCAACATTCATGAAAATTTTGTCTTGTTTATTAATCCGAAATAACTATCTCACAAAATAAAGTGTAAAGAAAATTTGGTGATCTACAAGTTATTGAATATTATATTGTAAGCAGCTTATCTATTTACTGTATATTCTTTCCCAAGAAGAGAATATGACATTTCCTTAGGGATGTAGAATGAAAAAAAATACATCTAAGCAAAAATTATGGTTTTGTCTTTAAGATTCAATAGGCACATCATTATTTTTTTTTCACCGACACTTGATTTGTTTTACAGGTGTGCATTTGTATTATGTGGGAGGAGAGGTGTTTGCAGAATGCCTGAGTGACTCTAGTATATTTGTTCAGAGTCGTAACTGCAATTACCACCATGGATTTCATCCCACCACAGTGTGCAAGATTCCTCCAGGCTGCAGTTTGAAGATCTTCAACAACCAAGAGTTTGCAGCTTTACTCAGCCAGTCTGTCAACCATGGCTTTGAAGCTGTCTATGAACTCACCAAAATGTGCACCATTAGGATGAGTTTTGTCAAGGGCTGGGGGGCAGAGTACCACCGCCAAGATGTGACCAGCACTCCCTGCTGGATTGAGATCCATTTAAATGGCCCACTGCAGTGGCTGGACAAAGTCCTAACTCAGATGGGCTCACCTCACAACCCTATCTCTTCTGTATCCTGATCGTCAAAACCCTCCGTCTCTCAAACCAATCGATCTCGAGGCCAAAAAAATATCACCGGTCACTCAGTGTTGTCATGTACATCGAATTGTCAAGCTAAAAATGGAGTTGTCCAACCAGAATTACAAAATTTATGTTATCTCAGAGTGTTTTTATATGTAATTTACTCAACAATTGTATGATGAACTAGCAGTTGTCTGTGCATTCCAAACGAGTTAGTGCTTTGTATATCTGAGTTGCCTACCATTGTCAGCTATAGTATATTTATAGATATCATCAGTTTTGAGGTTGTATTGTGTCTAAGGGTAATCTTAACGAAAATGGTAAAGTTCTTAAAAGTGGCAAAAAACCTGTAGAGAAGGAGAAAATTGACACTCAAAGTCCACCATTATTTTTTATGTTTGCAGAAAGATGGTGAATTGTAAATTATTTGATAAATGAAAGGGTATATAAATGTATATATATTTAATAGTATGTCTGCATGTCAACTTGATTCTTGTTGTTAGTTCTGTGATGTAAATATTGTGCTATTCTAACAGTCCTTGCATATCTACTAACACTATTTGTTGACACAAAAAGCCTTAAGCTTAGATACTAGCAATTATGAATAGTGAATTAACCAGATTTTTTTTTCTTGCTCACTCCAGTAGAAATGCAGGGTGGCATTATTGATGATAAGTTAACACCGTTCTGGTATTGTTACATTTAATAAAAGATGAATGTTGCCTGATAGAAGGTTACAGTGGTGTGGATTTTAAGGAAGTTAATTGTATTGTTTTCAGCAAACATTAACTTCAATTTATGATCCGCTATACAGTGTAGTATGGAAATCCACATACCATGTTTATTAATGCATGTGGAACTGAAAAAAAGTTATAACTAAATATCATATTTACGTGATTTTATTAATGAGATAAAGGCCTTGTAGAGGTATTTTCAACAACTGGATATAGTATAATTGCATATATTAAAGAGATAACAATATACTTAGCTTTCAAAGCTTATGACAAATTTTTCTTTCAGATTTGATTTTTTTTTTTTGCCTCCTCTTTAGCACATGAACAAAATAGCTAGTTCATGTTTGTCAGTCCAATTAACCACATATTGTTCCTTTCCAAGGTACTGTTTTGTACATTTGAAGTTTTAGAAGAGGAGTTTGATGCTATATTGACAGTGAAAGAAAAACTGTACTAGTCTTCAAAACATTTTAAAACATTCTAAACTGTATATTGGTGTTAGAATTGAGATTTCTACTTGAAACATTTATATACTAACTGTTTGCTGACAGAAATTTATTTTTCATTGTATAAATTTCCTAAGTAAGTGCTGGATTTATAATTTTATAGTTTATGCTTGTTTAAAATGAAAGAGCAACTGATGTGATATAACATTTTTACTTCATTGTTTATTATTTTCTTGGTCACAAATGTATATTCTCTGTTACAAATGTACCTATATAAGATGTAGATTACTTATTATATGCCAGTTCTATTTGATTCTTTATGATCATATGATAATTATATCACAGTCATGGATCTGCAAGTTTTGTGTATTGTATAATTTGCATTTGAAATGGTCCCTGTAAACTTGATCAAATGGAAAACAATATCCATGAAATATTAGTGTTCTGGTGTATGATAAGTAATCTACAACTCATCAGATATTGATTTTTCTCTGGGAAATATCTCACAATGAATTGATTTGCTCTTTCAGAAGGAATCCCAGGTCAGGCTTATGAAGAGTTGAAAATATAAGAATTTTTACTATTGTTGATTTTTTTGAACTTTTTTATATATATTATATGAGTTAATGTCAAACAAACAAAGATAGGTTGTATTTTTTATTTTTGCATTTTACTATTTTGAGCAATGTTTTTCAATGAAGATGTAATATTTTGTTGCTGGATACATATTGACTTTTATAATGTAGATTGCAGTTGGAGGCAGATGATTCCTAGCTTGTCAAAAAAAGGATGTAAAATATTAAATTTGTCTACTAACATGTGTAAATTAATTCTCTACTTTTCACATATTATGATACAAGGGAGAAATTTCTCGTCAGTTTATGTATTCCTGTGTAGTTACAGTGTATTGATGTGTAATACCAGTGAGTTTAAAGGTCACACGGAACTTAGGAGGCAGCCTTTGTTTAGATCTGATCATGCCATATTGATTAACATAACATGGCATCTTAACTTTTCTGTGTCCTTCAAATAATCAAGTTTTTTACACTACCATTGCAATTTTGTAGCTGGTAAAATATATAGAACAAACTGTCTTAGCTTTTGAAATGCCAAGAATCTCTCCCAAGCTATGTTTTATATCATTTCATTTCTTTTGCGAAACTTTGATCTTTTTACATTTATTCAGTTTCACAAAGGTGTCCTTGTTAACCTGTGCAATGCATTTACCATAAAATTTAAGAAATGTTGCAATGAATAAAAAAGCATTACATTATTTACAGCATGTAGTTGTCACCAGTATTGATGTGACAACTGCCTTTTTTGTCCTGCTTGTAGCTATCACTGCATGTATCAATATACTGCTTCAGATGTCATCAGCTGCATAATAAAAAGAGAACCTTACAATGTTGGTTGTCTCCTTGAGTTGTAGGCTTATTTTGACGGTTGGAGATTTATTTTTAATTGTGATGACCATGAGATGAAGACACTTGATGAAAATATTCTTCAAGTTTATGTATGTATGTGAAAAAATTAGCGTGCTGGAAACATAGATCGTTCAAAATGGGGAGGTGTTAAAGGGAAATTTTGAAATATCTTTAGAGAGTGAATTTGGTTTATATAATGATAATACGAGACTAATGTATAACTTGCTTTATATTTATTGACAAGAACGAAGGGGTACCCCCTTCTTATGCATAACCCATACACAAAGAGGTAAAGGGTAATACATTTTGAACAACCCATGAAACACAACTGTTGCTTGCACGAACAGGCTCTATGAAACACTTTGTTTGATAGTGAACAGGTACATGTAGAGCACTTTTGGTCCCAGTGGTTGAACCCCTCATCCAACCCCATCTCTGTGCGGAAATTCTGGATATGCCCTTGTTAATAAATTATCATGTTTCCTTGGACAGGAGCTTGATGGCAAGAGTATTGCTAAGATAATATTCAAACTTGGAAAAACATCATATTGTCCACTGAGCAAGAAGCCACCACATGAAGCAGAGATAAAATGTAAGGACGACAATGTCAACAGTGAAGACAACAAAATGATGGAGGGAGAATGTGTGGAAGTGAGGGCACCAATTGAAGAGACTGAGGTCGACAATGTGAGAGTGATGCTAATTTTACTTTTAAATTATCTTGCCTTCATTTTCTCGCTCTTGTATGTCGCAAGATTGAAAACAAGAGGCCCAAGAGCCTTAACGGTCACCTGAGTATAATACAACATTGTAAAGAATTTACACAAGTATAAAATAAATCAAGATAAACTGATAGATGAAGTTATTCTGTCCCAAAGCAAGAGAAAAGGGATGATCAGGAATCGACAAAGTAATTAGTCTAGTACTCGGTAACAAATCTTAAGTAGATTTATTTACTTGCCTGTACTTGCCCCCATTTTGTCACTATGACAATTCTGACTAAACATACAATAAAACTTGAACACTATTAGAAAACAAATTTCATCCCTCTCTCATTCCCTACTTGGCCTCTTTTTGTTTTTTGAAGAACATTTAATGTATAAAGATAACATATTTTGGTCTTTTTATTTATCTATTTAAAACTACCTGACCATTAAAAACTGTTATAAATTATAAAAATTCTTGTATAAATCTTTTATTTAATTTAGCTTTCAATTACCCCCAACTCCCACCCAACCCCTTCTGAAATTTTTTAATACGATAACTTATCCAAAATTCATGAATTACCAGCATATATGCATATGGCGCGCCAATTTAATATTATGTCAAATAACTGAAGTTATCTTCAATATAATATATCCATAATTTAAATAATGATCTCTTTACTTGAACCGTTGCTCTCCTTTAAAGAGTTGATGCGATGTTTAATTCCAGAATCGTTGTAAAATAATTAAGGAGGTCTTCAGTTGCAATACAGAGATCAACAAATCATCAAGGCAAAGGTCTAAATTAATTTTTAGAATTGACGAGAGCAATTAATTTAATTGAATTGAATCAAATCATTAATACTTTCATTATTTCAACTGATGTGCACATCAATTGAATTGATGAGACTCATAATTGATTTATTGCACACAATAATAGAATTAATGATATCCCCAAATAATTAGGGATATCTCAATGTTATTTGAGTTTATGTTCCTTTGGCGAACCATACATCTATCAGGCTTTATACTTTTAACCCCTCTATATACGGTATATAAATATATACATGTACACTAGTAAATATAGACCCGTATCTTATAGTATAGAGGGGCAATCTCTAAACTATAAAAAAAATTATATCAGAATTACCCCCCTCCTCTTTTCTTTCTGAAAGTTAAATATCAGAAATTAATATGGATTTTTCTCACATCAAAAAGAACCAGGGCGCATTTGATTGGCATTCGACGGGAATCTGGGTGCACTTTTTTTATTTATTGGTGAAAAAAGGAAAGGGAAATATTTTCCCGATATTATGTTTTGATCTACTTCTACTAAAAGATAACTTGAAAATATGGCTACATAAGTCATTCATTTGGTACAAAATGTTACATTTTTTTAAACTCTTTTATCTAAACATTTACTATCTGTGGGTCCTCGATATCTCTCCACGAAAACGTTATTTGTGTGCATTTTAATTCATTTAGTTCAAAGAAACGAGCAAAAATTTGTGTAAAAAATGAAGAGAAGACCCAGAGAACTTAATACCCCCCCCCCCCCCAGTGCATATTATACATGATACCTTGTGTATTTGTATTTTTTTTTTTCAATTCACCAAAGAAAGATAAGTTATAATCAAGATTATAAAATACTGTGAAAACACTAACTTTCATGAGGGTTTAATTTTCGTTGTTTTCTCGGTATGAAGGAAACCCACGAATTTTATGTCCTCTAAGAAATGTATTATTTCGTGTATACAACAACTCAGAAATAGAAATACAAGTTATAATCAAGATTATAAATAATAATACATGTATTTGATAACCAGATTTGAATCAATATTCACCACATTTAGTTGAATTCGAAGGGGGAGAAGGGTCTTTACGAAAACGTTGAATTCAGTTTTCTGTCAGTCATTAAACTCTTACTACATGTTTACCCCCTTCAGCTTCGTTGCGAGGGGATAACATTTAATCTATAGTTCTTACAACTTACTGATTCCTTTCCTTGCATGGATATTAAAATATGTCATACAAAAAATACATAGAACAATCATTCTACAAAAACATGCCCAATTAAGAATTTTATATGTCGCTTGCAAATTCACCGTTGTAATATCTTAGCTGTAGTTGTATCATGGCTGTGGTGTTTTTCCTTTGAAGTCAAGTGTACAATAACTGGAGATACACCGATGGGCGGAGCCAGCAAACACTGTGCCATGTAAATAAATTATTGAACATCAAGGCGATTTCAACATTTTAAATTACATGTATATTAAAGAATTACAGAATTAAATGGGCTTATATACAAAGACAAATTTCTGCCAGTGAAATAAAGGTCTTTCACATAAATTACAGTGCATGTGTATCACAAAATACGAAATGTTTTTTACGGAACTCTGCAAATATTCGATCCACCGCATCGAGAAACCAAGTTCTTGACATGAATTCCACAAATGAATATCTTAAAATATCACACCTATTGTAATGGAGCCTTTTAGCAGGATTTACCATCTTTGCTGTATTCTTTGCTCAACTAGAATAAAGTTCAGCTGCACTGCATCCTTAGATGAAGAGTTGTTAACAAAGCGTTTTGTTCATGCCACAGCTCTCGAGTATGTCAAATGATAACGGGTATCTTTTTTTCTTGATTTTCGATTAACATCAGAATTTTCCATCCTTGATATTCAAAGGTTTTCTTATGAATTTCGTTAACAATCCGTTTTTATGTTAAGTTGGAGAGGTGCAATTCGACGTCCTTTCTCATGAACACACACATAAATTGTGCGAATTAAAAAATTCTGGTGGGAAGGAGAGATTATCCGTGCGGTCACCTGACAAAAAGTATATTTTTTATTGGTGTAATTAAAAATCATGCTTGAAAATTTGGGACATAACAATTATTGACGTTTTGCTTGGCCATGATACAAGAAAGTTACTGAATATTTATTATGGTGTATCCTGATTTATTTGGACGAAGGGGCGGAGACTCCTGCTTCGCACTCGTCACCGCCCTTTGTCCAAATAAATCAGGATACACCATAATAAATATACAATAACTATTACTTAAAAGACCTATTTCAATTTTAAAACTTAACGTACACACATGGTTTTGCAAATATTTACCGATATATGTGCAGTTAAAGTTTTGATATGACCGCAATATATTTGTTTAAAAACGTATTCCACTGAAAATCTTAATGTCTCATCATTCATTTACAAATTTCAAGATGAAATTTTCAGCCGTAAAAGCGTTCTAAATAGATTGCAAGGAATGTTAAAAAAAAGTTTTTCTCTATATAAAAAGAAAACAAACCACTTCTCGCAAAGAAATGCATGGATCATCATAGCATGTCGCTGAAAATCAATTAACTTCCGTAACGAGTTTGTTTTAAATTGCACGCACAGAATGCAGATTTCAAAAAGAACTGAAACTTATCTAAAAGCGGCCATGGAATCTAATATCAGTCAGCAATTTTAGACCATTACATTTTCGAAATAACAAAATAAATTGGACAAAAACGGTTGTCTCCCTTAAAAATTTAACTTCCGTAATGGTAATTCGGGAATGTTTTTGCATTAAAGGTATCAAATATTTTATTATTTTGGGAGCGAAATGTTTCATACTTTTGATTAACAGCTTAAAACAAACGTTAATTTTAACTATTGCCGAGAATTTTAAACTTTTATTGCTGGAAATTAACTTCCGTAACGATATTTTCCCCGAAATTTTAACGCAGCGGTTTATAAAAAAGCGTAAACTGTTCTAACCCACTTTAAAACGTATGAATTGAGTAGCTATTAATTTCATTCCTTATAATTTAATTTTCATTCATTTAGTGTAAGAAAAAAGAATTATTGCCCTTAAAAAATGACTTCCAATTGTACAAAATTTAAATGTATACGTCAGGCGGATAGATACGTTTTTGACGTAAGTCATTGTGTGACGTAGGCAACCCAATTTATACGATATAAAGAATTTTTTTTCCCAATCAAATACCGCCTTATAACCAGAATTAAATTATAATGAATAAATAACATCGTTGAATGCGGATTTTTCTTTTGCTCCAGTTTTTTCACGCAATTTCAAAATAATTTTACCAGTAGGCGTTTTGGTGATATCAAAGGTCAAGTACAAAATACAAATTTTATGGCACAAAATTGTCAAGAAATCATTATAATAAAGGGGTTAGAAAATTTCCCTTGATGATTTCTTCATTTTTTTTCTTGATGATCAGTGTAACATTTTGCCTATAGCATCCTATTATAGGCGTCGGAAGCAAATTGAAAGGGGGGGGGCTAATTGAAATTGGGCGGCTAAACCAACAAAAAAGAAAGTTTGGGGACTAAGCCCCAGTTTTCAATGCCTTTATATTATGTCTATCTTTGCAAAAAAAGGAGCTAAGCCCCCCCCCCCCCAACTTCCGACGCCTATGCCTACGAAAAGAAAACTTAAACTGCATAATCTAGTGGGAAAAAAATCATAGCAACTGGGCTAAAATTGAGCTCAAAATAAACATTTATAAAAACTGGTCTTTCAATGAAATATTTCTATATTCTGTAGATAACACACGTTCGTGTGAATCGAGATCGAGATCCCAAAACATTTGCGGTTGTTACAAATTCATTACATGCGAGAGGATGCGTCATAATGATAATCAGAATATGTTGATCAGGCTATTTTACAAAGTGGAAAAATTTCTTTAAATCGAGAAAAATGGAGAGTGAGAGTACAAGCAGTGTGTCTACTAGTGACAGCATGGAACAGTCAGTTGGAAGAGAACCCGGGACAGTGACCGAATCCCTTAGAGCAATGTTTAACAACGGCGAAATATCAGACATCTCCTTCAAGTTTCCGAACGAGTCATCGGAGGAGAAATCTGTCCTAAGAGCACATAAACTGATCCTTGCTATTCGAAGTCCAGTTTTTAAAGCCATGTTTTACGGTACTCTCCAGGAAGTGGGCCAAGTTGTAAATATCGAGGACATCTCCTACGACATTTTCAGAACTCTGCTGAGGTATTTTTAAACATTTGTCATGACACTATTGGTAATATCCTGTAAGGTTCTAGTCTACAAAGAATACAAATCAAAATAAATCAAAGGTACATTCTTACAAATATTTTTTTTTTGTTTTCTTTTAGATCCATCAAATATTTTGTTTGTTTGTTTTTTAAAGCCAACTTGGCGTTTTTCGTTACTAAAATAATGAACAGGTACAGTTAAAGTAGTCTACACCGTACATATATATCTTATCTATTTCAGGTTCATCTACACAGATAAAATAAAGCTTGAAGGGGACACAGTTATTCCGACTTTACATGCTGCACAGAAATACCAGATCCCCGCCTTGGTAAATCAATGCCAGTCTTTCCTAGAAGCTGCGGTCGATAGTGACAATGCCTGTGTTATATTTAGTCAAGCCAAGCTGTTTGATCTGAAAGAACTTGAAACAAACGTGCTAAGATTCATAGAGTTCAACACCACAGAGTGCTTGCAGTCAGATGGCTTTCTGTCTCTAAGCAAGGATAACTTGCGAGAAGTTCTTAAGAATGGGAAATTCTGTACCTCGGAAGAAAATCTTGTCAAAGCTACCCTTCGATGGGCAGAGGAAGAATGCAAGCGTAGAGAACTGGAACCTACTGGAGAAAACATGAGAAAATCTCTTGGAGACAATCTTTACTTGCTTAGAGTACCTTTACTTTCCCTAGAAACCTTTTCTAATCTGCTTGTTGCTACGGAAGTCTTAAATGAAACAGAACAGTTAGATTTATACAAATATTTCACGCTACATAAATTCGAAGGAGGTGCCGAAAAATTTCAGAAAGGTGCTAGGTTTGAAAATGCTCCAACCGAAGTCAAGGTTCAAAATTTATATGGGGTACTGGGACAAAGAACTGCGGGTCTTGTTTGTAAGCAGAAAATTTTGTTAAAAACTAGGTTCCCCGTCAAGTTGTGTCAAATCAAACTCCTGCCTTTTCCGAGTAAATCACTTGATGTCAATTTCTACCAGTATCACCACATGAACAATTCCCACAAGTCAGAACAAGGCCCAGAGATCAAAATTATTGTTTCGGAAGTTGAAGGTGAAGAGAAGAGTCAGACAATTTATGAAGGATTGAGAATGTCTACTAACTTGGCACCAATCCCTTTGGATTACATTTTCTCGGCAGACCCTAATTCCAAAGTTCAGCTTGTGGTTTCTGTCAGTTCTAAATGCAGAGCCTGTGGTGTTGCCACAGCACCGTTTTACCAGACCGTTGTAAAGGAAGCGGGTCTCTCTAAATATATCCCGAAGCGAATTACGGTCTCAAATGAGGCGGTGGATATGATTCTTCAAGGTCACAGCGTTATCGACATTATGACCTTCATGAAAGAATGACAAACAATTGAATTCAATAATGGTTAGTAAAACTGCAGTCTTGTGTAAACGTGCGAAAATTTGTTTTTCACATTTAATAAACAGGTAGTTAAGCTTGTCTTGTTTCTCGTCGCTTTATAATCATTAATGTAGAATTATTTTTTACCGCATACTGTCATATTTTTTTTTCAAATACAAAAAGCTGTGATTAAAAAAAAAGACAAGAACATATAAATTTCTGTTAATTCGACAGATAACAGTTCAGCTGTGCCATGTTATCATGCTTATATTAGTGACGGGGTCATCTAAAAAAAAAAAAAAAAAAAAAAAAGAGAAAAAAAGAAAGAAAAAGGCATGTCCTTTCCCGACTCAAGATAACCCCCCCCCCCCCCCAAAAAAAAATGGGTAGATATAGGTAAGGTAGAGATTTTTTTTTTTTCAAATAAAACTTTAAAGTATAAAACATATATTTAAAAAAAATTGTTTCCTTGAGGTTTTAAAAATTTTTGGAGTCGGACTTTTTCGGTCGGAAGTCATCCTCGCAAGCCAGGGGTCCCGAGTCAACACGTTGCCGTTGGACCCCTGGCATATTTCATTCAATATTTGTGGGCTGACTGTAGCGACATCTTTCGGAAAAATTACAAATCTTAATTGTTTTTCTTATCTCTCAACCAATCACATTAAGCCATTCTATGATAAACAACTTGTAACACGTGCATTTGAGGTGTCAATGTGAATCCTTATCTAACTATTTTTGAAAGCTTTAATTTGATTGGTGCTTCTCAATGAGAGAAGCAAGCCCACGAATATTGAATGAAATATGCCAGGGGTCCAACGGCAACGTGTTGACTCAGGACCCCTGGCTTGCGAGGATGGTCGGAAGTGGGAAACAGACTATTTTGTTAAACATGGCACTGGGTACAATAGTCATTTTTCCCGGCCCGAAGGCAAGAATGCTTACCCAAGAACTTAAGTTTTAAACATCGGTTATTTCTGAGGGCCTGCCTTTCAATTGATTGACTGATTGATAAATTGTTGTCTTACGTCCATTGCGAGAATTTTTCATTCATTTGAGACGTCACCTAATACCGGTAAAGGGCTTCAAATTTAGACCTATACATGTATTCTGCATTTACGGCCATTGAGCAGTGAGAGTTCTTTATCAGGTCAACGCCTAACATGACAGGGGATCTACGTTTTTAAGACCATATCCGATAGACCAGCGACGTCCACTTCTAATACCAGGCGCTTGGGGAAGGAACAACCGCAACCTATGTTATATATACTCTTAGGTTTGACGCGGCGCCGGAAATGATAATCGAACACGGACCTCCCGATTACGAAGCCAGCGCCCTGCCTCTTCAATTGAAATACCGGTGCTACGTTATGATACTTCCCCAAAGCGAGACCTAGCTGTACATGGATTCTTCTACTCTGAAGGCTGTATGGCTATACATTAGGCATTCTCCCCAGAAGACTAGCTATACAGTGAGCCATCTCCCCGAAAGTCTGGCTTCTAGCCATCCTTCTGGGAAGCCTCAACACTGTTGGTTAGTGGTTACGTGAAAAAGTCACTATATACAGTAAAACACTCTTATAGCGAAGTGCCAGGGACCAACAATTTTAATTTGTTATATTAAAACGTAATATCTGCTCAGTTTGCAAAACTTTTCAAAAGCAAGGGGAATGAATATTACTTCACTTTAAACATGAATTCATTATAAAAGTGTTCGCTATAACCGTATTTTACTGTATAACCACTCCTCCCTCCTGGGAGAAGGCCTGCTTGTCTTCCGATGAGAGGGGGGGGGGGGTTCTCACTACGGGGGAGGTCTTTTAAAAAAAGAACACGAGTCATTAAGAGAAAAATATTTTGGTTAAAATCTTTTATTTCAAAACACCAGCTAAGAATACGAGTAAAACATTAACGGCTCCTTCTACCTATGCATGAAAAACAACAAGAAATAAATCTTCTGAGGAAGTTGGGCTGAAATAAAAAAAATTATACATGTATATATAAATCAACATTCAGTAAACCAAACACATACAGGTATGTTACTGCACCTGAAAAGGCTGAATGAATGGCGATCAGCGACATTCTCCTGGTCTGTAAATGAAGTTGAATTATCTTCAGTGATATTTATCATAATCATAATGGCCAATATTTTTAACTGGTAGAGCTGATATTTTTCATTTCTCACATTTGCATATGCGATATAGAAAAATATTTTAAAGACTTAAAGACGTCCAGATTTATTTGGATTAGATGTTAAAAGTGAAAGTCAGTACACTTTAATATTTACCTCATATTCAATGAATTCTTCAGCAAGTGCATCTTTGATGCTCAGCTCAGAAAGTTGTCTGGCCTGAAACATTCAATTTTAAAGCTGGAGTACATATATACCAAGAACATCTATGTTCGAAACTAAAAAAATAATAATAATAATACCTGTTCTCTCAAGGCGATCTCTGCAGGCAACATGCACATGCTAGATATTGTCTGAAACATATTTAATAACTGAGTTAATGAACAGTTTTCGATTTGTAAGAGAATTGTAAACATGTATCTATAGCGAAACATAAATATGTTGATGGGTTAATAATCATACGGCCTGGTCAAGTTCTTTCGGAATTTCATCGTCATCGTCAACATCATCGTGTTCGACCATCATTATCATCATGGAAGCTTTGTTGCTCTAAACAACAACAGAATAAAATTTGCCGATCGTTGGTTTTATCATTAATAATTTTCTTTAAATATTTCTTTCAATAAAAGATAAAAGGTAATTAAATGGTGATAATGGATGTTACATTCTGAATAGTGTATATTATGTGAAAAAAGCACAATATTTTTATTTATTTATTTATTTTATTTTCATATGTTATTTTTTTTTCAATGGATGCCCACCAGTTGATTCCTTTGATAAGGAGCACTATTCACCTCGTTTTCTTCATTCTGTGCAAACAATAAAAAACAGCTATAAAAGAAAATAATTCATTTGAATCTAGATTTTAATTGTATTTATAATACTCGTGCCGAAGCTTACGAAAATTTTCATCCTCATGCCAAACCTACGGCAATAAGTAAAGAAAATCTTTCTGCTTTTTTTTTAATTCAAAGATTAAGCTTTATCAGCTATAGTTCACAATAGCATCCACGTCCCAAAACCATGCACCACAGAATAAAAGGTAATAAAACTGCTGAATTCTGATCTTTAGTGTTATGCCAGAGAACATCCATGCAAAAAATATCATCTTCAAATCTTTGCGTTTATGATAAAAAAAAGACCTTGTTGAAATAAGTAAAAATTAGCATAAAATGTTGTTTTTTTTTAGTTTGAGAAGGGGAGATGACAAATGGGAAGATGTCACTTAGCAAGCAAGCTTTTAAATGCTCCAACCAAGTGTCAGGAGTATTAAACTATAACCCTATATGAGAGGATATGAAAGGTACGGGGTATGGACTGTAATTCGGTATGAGTTAAGAAGCATTATAACTGCATGATTGTATAATTTGTACATTACTAACTTTCATTTAACAAAATGTTTAAAAAACTCTTCACAATAAACTTCGCAATAAAATTAGGACAACAAATACATGTACCTTGTTGTTCCCTAGATGGAACTCTGCCGACGATGGACCCGTGTTCTGATCCATTTAAAACTGTCAAAAAAAATGTTTAAGAGAATATGAAATTTAAAAAAAACATATATATTATAACAGGTTTATAGGTTTATCTTTATAGTAGCAACATTGAATTGCTGCAAAAATAAATTGCTCTTTTCTCTTCTAGACAGTGAAGCGATGTGTGCTTGCTTAAGCTTACAATTTTAATCTTTACTTACATTCGTCCACAAGCTTCCTCTGTTTCGTACAGAAAATTCTTATTGCATCCAAAAATCAAAAATCTGAATTTTGGGAAAGGCTTCTCGAATACCACGACAATTTTCTTTTGCGATCGAGCTACTACGGTCTCTATTATGACGTCACGACTTGTTGTAACGTCACGTGATTAATATTAGGAACGGTAAGTCTTAATTGGATTGTTAAGAGTTATCTTTCATTTTTTAATACCCGGTTCTAAAAGACTGTAATATTGGCTCAGATAAAATATTATGAAAAAAGACACATTTACATGTAATTCATCTGTAACTTTTTCGTAATTTCAAGACTTTGATCCTTTTAACCGACCGAGCATAAAATCTTCCATGTGTAAGGTATTTTCTTTATAAGAATAAAGTTTCTCAAATATTCACTTGTACGAATTATTACTTTCGGATTTGATATGAAATTGTCTCGGAAATCAATTATACTTTTCAGCCTGCTAGCAGCTCTGAATTGAATATGTAGACCTACTTAAGACATATAATTCCTACAATTGTCCTTGAACCTTCTGACCTTAAATCTTTCTTGACTTCTAGCCATAAAACAACTTTGACTGAAAGATTATATGTTTTAAAAAAGTCCATAACATTGTTAACATGAATTATGAACCCCAAAACGCTTCTTCCTTTGCAACTTAATGTCTTGCGTAAAAATAGATTCCGATATATATATATATATATATATATATATATATATATATATATATATATATATATATATATATATATATATATATATATATATATTTTTGTTGCAAAGGAACAAAGATTTCATTTTGCCTATATTCATAAAATTATTATTTTGATATACACTGTAATTTTTTTTTTATGTGAAGCATAATATACATTATATAGATGTAAATTAAACCATTGGTTATTTTCTTCTCAGTAATTCAATTGATCTTCACTGGATCTAAAAAAAAAAAAAGAAAGAAAGAAAAAAAAGAGACAAAGTAAGGAAAATGTGTAAAAATTCCACAGATAAACGTAAAACTAGAAGTTTCAGCAAGATTAAATTGTTTTCAAAATTATCTTAGATACTGAAATGACCTAATAAATTTAATATAAAAGCCTTTGGGCAAAGTGCCGTTCTTATACAAAAAAAAAATAAAGAAAGAAAGAAATTAACGTTTTGGAAAAAGAGGATTTGGTCAAGGATTCATAGAATATTCTCTATACTTTAATATATCAAAATGCATAGGTTATCAGGCAAATTTGAGAGATATTACAGAGCATTTTTTAGCAGACATAGCTCTTGCAATTAACACCAAATGTTAATTAAAGGATTTTGTTCATACATTCCATTTACTCTATGTTCTCAGAACTTATCACCTTTCTAATTCATTTTATAAGCATTATTTAAATAGCCGTAAAATTGTGAAAATTACCGATCTTTTAGGGAATTTTTGGCAAATCATTATAGATTAAAATCATGTGCTGTGTTTAATATCAACTAAATTTCTATTTTTCATGGGTACCAATTGCGCCCCGTTATTAGCAGACCTTTTTTGTATTCATATGAAGCAGAATTTATCTAAAATCTTGTGCGTGAAAAGAAGAAAACACTTGCTGAGGCCTTCAACTCGACATTTAGATATATCGACGACGTATTGTCAATCAGCAATGGCTATTTCCATTCTTATGTCGATACGATATATCCTTGTGAGCTTGAGATAAAAGATACCACAAAGTCTGACACATCTGTTTCATATTTGGATATTTTACTTGAAAAAGACGTTAATGGTAATCTAACAACCAAGCTTTATGATAAACGTGATGACTTTAACTTTTCAATCGTCAACTTCCCTTACTTATGCAGCAATATACCTTCATCTCCTGCATACGGGGTATATATCTCTCAGTTGATTCGATACGCAAGAGCATGCTCTACGTATGTACAATTTCTAAAAAGAGGTAAATTAATGACAAGCAAGTTGATGAAACAAGAATATCAGCTGTCTCGTTTAAAGTCATCATTTCGTAAGTTCTATGGTCGATACAATGACCTTGTCAGCAAATACAATTTATCATTGAGTCAAATGCAGACTGACGTTTTCACAAATTGTTAGGCCATTATTTACACACTGAATTGTCGACGGATTTTTCCGTTATTTCCCGATCATGACAAGGAGAACACGGCGGGTGTAACCAGTCGGCAGGGATGCTCACTCCTCCATGGCACCTGATCCCACCTCTGATGATTGGAGGTCCGTGTTTGCTCTGCTCCTATTTTGTATTGTTTGATGGACTTTTGAGCCTGAATACTGTTCGTTATCTTCATATATTTCATTCTGAATAGAAGAATATGACAATTTCAGTTATTACAAATCTTACCATATGTCTTAAAAAGAAGATGGGCGTACTTGGCGTGCGATCTGCAGGAATCATGTGTACGAAACATCTATGGTTTAAATGTCCACGATTGGTCGGCTGCCCATTAGTGGACAGACCTTACAAAGTTACGCACATAGGAAAATGTTTAGATTTAAATTGAAATAGCTTGCAAATTTGAAATATTTTAGTCTACTTATCTTAATATTTACGATAACACAGTAACTCTTCATATAAATAATAAACACCTTACAAGAATAGGGTATGATATATGAAATGAAGTTTCAGTAGGTTTGAAAAATTGCTTTCGCTCCCCGTGCAACTGAACGCAAATTAACTTTTATAAATCAGTAAATAAAATTCAACTGATAAACAACTTGATTGTTTGTATAAAAAATAAAATAAAAATAAAATGCTCCATGCGAGGATCGAAAAAAAAACTTAACACCTTAGTGCGCTGGACTAGTAACGCGTACTATTGAGCTATCATCGCTACACAAGCATCATGGAATTTTAAAATAACAAGCAACGCATTTATAAATTGGTATTTTTTGGAAAAAGTTCATTTTTTATAGTCTCTGGGTCTTCTCTCCATTTCTTACAAATGTTTGTTCGTTTCTTTGAATGCAAATGCACACAAATGCCTTTTTAAAATCGTGGAGAGATGACCCAGAAATAGCAAATTTTTAGAAAAAAGTGTTTAAAAATGTAAATTTTTGTACTAAATGACTCATCTAGCCATGTTTCAGATTATTTTTAAGGAAATCAAAACACACTATAGGGAATATTTTCCTTTCCTATTTCATAAGAACATAATACATCAAAGAAATGTTAAAATTGAATTTGACAATTCAATAAAGTTTTCACTTTGCAAGTGCGCCCTGATTCCTGCCGAATGCCAATCAAAAGCGCCATCGTTCTTTAGGGGGGAAATGACTCATGAGAAAATAACACATTCAACTGGGAAAAAGGTACCTTGTTATAACCCCCACCCCGCTTGAAAAGTGGGGGGGGGGGTGTATATAGTGATATGGGTGTCTGTCTGTGCATCCGTCTGTACGTCCGTCCGTTACGCTTTGTAGTACCAATCTCTTATCCGCAACTCCGCCTATACCACTGAATAAAATTCAATGAGACTTTCACAGAATCTTTATTACACAGTGCGATTGGTCGCCCGCGTGGCGCAGTGGTTAGAGCGTTCGCTCTAGAGTCGCGGAGTAAGGAGTTGATCCTTACGTCGCGGGTTCGAATCCCACTGTGGGACGTGGAGACCGGTCCTTCGGATGAGACCGTATAAACCGAGGTCCCGTGTCGCTGTAGTTGTTGGCACGAAAAAGATCTCTCACTGCTCAATGGCCCTGAGTGCCGAGTATAGGTCAAAATTTGCAGCTCTCCACCGGCAAGTGGTGGCATCTCCATATGAGTGAAAAATTCTCGAGAGGGACGTTAAACAATAAACAAACAAACAAACAAAACAAACATAGTGCGATTGTGACCTCCTACTTTATGTTTTAAAAGAACAGATATTTGGGCTTTCCCACAGGAAAAAAAAAAAAAAAAAAAAAAAAAAAAAGGACTTTGTCTTTATAATCATATGGGAGGCGGGAAGGGGGTATCATTTTGTGAACTCAGAGCTCACAGTACCTCTAGTTTTTAATTTGGGAATTGAGTTTTTTGAACGACCCAAAATATAGACAATCGAGAGCCCTGATATAAGTAAAATAAAATTCTAAAATATTCCAATAATCTGTCTTTGGCTTACCGCCTTGACTTCATTTTATTGATTGACATTGCATTGTAGTGCTGTGCAATAAAATGCAGTTAAATTCTTATTATGGCAAACAAAAAATCCACTCATCAGTCAAAAAGGAGTGTTCATTTCTTTTGGATCTCTTGCGTATACTCAAACTAGTCATTCGATTAAAAAAAAAAACACGTAACTTTGCGAAAGTCCTTCGACTTAATTACTGATTGTTAATTTTGATTCATGTCAAAGAAAACAAATATTTAAGAATATGAGAATAAAAGAAAAGCTCTCTAGTCTGTTTTTGAAACCTTTTTTTTCAAAGCATAAAATGAAAAAAAAGTGTGTGTATTCAATCAGTTTTTAAATTCAATTAAGAAAAAAAAATTGACTAAGTTAATTTTGATTGGACTATTTGGCAGGTATCACAATGTATCGCATTGTATTGCAGCAGAGTGCAGTATGGTGCAATTCTACTTGTATTTAAACAAGCACAATTCTTTTACTTGTCAATGCATTAGAAATATTCCCCACCATCCACCCTCCAAAGATAGCTTTTATATACAATTTGTCCTTGTGATTGAATGTTTCTTTGGAAATTTGCATAATGTAAGTTTTGTTTCAAAGTTCGATAACTCAAATCATGTCCCTTTGAACAACGTAGACAAAACGATCATTGATTTCTCCTTTATATTATGTAAATGTTTAAGCAATGCTAACGAGTAACAGGCTTGTATACTATATATAAGACGTTAGAGAGACATTCACAAATGACCATGTGTTAAAGTCAGAGTAAATAACGGTGACAGGTAATGTCGCGTGTTAAGGACTTAGTGTGAGCTTATCTCACTAAACAAGTACTGCTAAGCAGTATTGAAAAGCGTCTTTGATTGTTCTACAAAGTCCTCGGCGCTTTGTTTGAGTCTCAAAATATTCACTCATCAGTCAAACAG